ATGTGTGTTGAAGCTTTCACTGAATACCCACCATTAGGTAGATTCGCTGTCAGAGATATGAGACAAACCGTTGCTGTTGGTGTTATCAAAGCTGTTGAAAAATCAGACAAAGCTGGTAAAGTCACCAAAGCTGCCCAAAAAGCTGCTAAAAAATAAACTAATTAGTTTTTGAATTTATTCTTTTTAGTGTTAGTTTATAATATATGTTATCATAATAATCTTTGCTCTAATTAATTCGTTGTCTCTAGTTTAATATTCTATTGTTTGCAGCCAAAGTGGCTGAACATGTGCGAATTTCAGGTTCCTAAAATTTCGTGAAACTTGCAAAAACTTCCAAATAAATACCAACAAATATGAATAAAGGAGGTCAATTTATGAATGGTGAAAGAGATTACAATCATGCCACTGACAGTAATTATAAACTGTTGAGACAAAGGGCCGAACAATTATATGAAAAACGTAATCATTTATCCCAAGAATCTCAAAAAGCCTATAAGAACGGAGATGGTCAAAAAGCTCACGATTTGAGTGAACAAGCTAAGAAGATCACTGATGAAGCTGAATATTATAATAGACAAGCTGCTGAATATGTATTCAGGGAAAACAATGCTGATTCAGCTGAAGATGAAATAGATTTACATGGATTATTTGTTAAAGAAGCCGAATATATCTTGCAAGTTAGAATAGTCCAGTTCGTTAAGACTCACCAAAGTCATTTAAAAGTTATTGTAGGTAAAGGTTTACACTCTCAGGGAGGTATTGCCAAATTAAAACCTGCTATTGATGATATGTGTGATGAGAGTAGATTAAAACATCATATTGATTCTAAGAATACTGGAGTTTTGGTTATTGACTTGAAAAATGTTGACATCAATCAATTACCTCAATCTTGGTTGAATTTACCACCTCCAAGTCAAATGCCATCCAAACCTCAACAATCATACCAACCACACCAACAACCTCAATATAATCAACAATATCATAAACCTAATCAACAACAACATCATAATAACAATAATAATAATAACAATAACCAACTTGTTAGTTTATTAATGAAAGTTGTTTGTATGTGTATCAATAGTAAGTAGATCTGTATATTCTTTCAGAGACAATATAAATTTGAGTTCTAATGAGATATAAATTATCTATCTAAAACAACTATCACTATAATTAATACAAAAAGGAATTTTATGATTGTTTTCATGTGTGAATAAGGGATAAATTAAAATTAACAAGCACAATTACCTGAATCACCTTCTAAATGGATATTGATAGCATCATTATAATCATCACTAACATCATTACCATTGGCATCATTTAATTCTTCTTGTTGAAGTGCCATTTTAGCTACGACTTCGAACGCACTTTCAACATTGATAGCATCTTTAGCACTAGTTTCGAAAACTGGATAATTTAATCCTCCTAATTGGTTATTGGTGATATTATTTAATTTCTTAGATAATGAAGAAATCTTCTTGTTTTCGTCAACATCAATCTTGTTACCTATTATAATAAAAGGGAAATCTTGAGGGTTTGAAACGTTAGATTGAACTAAGAATTCATCTTTCCATGATGATAAATTATTTAAGGATTTTTCATTGGTGACATCATAACATAAAACACAACAATCAGCACCTCTGTAAAATGCAACTCCTAAACTTTGGAATCTTTCTTGACCGGCAGTATCCCAAATTTGTAAAGTAACTTGTTTGTTTCCATCAATGGTGATATCTTTAGTTAAGAAATCTGCTCCAATAGTAGCTTTATATTGATGACTGAACTTGTTATTAACAAATTGTTGCATCAAAGATGTTTTACCAACACCAGAATCTCCTAATATGATGACTTTTAACAATGTTTTCTTTCTTCCTGACATGTTGATATGATTATCCTCAATCGTCTAAAAAAATGAGGGTGATAGAATTTGAGATAATTGCAATCGATGTTTGATCAGAAGGCTCTGAGAGGGCTCAAAGGATGAAATGATTTCCGAAGTGGATTTATAGCATCCTGTAATGCATTGATACCTACTCGAGGCTTTTAAATTTATGATAATAGGGGAAATTTCGAAAGCATGGTAGGTAGCAATATTAAGGCGGGTTCCCAGTGGAGTTGAAAGTTACATGGAATATAATTGTTGTTACTTAGAATGATGCTGGCAAATACTAACGCCACCTTAACATGGTGGTTCAATAGTCGAGCTTCGTTAGTTACGTTCTCGACGAAGAAACTCCAAGTATCGGTTTCTGAGATTTTTGCAGCCACAAATGATTTTGTTTTTATTCTTACCTTTTATCTTATCGTTTATCTTGATTCCTCCTGTGTCTGAAGATTCAGTTGGAAGCTATAAAGGCACCAAGGAATTGAATATCGAAATAGTCAAAAGAGAACTTATCACTAAAGATGAAGCAGATTTATTCAAAACGTTATTTGCACAAACTCAACCACAACTTTTCAATGTGATTCAAGACGAACAACAGCAAACTGACTATGATGACCATTTGCCAACTAGTATTATAGTTTATAAGAGTAAAAGATCCAAAGAGTCTGATAAGGACTTTGTTGATAGATTAAGAGAATTGAATTGTGGTAAAGGTGATCAAGCACCCACAAAATACGATTATGCTACTGTGTTTGAGGAAGACGTCTTCAGCGTAAGTACACTTGAAGAAGAAGAAGCTATTAAAGTTAAAACCTTAGAAAAGAAGCTCATAAAGAATTCTGTTTTACAATATTTAAATCAATTCAATGATTTGGTTTATGTAATCAACGGAACATATTTGAATCTTGTCAGTCAACTATAGAATATATCCTGTCAGCAAACTAAAAAATATACTATTTATTACCATCTTTATTATCCATTTCCCAATGTCTCGTATCTACCTCTTGCAAATGTTGATACACCAACGCTGGTTTCGCGAACGAAAAAACTTCAAAACCTTCAACAATGTCCAAAAAGCCTGTAAGACAAGACTATATCAGTAAAGTCAGATATCTTAACAACTTACCACCACCTCCATTAAACCCCAAATTTATTAAATATCATACCACCGAGAAGATAAGTAATGAAGAAGAATCTAATCAAATAATATCATCATTATTCAGAAAAGAAAATTTCAAGAATTTGATTGAAAATATCGATGAAGATTTTGGTATGGAATTGAACTTGATTAACAATCCTGGAGTATTAGATAATGACGATTTCAAGTCCATTGGTCGTAAAGATCTTGAATTACACCCCAGTGATCAATTTTTATTAAGAGATGCAGGTATTGGTAAAATCAGTAAAAGCAGACCAGAAGTTTCGTTCTTAAGAAGAACAGAATATATTGCTGAAAGAACAGTTCCAAAAGCTACAAACACCAATAATACTGTTAAAAAAGTTGAAGAAAAATTCGATAGTGAATCCCAATTGAAGGTAGTTGAAGATACTTTTGAAAAATCCCAAAAATCTTTGAAAGATCTTGGAAGTTTGAAACATCCATCAAAGAGAGGTTTGAAAGCTGTCTCCACATGGCAATTATTACCTGATACTTCTAATATGGATTCGAAATATTTAAATTTGAAATTTTCAGGTTCAGCATCCTTTAATAGAGATTTAAATAATTTGAAAAAATCACAAGGTGAAGAATATGATGAACCATTACAAAATAAAATATTGGAAACATCCATCTTCAAACCTATTACCAGTGCTGACGGTGAATGGATGTCATTGTATCAACAAAAACCTAATGATGATGTCAATAAATTACACGACCAATTGAATACTCCAACAGTACCAAATGATTCTGAATTCAAATTCAAATTTGTCAAAAATTATGATATGAAATTCCAAAAATCTGATGATTCTTATAAAGAATTAGCTATAAAGTTCATAAGTAATGATCAAAAGAAGAGAAAAATCGGATACTATTATCCAATTAACGGTAAAATCGATTTAAAAACTTATAGAACTTCAACTAATAGTCAAGTTAATAAATTCGTTGACGAAAGTACTTACACTAATATTAATTTCAACTTAAGAGAACCAAGTGCCAATGAATTAAGAAAGATGGATGCTATAAGAAGTGAATTTGATCCTATGGAATATGAAGCAGAAGAACAAGAAGAAGAAGAAGTTGAAGAATCACAAATCGAAGAACAAGAAGAAGAACAAGAAGAAGAACAAGAAGCAGAAGAACAAGAAGAAGAACAGGAAGAGTCACAAATCGAAGAGACTGAAGATATAGAAACCAATGAATCATAATGACTTGTAAATTATACTATTATACAATTACCTTTTTTCTTTCTCTCTTTCTTTTTTTTATCACTAGTTTCTTTAATAGGTTCTTTAACTGGAGGTTTCCGTTTTTGATAAGACTTTTGTAAATTCTTAGCATATTCGGCATCCTCTTGTTCTTGGAGTTGTTTGATTAATCTCAAATCATCATCTCCAGCAACGTCTCTACCTTCTTCTAAGATTGGTGTAAATTCACCATTGAAAAATAAATCATCTTTTCCACTAATGGAGATTATGGATTGCCACACAATTTCTTTCTTATCGAAACTAGAATCCGTCAAAAGCAAATAGAAATCATTATCTCCCTTCTTGAATAATGTACTGAAATGATTATTTCTGAAAAATACTATGAATTCATCTATATCAATCAATTTGTTTAATTTTGATAATCCATGTTGCGTCAATTGGGTTGAGTTTTCATCGAGCCATTGCTTTAACTTCTCATCATCGGTTGTTAAAAGATAATCTTGAACTGAATCGAAGTTTTGTAACTTCGTCATTGTTGAGTTCAACTCAGCATCTTGGGGTTCATAAATCCAACCATGATTGATTTTAAGATTGAATAACGTGAACAATTCTGTGGCTAAGTCAGTTTCAAAACCTCCATCGACCAAGTTTGGGTTGATATTCAACCCTGTGTGAAGTAATGGTAAACTTTCTAAGAATTTATCGATGTCTTTATTATCGCCATTAAATTTAATCAACAAATCTCCTACTTGTGATAACAAGTCTTTTAAGGAGATCAATTTCTGTTCAAGGAGTTGATTTTTAAACTTTTCAACCTCAATTTGTAATTCACTGTTCTCTATATCATTCAATTGATTCGTTCTGGTTTCTATATCATTCTTCAAAACTAAGGTATTCACTAATGCAATTAATGGACAAGGGCCATTTTCTTCTTGTAATAAAACTGGCGTAGTATGTGCATAATCTGACCATATAATCTTTCGAATACCAAATTTAATGTCCATGTCATCCGTTGTCATCATAATCCCAATTGTCTGTTTATTCACTAATCCTTAAATATTCCCCTATTGCCTTTAAGTGCGGAATGACAGAGGCTGCAAAAAAAAAAAAGATCTCAGCCTCCATGAGATCTCAATGTGTGGGGAGAAAATGTAGAGATAACACACTAATTTGTATTGATTTTGTTCTAGAAGAATATGTAATATAACACACCACCAAATAATGAAAAAATTGAAGCTATCGATAAATAACATTTAAAAGTTTCTGATTGAATAATCTTTTGCATTTTATCATCAATTGGTTTTCTTGATTTGATGATTTCACTATAGTTGTTGGTGACCTTGGCTCCCGCAGGAATATTTTTTGGATCTGGATACAATTGATCACAGAATTGTTCGATTTTGGCGATTTTAGTAGTGATTTTGAAATAATTTGGATCTTCAACTGGTGCTTTATGATGAATTTTTCTCAAATAAGTTCTGAAAAGTTTTACTACATCAGGGAAAGTTCTACTTTGTAATATTAATTGACAGGTAGTTCCTCTTCTGATTTTAACGTTCCCATAAAGAACATCAGGATTATTGAAGACTAATTCCATAGTAGCAACAGCCATAACTTGAGGAATGGCGCAAAAGTTGAATGATGAAGGGTCTTTAACTAATGATAAATAATGTAAAACGTCTTCACAATGTTGTAAAGCATTTAAAACTAAATCATTAATACATTGAACACCTTTAATTCTATATTCTTCGTTATCTTTATCAGCAAAATTACCTAATTTGTCGGTATACTTACTCCAAATTTCCTTTGGCCAGAATGATCTACCATCAAGATAATCTTCATTAAAATCTCTGGTGATATTGGTTTTTTGTAAGAACAAACCCATTGAATTGGCCTTTTCATAATTGTTTTTAGCTAATGATTCATCAGAAAATCCGGCCAAGATGAATAATCTAGTCAAACCTTCCCCAACAATACCTGCAACATAATGACAGTATAAATCAAAATCTTTGTTGGTAGCAACACCTTCGGTATTGAATTGTTCATCAACAATATAATGAGCCATACCATCACCCATTCTTTTAGAAATATCAGCCAAGATTTCTTGATATTCTGGTTTCAATCTGTGAAATTCAGTTAAAATTTCAGTGAATTCAACTAAACAAACTCTATCTCTTTCCTTTTCATCAACTTCATGATACAGATATTCTTTCAATTTAAGTAAAGATGAGAAATTTTTCAACCATGGAACTTTAATTTTTGGGTCAATGGACATGTCATCTTCAACAGTATCCAAGGCTCTTAATAATAAATAAAAAATCATGACAACGTCTTTCAATTCTGGATGTAACTCTTCAATAACTTTTGCAAAAGATCTTGAAGTAATGAAAAGCATTTCATAACATCTTTTCAAAGAAGGTCTCATGGCATTTCTATCAGATTTATGTAAGGTCTTTCTGAATCCCAATAAATGGATTACAGACACTAATTCATCAGGATGTGACAATAAATCAAATAATTTACCCATCGTATTAATCAATAAAAATGTTGAGGGATCGTTTAGATCTTCGCGATTTAAAAGAGGAGACATTTCCATCAACGGTCGTCAAAATATCTCTTTCGCTCGATGTCGTTGATGTTATGTCGTGATTTGATAGCCTCTTACAAAATGTTGGTCAACGATTCCACGACAAAGATAAGGGGAAGATTTATGCAAGGGGTAGAAAAAGAATTGAATTAGAAGACAAAGAATCCCTTATATTAATCATTAATCTCTTATTTTACACTTTCGATTTTTTCAAACCATTTTCTAGCAGCTTTGATATTTTCCAAAACTATTAATTCTTCTTTATTATTGACAAATTTTGAATCTTGAGGTTTATCCTTCATGATGATCATGATGAACATATTATCAGTTAACACATCGATGAAAAATTGAGTATCATTACTACCTTTGATGATTAAATTATTGAAATTAGTTCTTAATTTTGAAATGGATTGTTTGTAAGTTTTTATTACATTGGAAATCTTTTCAAACCTCTTAGGATCTAAATTGTCGGAATTTGAATTTTGTAGTTGTTGCTGTTTTATTGAATTGGTGGAAGAAATTACTAAAAATGTAGTTTTTTCAAATAGGATAATCTCTTCAGCATCCAAAATCGAATTAAATTTGATCAAATTTTCATTGAATAAATTCATATTAGGAATCAATGAACAAACTATTTGTGACCATGCTTTATATAAACTCTCGTTCCAAATTGATGTTGGGAATCCAATCAATTTGAATTGATAGGGATTTGAAATTTTTTGTAATTTATCCATCATTATATTGAATAATTCATCTCTTTTATCAACTTGAACTAAATCCATTTTGTGTAATAAAACGAAAACTTTGGCATCTGGACTATGTTTTTGTAAATTAGTTAAAGCTTTAATGAAAATTTCAATATCTTTATTTATAGATTTTGACTCTACATCAAATACATGAATTAAAACTTGAACAAATTTGAATATGTGATCTTTCTGAGTTGTGAAATAATTATCCATGAAAACATCTTGGCCACCACAATCCCATAAATTCAATGTCATATTTCCCAAAAATCTTAAATGGGAGTGTTCAACATCAATAGTTGCACCAAGTCTTCTAGTATCGAATGCTGAATAATTTGAAAATATAATTGATCTCATGGAAGATTTACCACTCCCTGAGCGTCCCATTAATAACAATTTCTTCCTAGAAGATGACATTTTTAGTGTTTTAGATAAATACTCTAGCTATTTGTATTCAGTATTACTAACTGACGTTTTTTCGTCTTATCGCTTCTCGCGATGATAAATCGGGTTTGACACGACCGGTCAACCTTACCCATCTGAATATTTAACATCGAATATAAGTGAAAATGGGAAGGTGGAATGAGCAGATGATAATTGAGTTATGGTGGTTGGAAATAAAAGTCAGGAATTAGGACAGTAATAATTATTTTTACCCGCACGGCATCAAATAATTCACATTTGTAGGGTTTTAAATAAGAATAGCATCCTAAAGTAGAAGTATCTACCCGACTAATACACGTTTATGTATTCATTTTGGCAGCATTTTGACACAATGACATATCGTATTGTTTGAATTAGGTTTAATCTACGAAAGCTACTTCAGATAAAACTCAAAAGTCAATATTAAATATTCTAAGCTTGATTCATTGTCTTTGGTAATAAAAGAATTCAATTAGATGAAGCCAACTTGAAACTTCTCCAACACCTTTTATGTCAATTCCTAATTAAGGGGTTTATTACATGCATAAAAATATTTCAAATTTCCTAAATTTAGTGCCTTTATCAGAATGAGGAAAGTACTATAAAACGTGCAACGGCTTTCAAATGCTTTCATGGTTGTTTTAACACCGTAATTGACAGTGAAAGCTCCCAATTTAGCAAATTAAGGAATGTTTCTAACCAATGATTTCAAGGTTAAACTTCTACTGTATATAATCATAATAGGGGAACATGAATATATATTCTGTGATAAATCCTTTGATTTCTATATCTTCAGTCTTGTATTTGTTTAAAGCAGAATCATTGTTCCATTGATTGTGTCCTTAATTTTTGATTTTGGTTGAATTTAAGCTTAGTGTACAGAAAAGGAAATTCTCAAGATAAGGCTGCAAAAAAAATGTTTCAAATTGTTCAATTACTTGTATTGTCAATTTATGCTGTTAGCATTGTTGGACATGCCATCCCTGGAAGGAATTCTATTGAAAAGCAATTGATCAATAAAAGAGACACTCAAGAGTTAATAGATATGGTGTTTGATGGATTACCTTATAGTGATATTGACTACATAAATAATCATGTTAAGAACTTGACAAATTTCAATGGTTCAAAATGTGATACCTGTAAGAATAAAATCAAGTATGCCAAAACAATGATTGAACAAGAACCAGAAAATCAACATTTAATCAGTTTAACTTTATTCAAATATTGTGTTGATAAACATTCTACCAATGTGGATAAATGTACTGCATCAGATTTTTTCTTGACTACAAACACTGAATCCAAAGAAAATGCTATTGATTCCTTTGATTCAGGATTTGAAGATTCCACTGTAGTTAACTTCTTTGATAATGATTTCATTCAAATGATCAAAAATTTCAATATGTCTAGTGAATTAGATATTGAATATTACTGTTACTATAAGGAATCTTCGGCTTGTAAGTTACCCGAAACTCCTGATATTGATGCTTTATATGATTATGATTCCAAATGGCCTGCTAAACAACCACAACATTACTCGGAACCAACTTATCAAAACGAAAATAGATCAACATTTCATGTCTTACATTTAACTGATTTCCATACCGAATTGAGATATACTGTAGGAGCTGAAGCTAATTGTTCACAAGGTATTTGTTGTTTACCTGAAAGTTTCAATAAGGATTTACCTAAGTTGGAATCTTATAACTTTACTGAACAATATTATAAAGCTAATCCTGATATTAGTTCAATCAATTACTCTTTCTACCAAGGTGCTCAATATTTGGAAGATGGTACTTATGTTAAAGGTAAGAACTATGATCTTGTTGGTGGTAGAGGTTATGACAGTGTTTTCCTCCCAGGTTCAACTTTTGGTGGATATACTTGTGATTCACCAAAAGTTTTAGTCAATAATACTCTTATTGAAGCTGCCAAATTACATAAAGAATTGAATTTCGAATTTTCCTTATTCACTGGTGATTTGGTTGATCATGATGCTATTCATTGTACTCCTGAAGTGACCAAAGAAGCTGAAGTGTTAACTTTCCAATTAATGGATTACTGGTTAAAAGATTTACAAATATTCCCCAGTTTAGGTAACCATGATACTTTCCCATATGGACAAATTGCTCCAAGAAAGTACGATAGAAACAATAGTTATCAATATAATGTTGAATTGATGAGTGAACTTTGGACTAAAGATGGTTGGATTCCTGAAGGTGAAAGAGCTCAAATTACTCAACACTATTCTGGGTTCTCTGTTACTACTAGAAAAGGTCTTAAAGTCATTGCATTGAACTCAAATTGTTACTATCAAAAGAATTTATGGAATTTCATCAATTTGGAAGCTGATTCCGATCCATTCGGTCAATGGGAATTTTTGATCAATGAATTAGTTGAAAGTGAAAAGAATCAGCAAAGAGTCTGGATTATGTCACATATTCCAAGTGGAGATGCTGATGCTTTACCAATTCAATCAAAGATTTTTGCTAAGATTGTTGAAAGATTCAGTCCTTATACTATTGCTAACATCTTTTTCGGTCACACACATAAAGATCAATTCAAGATCTTATATTCATCCAATGGAACTGATGCCAGTGTTGTAGAACAAGACGTTATCAACATGGCATGGATTGTTCAATCAGTCACTCCAGCTTGGGAATTTAATCCTTCTTTCAAATATTATGAAGTTGAAGAAGAATCCTTCAACATCATGAATGCCTTCAATTATTATGCTCAATTGAATGAAACTTATATTACAGGAGGTGATGAACCAGTTTGGCAATTGGGTTACTCTTCAAGAGATTTTTATGACCCTGAAGGAAAATGGCCAAAATCTTCACCTTTAAATGCTACCTTCTGGAATGAATTCGTTGCTAAAAATATTGCCAACAATTCTAACATCGAATTCAACCAAAAATACATCAACAAACAGTACCGTGATACCATTTATGCTCCAGATTGTGCTAATGGTTCAGAGATTACTAATGATTGTTACGTCGCTAATTTCTGTGATATTAGTGGTTTCAGATCTGATGATTATCTCAAATGTTCATCATAGATGCCTAGAAACTCCGTTATTTTCGTATTATTTTGTTTTATAAATCTATAGAGATAGATAAAAGTTATGCCGTTCATTAGTGCTACTCTTCGTCATCCAACTCATCTTCTTCAAAGTCTTCGTCATCCAGTAATTTATCATAAATATCATCGTCATCGAATTCACCTACTACTTCATCAATTTCATTCTGAGATAATTTCAACTTTTCAGAATCCCAAGATGTGAAATCTTCACCATTGGCCAAATCTCCACCTGTTATGACTCTGATCAAGTTCTGTTTCGATACCTTTGTCAATTTAGAGAAATCAATTCTATTCCTGACAAATTCTTTGGTGTCGTGTGAGTGTCCAATACTTTGACCTACTCTTATAAGAGTCTCAATGCATGATTTGGAGTTATTAATCAAATCAGAATCAAATTGAAATTTGGTCTTGTCGAATAATAAAACCACGGTGGATCCACCAAATTTAAAATATCCCATTTCCTCTCCTCGTTTAACCTCATCACCCACATTCTTCGTTAAAATTGTCGACCCTACCATCATAGCTCCAACAGGAACCATCACGACCGTTCCAAAGTGTTCAGTTTCAATTGAAATGATACTTCTGATGTTCTCACCGAAAACATCAAGCTCTGATCTGATGGCCATTGGATTCACGGTATAATATTCACCATCAATATATTTGATGCTCTTTATTTTACCGTCAACTGGACAATGGAATCTATGATAATCTTGAGGAGCCAATCTAAAGATACCTAGGGTACATTTATCTGCATCATAGAGATTGGAGTTTTCCAAATTATCAAAATTTCCATTGAATAACTTTGCAACGGTGAAGTTTTTACCTTTGATCCATAATTCACTCGCGGAAGTAACAGTATCAAAAGCCGTACATCTACAATCTGCTGGTGAAACTACTATCTTGGAAGTATCTCCTTCGACTGGTCTGGCACCCGGTTTCAATCTTCTATAGAAAAATTCATTGAAAGTAGGATATTTTGAAGGGTCTTGTTCCAAACAGTCGGACAAATCTAATTTATGGAACTTAATAAAAGATGGTATATCTTGCTTCAGATTGGGTTGATCAAATTTGATTCCTTGTTTGATACTTAATTTCTTCAAAATAGCTCTGATTCTTTTCTTCCTGGCAGAATCAAGTCCTTTGTATAATAACCTTATACCCAATCTGACATAAATACCCATTTTCTCTTCCAAAATAATCCCTGTGGTTCTATCTTGGACCAAGATGTTGGCAGAATTACTACCTAATTGATATTTCCCATAACTGATTTTAATCAACACTTTGGTAAACCATCTTTTAGTAGCTAACTGTGGTGTTACGTATGAAGAAACCAACAATTTGTCAACTATACTCCATTGACGGGATCCACATATAGCAAAATGAGTTACCACATCGATATCATGCTTGTTGTTCAACCTCTTCTCGAGGCAATTAGGACATTTTTCAATCTCGAATAATTTGTTAACATCACCTTGATTGGATAAGACATGTTCTTCTAAACAATCAATGATTTGTGTTATAGTTAAACTATCTCCACTCCAAGGTTGTTTATCATAATGAGCAAAGAATTTATTCACCAAAACATCACTATTATTTGATCCTAAAGTGTCCAACAATGCAATTAATTCAATATAATCATAGGATTTATCGACATTTTCGTCATCTAAGTTATATTGTTCAAGTAATCTTCTCCAGAAATCCCTTCTTAAATTATCATAAGTTTCATATCTGACTCTAATCTTCAATTTTGGTTTGTTATCATATTTTGAATCACTCAATTTCAAATTCAAATCCATGGTCTTGAATTTGGAAGTATCAGTATATTTAAGCTTTAATTTCTTTCTGAGTAATTTCTTTTCAAATGAATGAACTATATTTTGATCATCAACATAAGTTATGTCTGAATTATTATGACCATCACTTTCACCTTCAGTGAATTCTCCCGACATCCCATCTTCTGGTTTAAGGTAAAAATCTCTAGGAGCTGCAGTAGCACTCTTAATCAAATCGTTAAGTGGTATATTAACGGCCCCGACCTCATCGTGTAATGAGAACCTATCTTTGTCCAACACCAAGAAATGAACGTCAAAATTCTTTTCATGATTAAGAACTTCAAAAGCCAATCTTTCATTAAAGATAGGATTTAGATTATGACGTTTCCAACTAGTTCTAAAAGTCTTTTTACCAAAAGTGACCACAATAAAAGGGTCCATATCAAACCTTCCCATATTTTTAAGTCTTCTAACTGGTGGCAAGTCCGTACAAGAAACGATTTCTAAGAATAAAACACCGTCAACTTTTCGATTTCTGATTTCAAAGTTATTAAGAGAAGCCCTCTTCTTTAACTTCTCTCGGCCGCTCTTGAAACTAAACCTTTTAGATTTTGGCTTGGTTGGTTTACTACTACTATCACTCTGGACAACAGAAGAATCAGTTTCAAAGGCATCGCTTGATACTGAAGTGGCTGAAATAGAACTCAAATCTGATATGGATAAATTCGAGACTGATAAATTATCATCAGTAGTAGGAATGAAATTTTGCAGTAACTTCTTCTGTAATAATTGGTGAGGTTCTAATTCTTCTCTTGAAGTATGTGAAACTCTATCTATCTCAACATCTGAAATCAGTACATCACTCATATCTCCAGAATAGTCATATAATCCTTGATCATTGACGTTCAAAGTCTTGGATTCATTACCAGTATATATCAATGAATTGAACCAAGAATCGAAGATCTTATGGATATGATCATCACTGGTAGCAATGGGAGACAAATCCGAATCTGAAATATTATGGGGAGATTGTAAGAATTGAGTATTTTGTCTCGATGGTGGTTCGACTTTAACAGCAATGTTGGTTGCATTTTCTTCATCTTCTTTTTTAACTTCTTCTCTTTTGCCTTCTTCTTTATGATTCTTTGATCCCTTCAATACCAATTCGAAATTCAATAATAATGATCCATTAACAAAAGCTTTATGGTTTTGATCTGAATATAATTTGTACCATTTGGAGGGAGTCTTGGAACTGAAAGTTTCCCCATTGAAGATATCGTAAATATTCAATCTCAATTCTCCAAGATAGTTCTTATGAGATCTATGTTTATCCCACACACTCAATGTGAGCAATTGACCTTTATCATAATCTTTCAAGGGAAAAGTCAAGATTTGGTCCCAAGTTGGATTGTTCGTAGAAGTTTTTCTCTTTGTTTTCTTAGTAACTCCATTGAAATGGCCAACCAATATTGGATTTATATTCCTCTTTCGTTTATTTTCACCTTCAAGTTCCAATTGATGTTTATCAATCAAATCAGCTGCCCGAGTAGTATAAATGTTGAAGAATAATTTTTCGTCTGGTGGTAAAGTTTCATTCTTTTTAAGGAATCCCATCATCTCTTAATTGGTTCCGATAGTTATTTTACCTATGGATTTGCTGCTCAATTATATTTGTTGGTTGTTTGTTTAGGTGATTTCTAAAAATATCTTGACAATTCAGATCATCAAAATGCGGTTCAAAGTATGCTGTGCGACTACCTCCACTGATTTATGTCAACAAAACCAACCAATTTTGGCCATGATGTCTCATGATCCGGTAGAGAAACGAACTTTTCATAAGTGAAGATGATAAAAAAGAAAGTAGAGTGGATTTATGTATTGGGGACGTTAAGATTATGCAAAGCAACTTAAAAACCATAAACGAGGAGATGATTACTTCATTAACATATCAACTATTAATTTCACATTAAGACGTTTTATATCAGTATAGGTTTGACCAGTACCCATGAAAAGGATGGGAACATTGGTAGCCATGACCATGTTAATCATGGTACCAACCAAATCCCCAACTGTATCTACTTTGGAGATGATGAAGAAATCAAGGTTTCTCTTATTACCAAAAGCACTATTGAAATTGGTTGCTTGTTCTACGGAATCTGTACCAACTAAAGCTTCACCTACCATAATGATTTTATCAGGATCAGCAGCATCACCGAATTTTTTCAAAGGTGCCATTAATTTAGCATTTGAATGGGTTCTACCAGCAGTATCAATTAAAATGACATCGAAGTCATTCTTAGTACCAAACTCAATAGCTGATTTAGCAGTAGCTACTACATGATCACCACCACCATAACCTTTCTCGAAAATATCGATTTTAGCTTGAGATTGATTGGATTCATTCAAAGTGTTTAAGTTTTTAACATGAACTTTTAATTGTTCTACAGCACCAGATCTGAAAGTATCACAAGCACAAATAAGAACATTCATATTATTTTGTAAGAACCAATAAGCAAGTTTGGCTAAATTTGTTGATTTACCCACCCCATTAACACCTACAACTGATATAACATAAGGTCTAGATCTCGAAGATTTAGATTTAATATCATACAACAAATCGGTAGAAATATTTGGTGATAAGATTTTAGTTAATTCGTCAATCAAAGTTTGTTTGAAAATTGGTAATGTTATCTTCTTTCCCTTCAATTTGGTCTTTATTCTATCGATAATTTGTCTTGATGTTTGAGGAGCAATGTTCTTGTTAACAAGTTGTTCGTGGAACTTCTTGGATACTTCATCTATATCTATACTGGAACCAAAATATGAGGTGAATTTAGAAAGAAACCCTGAAGTTGGAGTTTCATCTTCATCATCTTCATCATCACTTTGACCTAAAATATCATTCAATTCATTGACTAAAACCAAATCTTTTTCTTTTTTGAAAGTCATATTATCGACTTTCAATTGTTGGGAATCTGCTCGGACTCCATCACTCTCTTTAGATTCTGAGAAATCCAATACTCCATCAGCTTGGTCAATCATTTCTCCATCAACCCATTTTCTCATAGCTTTTTTACCTGAAGATTTTTCATTGACTTTCTTTGGAGTTTTCATTGGTGTCACTGGTTCTGGTGTACTATTACCTGTTATATCATCATTGGCTTGCAATTTCATCAACTGGTTAAATTGGTGATCAATTAAAGATTTAATCTTGATTTGAATATCTTCATCTATATCTTCTTCGAGATCTTCAGTTAATTTTATATATGTTTTCAAAATATCTTGCAATTTCAGTTTTATCTTATCATTATCAATAGTAGTAACGATATCAAAATACAAACTAGCATATATATCGTCTCTCTTTAAACAATAGAATCTTTTCTGATTTATTGAACTTGTGAAGAAATTATCATCTAATTGGATAGAAGTTTCATTGACCAAACTTCCTATTAAATCATTGAATGGTATTATCTTGTTATTGTATTGATATAAGATCTCACCTGAAGGAGAATGAACAATTAAAGATTGTGACATTCTTTTGATGGTTTGAGGAAATTTGTGTGAGACGTCAGAAAGTGTGCGAATTTTTGTTTTCTGAGATCAAAAGCAACACGAAAAGATTAGCACAAGATGGCATATTATCAACAACCCAATGAGCCATCTAATATGCAATTCTATCAATCAAATTACTCCAATAATTTTTCTCCACAAAATCCTGGGATGAATTCCATGTCAGGAGGTATGGATACTAATTTCAATACTGGATTTGATATGGGTAATATGGGAGGTGAATTAACACCAGGATTATTGGCAGCATTTGGAAGTTCTGGATATCCAAATGAACCTCCATTATTAGAAGAATTAGGTATAAATTTCCAACATATAAAAGATAAAACCTTGGCTGTTTTAAATCCATTAAATCAAAATATTAATAGTGACATAATGGCTGATTCTGATTTGGCCGGTCCTATATTATATGTATTCATATTTGGTACCCTTTTATTATTAGCAGGGAAAGTCCAATTTGGTTATATTTACGGGGTTGGATTATTCGGTATATTAACCTTACATTATTTATTTAAATTAATGAGTGATAAAGTTCAAATTGATTTATTAAGATCTGCTTCAGTTATTGGTTATTGTTTATTACCTTTGGTTTTAATAAGTATATTGGGAGTATTTGTATCATTAGATAATTCAATAGGTTATATTTTAAGTGCTATTGCAGTATTTTGGTGTAGTTATTCAGCTTCAGCTTTTTTTGTAGCGGTCTTAAGATTACATAATGTCAGAATGTTAATTGCTTATCCTTTAGCTTTATTTTATACCGTGTTTGCATTAATGGCTATCTTTGTAGAGAAAGAAAATTAGTATAGTTTCAATACATAGAAGATTTTTATTGTGCGATTTTATTTTTCAAATGAAGGTTAGAGGTTTGAAAGGTTTAAAACCTTTGTATTTGACTACCCCTATATTCTATGTCAATGCCAAACCTCATGTGGGACATTTATATTCCATGTTGTTTGCGGATATCAGAGCAAGATGGGAAACTTTGAATCCCAAAAAGTCAGTATTTGTTACCACGGGAACTGATGAACATGGTTTGAAAATTCAAAATGTAGCTTTAAAACAGAATATTCCTCCAAAAGAACTTTGTGATATTCATTCCATGGAATTCAAAAAGCTAGCCAGCTTGTCGGGAGTTGATTACAATAGATTTATAAGAACTACCGATGAAGATCACATACTGACGGTGAAAAAATTATGGAATTTCTTATATGAGAAAGATTTGATTTATAAAGATAGTCATAATGGATGGTATTCGGTTAATGATGAGGCTTTTGTACCTGAAAACCAAATCGAAGAAGTAGACGGCAGGAAAATATCAAAAGAATCGAAGCATGAAGTAGTCTATCAAAGTGAAACCAATTACTTTTTCAAACTCAGTAAGTTCCAAGATCAACTCATAGGATATATAGAGAAAAATCCTGATTTCATTATACCTAAGAATAAGTACGATGAGATTTTAAAAGAATTGAAGCTGCAACCATTGAAAGATTTGTCTATTTCCAGACCATCATCAAGATTAAATTGGGGGATTGAAGTACCTAATGATTCTGAACAGAGAATTTACGTTTGGTTTGATGCTTTGATCAATTATTTGACTGTTTGTTCACCAGTATTTGGTCAAAAAATTTCTTTTCCTGACACCGATATTTGGCCACCTACTCAAGTTATAGGTAAAGACATTTCAAGGTTTCATTGTGTTTATTGGCCCATCATATTAATGGCTTCTGGAATCAGTTTACCTGAGCAAATTGTTGTTCATAGTCATTGGCTCAATGATGGTTTCAAAATGAGTAAAAGTTTAGGTAATGTTGTGGACCCAGTAGACGTCATTGGTAAATACAGTGTGGATGTCATAAGATATTTCTTGATGCAAAATTCGAATCTTTCTAATGATTCAAATTATTCAGATTATCAACTTGTAAGTACAGCAAATAACTTGACTAACAAATTTGGTAATTTAGTAACTAGAATTGGATCTCCTAATTTCAGTATCGAGGATTCAGTAAACATGTTTAATCAAGGACAATTCACTGACGTTGATGATATAATAGGTGAATCCAATGCTTCTCTCCTCCAAGTGAGAGACGAGTTGTTGGATGGTTTAGATAAATTACCTTATTCGATGGACAAACATTTCAAAGACTTTGAATTTCTGAAGGCAGTCAGTGAGTGGTTCAAAATCATTGAATTGGCTAATCAATTTGTCACCATAGCTGAACCATGGAAATTGAAAGAAGAAAAAGATTTGAAATTTAAGAATTATGTTATTTTGGTAGCTAGTGAAACTGTCAGAATTTGTACGATCTTGATCGAACCTATCATGCCTAATGTCAGTAAAAGAATCCTTGATAGATTGAATGTCAACCCAGAAAACCGAAACGTGTTTCATGTCAAACCATTTGAAGAAATCAATTATGGAGAAGGAGCCAATGAAAAAGGAGCCGAAAAACCATTCGAAAAACTTGAAAAAGCATGAAGAATTCACTTTAATAGTGCTCAATGCTGTTTGTATATAATGAAAACCTGTAAATATATGTAAATATCCCTAATCTTCAATTAAAAGTCGTGCACGTGATTTTCGAAGAAAATTCCAACTTTCCATCATTCAGAAGCTATCCTATTCTTACGCTACTCACCCTATCACTACTCATCCGTCATAACACTATCTATCCACCAATCACGTTCAAGTAAATCCTCGTTTTAAGTAGTGCTCACAGTCTCAAATTCTCAACCCAAAAAAGCTTGTTACACTATTAATGGCTGCAAATTTTACTTACAAGTAAATACTTAAAATGTCAAATTTACTCACGTCATTTTAGCAACAACATCTGAAGAGATTTTGCAACCTAATTTTCAAATCCTAAAGAATTTTTGGATTTTTCCAAATTTCTCCCTTTTAAATAGTTGAGCTTATATTTTTCACTCCAAATAACTCGAATATCTAGTTAGTTTCTTGAAATTATGATTTTTTAATCAGTTTTCATCACTTCTTTGACGTTCAAATTTTGATGGTTTCGAGTCAACGAGAATTCGCAAAGTTCATCGAAGTGCGACTTAATTGTTTTTTACCTGATTATCACACCAATTAATAATCAAAGGAAAGGGTAAATTCATCAGTGAACAATTGTTATTGATTTGATAATTATATTGTGAAGAATTGAATTTTACAATTAAAAAATTTGCATTGGTAAGTCGAGTTATATTTTTCATTTCAATCGCGTATCCTTTTGAACCATATCCAAAATTTTTCTCGTAACTTTATCTTACAATCCAGATAAATTACCGGGCTATATGGTTACAACTTCAAGAAGGCATAAGGGCCCAGTAATTTCTGATGATGATGATGACGTTGATATAAAACAAGATGAAGTGAATAACTTTGATGAAGATGATGAAGATTCACCACCCTCAGAAAATGATAAAAATGAAGATGATTATATTGAAGAAGATGATGAAATGCCTAGAACAAGAAGAAGAACAATTAGATCAAAACGTATCATGAAACAAGACTCGGATTTCGATGATGATGATAATAATCTTGATGATGACGATGAAGAAATATCTGAAGATGATAAATATTTTGAACGATTAAAGGAGAAACAATTCATTGCCACTGACGATGAAGATGATGGTGGGAATTATGGTTATGGATCTAGAAGAAGAAGAATGAAAAGGAGGTCGAGATCAAGATCTCTTGAACCACGTAAAAGAACAAGAAGGACCAGAAATAACAGTGATTCTGAAGACGGTGATAATGAAGAACCTCAAACTGAAGTAGAAGAAGATATTCAAAAGGAAATTGCTGAATTATACGATTCTTCTCCTGAGCCAGGTCCAGTGAAACACAAATTGAGAGAAAGGGCTAAAATCGATTATACCATACCTCCTCCAATAACTACCGATGCTCAATTGGAAAGACAAGCTACAGCAACTCCAAGTTTCACAAAAGGTAAAAGAGGTAGACCTTCAACTGCCAATAAATCTGAATATCGTAATTTATTATTCCCAACTGCTGGACCATTTGGAGGAAGTGATGTAATCTCATTGTTCGGTACCAATATACCTCCCGGTGGTATTCCTATACCAGGATTATCTAATAATGGAAATCCTGCAGCAATAGGTAATAATTTAAGTGATTCAGATTCTTCTGATGATGAGATAACTCCAATAAATGGCTCTGCCACCATTACCAAGAAACCTTTTGATAAAGTTAAAAAAATCAACAACACTAAATTGATAGGAACTTCAGCTACTGGCGATAAGAAGAAGAATAACTTAAGTGATACTGATCCCTTGGGAGTTGATATGAATATAGATTTCGATTCTGTAGGTGGATTGGATAATTATATCAATCAATTAAAGGAAATGGTTGCTTTACCATTGTTATATCCTGAGTTATACCAGAATTTCTCCATAACTCCTCCTAGGGGTGTGCTTTTCCATGGTCCTCCAGGTACGGGTAAAACATTGATGGCAAGAGCTTTAGCTGCAAGTTGTTCTACTTCAACAAGAAAAATCACTTTTTTCATGAGGAAGGGTGCTGATTGTTTGAGTAAATGGGTTGGTGAAGCTGAAAGACAATTGAGACTTTTATTCGAAGAAGCAAAGAATCAACAACCTTCTATTATATTCTTCGATGAAATCGATGGTCTTGCCCCAGTGAGATCTTCAAAACAAGAGCAAATTCATGCTAGTATTGTTTCAACGTTATTGGCATTAATGGATGGTATGGATAACAGAGGTCAAGTTATAGTTATAGGTGCTACCAATAGACCAGATTCTGTTGATCCAGCTTTAAGAAGACCTGGTAGATTCGATAGAGAATTCTATTTCCCATTACCAGATGCTAATTCAAGAAAACAAATCTTGAAAATTCATACAAAGAAGTGGGTTCCGCCGCTCAAAGATGAATTTGTCGAGAAAATTGCTGACTTAACCAAAGGTTATGGTGGTGCTGATTTGAGAGCATTGTGTACTGAAGCAGCTTTAAGTAGTATACAAAGAAAATACCCACAAATTTATTTTACTAACGAAAAGTTGAAAGTTCATCCATCCAAGGTGAGGGTAATTGCTAAAGATTTCATGAATGCTGTGGAAAAAATCGTTCCCTCAAGTGCCAGATCCACATCTTCTAGGTCATCTCCATTACCAAGTAATTTAAAATGTTTGTTGGAAAACTCCTTGAATGAAATCACCCTCAAACTTAATAATTTGATCCCTAATTCCATTCATACCAAGAATAACAAAAAGTCCACTAAGTTGGATGAAGCATTGTATTTGGATCCTACCACTAAAGATGAAGATGGAGGTTTTGGTAGACAAGAATTACTTAAAAACTTGGAGAATTCAAGAATTTGTAAACCGCATTTGCTAATTTGTGGTGATCATGGTAATGGTCAACAATATTTAGGTTCGGCGATATTAAATTATTTGGAAGGGTTCCAAGTTCAATCATTAGATATTGGATCTATGTTCGAAGATCCTACAAGAACTCCCGAGCTGACTATCGTTCAAGCTTTTATAGAAGCAAGGAGACATCAACCATCGATAGTGTTCATACCAAATATTGATATATGGTATAATGTTGTACCATATTCTGCTAAAGCCACGTTAACCAGTTTACTCAGGTCATTAAAGAGTAATGAAAAGATCTTGTTATTAGGAATATCAGAAACTAATATGGAGCAATTAGATCCTGAAATCAAACTTATCTTTGGTTTGAACAATGAAGGTAACAATGTGTCATTGAGAAATCCTAAGGTCGATGAAAGGAAAGAGTTCTTTAAGAGTTTGGAATCAACTTTATTGATGAAACCTTTCGAATTTATCAATGACTTGGAAAATAGACCAAAAAGAAAATTGAAAACCTTAGAAGTGGTCAAACAAGATGTTACTAATAACGAAGACTTATCTAAGAAAGCTTTGAAGCAACAAGAATATCAAGATACCAAGCTTAAGAATACTTTGAAGATCAAATTGGCCAGTTTGATGGATTTATTCAAGGTCAGATACAAGAGATTCAAGAAACCCATAATCGATGAGAACTACTTAACTCATTTGTTTTATCCTGAGATTCTTGAAAATCAAAATCCTTTGATTCCATATGAAGTTTTATATGAAAAGGCTACAGACAAAGAACATGAAAATATGATAAGAGAATTAAAAACGGGTAAATATTATCACAATATTGATTTAGATATTATCGAAGAAAGATTATGGAATGGGTATTATTCTGAACCCAAACAGTTTTTGAGGGATATCAAAATGATTGTTCAAGATTCTATAACCGATGGAGATAGAGATAGAGTTTTAAAGTCTAATGAAATGTTAACTAATGCTCAATTTGGAATTGATGATATAAGTACCCCCGAATTCATTCAAGCATGTAAGGACATGAGAAAGAGAGAATTGGAAAGACAAGCTAAAGTTTTACAAGAGCACAAGGAATTACAAGAGAAGATTAAGAAAGGAGAAATCGTTCTTGATCAACAACAGCCTGCGATTGAGTTTGGTGGTGTTATTGGAGAAGTCAATGGATCCATTGAAAACGGACAATCTAAAGCTATTGAGGATATTGAAATGGCTGAAGAGCCTAAAATTGTTGAAGATGTTGTCATGTCTGAACCTAAAGAAGCTGCTCAGTCAGAAGGGGATGAGATGATCCCTCAAATTGAAGGTCAAATTCAAACTCAAGCTCTTTTGGAACCTAATGGGTCAGTTGTTGATGCTAATGGTGTTCCTATTATTGGTGATGACGTGGATGAATCCTTACCAGCTATCGATAAACCCGTTGAAATTCCACTTAACGGAACAAAAGAAACAGAGACTGAAATTACTGCTAAACAGACTGAAATCGTTGAGGAATCAGAATCAGAACCGGAAGAAGAAGTTTCCATCGATTACTCAAAACCTCTCATTATTCCTGAAACTTACAAACACTTCTTTGATCAAAGAGTAATTGAAATCACTGAACATTGCAACATAGAAAAATTAGAAATCATCATGGCCAGATTAATGGATATCATTTGGAGTGACAGAAATAAATGGGATAAAACTGAAACCGTTGAAAAATTATATGAAGTTTCCAAAGAAATTGAAACTGACTTGAAAATTTAAATAAACTGTATATTTATATATTTTAAAACTTTTATATTACAAATTTCTTCTGTATCATTAAATTGAACTTCTAACTAATCTTCAGCACTTCCATCTCTTGGTCTATAAAGAACACCTTGAGATGTTAAATCTTCTACTATATGAGGAGGAAGCTTACCATTTATCTTAACTGCATACAATCCTGATTTGAAAGAATCTATTCTTAGCCACCTAGCAACCCATGATTGTTTATTATCTTCACCTAATGCTACTAAACCTTCAAATGATGGTGAGGTACAATCTTGAATTTGATTATCATCATTATCTTGATAATGTAAAACTTGTTCACAATTTGGACATCCATTATCAAAGAATCTTTTATAGGTTTGGATTATACCACATAACATACAAGCTCTTTCTGATCTTGATGACATTTTGATGAATGTGTTGAACCAAAGTTGACTGAGATTTTTCGCATTTTTCAAAAATACTGGGATGATATCAAGATCGATATTGAGAGGTAAAAATTGGGCACCTCTTTCTATAACGAGAGTTGCAAGAAGAAACTTCACTGTAGATGTACAGACCGTTGTAACTACAATGACAGAGTCATTCCAAGCATTCCATGAATTTTCAGGAATTCCTTGGTGGGCTTTAATACCTATATCTACTATTACCTTGAGATCATTATGGACTTTACCACTTTCCATACTTCAGAGAAAAAGATTACAAAAACAAGCAGAATATCGACCACTTATTGAAGGTACAAAACCAATTCTAAGATCGACTTTGGGTAAACATGTCCAAAAAGCCAAGGATAAGAAAGAAGACATCGATACTAGTGATATCGTTAAAGTTTTAAAGAGCCAAGTTCCAGTTGCCAAGTTAAGATATGAAGATATTATAATATTCTCTGCTAAGGAAACAAAGAGAAGAAAAGATGCATTATTCAAAAAACATGGAATTCAAACATGGAAGAATTTCATGTTACCTTTGTTTCAGGTTCCTTTATGGGTAACAATGTCCATGACAATAAGAAATTTAACGGGGTGGTTATCTTGGGATAATCTGAGAAATAAAGCTTTGGACCCTTCTCTTCATAATGAAGGTTTCTTATGGATAAACGATTTAACAGAAGCTGATCCTATGCATATTGCCCCTATCGTTGTGGGTATTGCTTCGTTATTAAATATTGAATGGAATACTAGAACCTTGGAATTATCAATGTTGAGTAAAAGAGATAATTTGAGACCTACTTTGACTAGTGCTTTGGCAAATACTTCAAAAATCATGGTTATTTTCTTGATGGGAATTTCCATGTATGCTCCATCAGCTTTATCTTTATATTGGATTACGTCTCAAATTTATTCCTTAGTTCAAAATGTTTTATTGGATTTGATTTATCCTATTAAATATTCCCCTAAATCAAGAATCAAATCTAAACCTAATGATAATAATGACGCTTCAGATATTGTAAATAGATCATAATAGATAGCATATATTTCCCGATCATAAATAGTTTAATCCCTTTTCCAACGAACCCTAGTATTTTGTCTACCATAATAAATACCTCCAACTTCAATGTTGGTATTCCATTGATCAATGAAAGAACATAGAGCACTAGATAAAGCCAATTCTCGAGCCATTTTGGTTTCGTCAATCTTTAAAGTAAATCCTCTGATTCCATTAGGAATCACTTGTCCAATTCTTTCTCTAACTTCACTTTCCTTTTCCCCTGGATTATGCAATCTTTCTAACCATTTTCCTCTAGAAGTCCATTGGTAAGTGAATCCGTCAGCTAACGTAAACATTCTATAACTGTCTAAAGCATCAACTCTGTGGTTGATCACATGCCAACCCAATTCAGAAACCGGTACTTCAGGAGCTCTAATCAAAAGGATGTTGGATCTCAACCCTGCTCTTACGTCAGCAACAGGCTCATCTTCTCCATCAGCTCCTGTGCTTCTTATTTCTTTCGAGAACATCTTATATGCCCCCTTAACAGCTCTGGATCTAACAAACCAAAATAAAGAATCGTTAGGATCATTAGATCCAATAGGTTTCTTTCCCTTTTCAGTATCAAAAACGTCAAATATCTTGGATCCAGAACCAAATCTTTTTAAAACAACATACGTTGAAACATTTTCTTCAGGTAAATCTTTGATGATAGGAACATAACGTGAAGCTCTTCTGTGAGGAGCAAAAAGAATAGATTTGGCCATAACGACTGGCCTCATCAATGGTGATAAAACTAATTCTATGGGCATTCTGACTAGTAAAGAAGTGAGATAGCAGTTATGTGTTCTTAGGAAAATGCTTTTTCTGTGGACATCAGGAATATCTTCTTTCTGTGAACCATTTTGCGCCAACAAAATTTTGCAGCCATCGGAAATAATTCATCTCAGGGTCCCAAAAATTTCTGAAAAATGTGGAATTATGAAGGGTCCATAGGAACCGAAAGGTAAACGTCGCTCACTTGATCATCTTAATGATCAGGTGTCATTATATCACCTTTCTCGATGGTTGTAAAGTGTTGCAATCACATCATTCTTTGTTATAATAAATCAATCTGATCTCAATGTTGCAGCTCAGATTTCATCATAAGGAGTAAACAACTTCAATGCTGGTAGCTCTTTCTCAAAAAGATGAAGATAATAGGATATTATCACCGATATATAAAAAGTACAAGTGGTAGAGAAGTACTGAAAGATCAACCGAGAAAATTAGATCAGAGCTTCGTTGCTTTAACGGAAATAAGACAATAACAATCAAGTAATTAAACACCCCCACCCAGGGAAACTGATAGCTTAATCCCCTAATTGAACCCTCGTTCCTCATCTTAAGTGCGGTTTAGGTATTGTAAACAAAGGGTCTTTCAGATATAACAATAGGACAATGCGCATCTAAATGAAGGAAACAATAGAACTAAATCTGTTTTAGTTAAAGTGCCAGCCATCTAAGATAATAGAAAGATTATGATTTCATCCAAAAGTATTGTATGTTGTTAGTTACTGAAACATGAATCTCCCAATTCATTCCATAAGGTTATGCATAATAATCATCAATTAAACGTTTTTTACAACATTAGGAGATCACAGCAAGATAATCAATTATTGTTTAAAAATGTTGGATTGAAATTTTGGTTTGGATACCTAGAAATCATATTGTTTTCTAATTCAACTTTTCTTTAATAAAGTAATTCAGTAACCAACTATAGTAAACTTTAACACTTCGTCTAATTGAACCCCTTAATTATTTCATGTTTGACATTTCGATATATCAAAACAAAAAATATAAATTGACATCCAACTCCTTGAAGTTTTAATCATCAATCAATTAATTCACTTTTATTAATTAATCAAGTTTATCTCTAAAGTACCAAAAATGAAATTTTCAACTGTTTTCCAATTAGCTGCTATTACTGCCATTGCTTCAGCCGCACCTGCTAAAAGAGATGTTTTACCAACTGCTGCTTTAAGTGCTGTTCCTGATGGAGTTGTTCCAACTGGTGTTGTTCCAACTGGCGTTATTCCATCCGGTTTACCAACTGATGTTCTTCCAACTGGTATTCTTCCATCTGGTTTACCAACTGATGTTATCCCAACTGGTGTTCTTCCAACTGCTTTACCAACTGATGTTATTGGTGATTTACCAGACATTTCAAGTATCCCAGGTTTATCTGAAATTTTAAATCTTTTAAGTGTTCTTGCTCAATTATTAGGAACTGTTGGTGACTTACCAATCATTGGAGATTTACCAATTGTTGGTGATTTATTAAAAGCTCTTGGTGAATTACCAACTGAAATTACTAGTGCTGTTCCAGGTTTATCATCAATTACTTCAACTGTTGGTGATGCTACTGGTGCTGCTTCTGGTGTCACAGGTGCTGCTTCTGGTGTTACTAATCAATTATCTGGTTTAACTTCATTAGCTAAATTAGCTGAATCTCCTTACTCCAACTCAACTAATTCAACTATTTAGATTTCATCAACTTCGGGTTTTTCATGGTTTGGTTTCGTTTTTCGTTTATAATTTAGATAATTATAATTTTGTACTATATCTCTATAAATATACATTGTTTTAATTTTTTCCTCTAAAAAATGGTTACAATTTGTGAATTTTGCAAACAAATAGAAAACAAAAAAAAAAAATAGGGAAAAAATCTAGAAAAGTAAATTGGCACATATCTATAAAATCTGAAGCAGTGTTATTACTTGAATCTTTTACTTTTTGAGTTATAAACATAGTTTAATACAAATTATAATAAAATATAGACGTTTTGAGACTGCATATACCTTTATGATTACATAAGCTTGAGATGATGCGAAGACATTTTAAAGTCCGGTGTTTTATGAACCAATAATCGGAGGGATGGCCGAGTGGTCTAAGGCGGCAGACTTAAGATCTGTTGGAGGGTTCTCCGCGCGAGTTCGAACCTCGCTTCCTTCATTATTTTTACTTTTTTAATCCTTGAACATGATAATAGACAACCTTTGGAAGTTTTGACATGTCTAGGTTAAAAAAATGGCACATCTTCAGTTTTCTTTTGAAGACTAAAAAAACGGTGCGGAAAATAGCGACATTCAAATTTGTGTCTGGCTGCAAATCGCGATACATATTGAGGGAACTAGATAAATAAGGAGTTAGAATGAAAAGAGATAAATTGATGAACTCAGGATCGATTATACAAGATTTGGAAGGAAGCAATTTGGGTTTTGGAAGTCACGAAACTTTCATGAATGCTATTAATTTCGAAACAGAAATCACTACCATAAGTTTATTGAAGATTCATATCCTAAGATTGGTATTGATTTTTAACTGGTCATTATATGCCTATTTTAAGGAATTTTATGGGTTTTTGGTTGAATTTACCCAAACACTTAATATCGTCTATAATATATTGAGCATTAATATTTTTCATGTTGAAAAATTCATTCAATTGGTGGCTAAATTAGTGGTATTGATGTATCTCAATGTAGACCAAAATTCATTGAATATTCTTTTTGAGTTCTTGCCTAAACCTGAAGCTTTACCCAACTCCATTGCGTTGATTTTGAAACTTCAACGAAATCCCATCCCAACACCTCCAGAAATTCCTCAACCTTTCCTTGATTACGATAAAAAATTGGTGGTGCCTAATGAGATACAAGTGAGTGAAGCTTTCAGGCTGAGAAATGAATACTTCACTCATCAGAGGTTATTCGTTGTTAGTGAAAAGTTCAGAATGATGAATGAATTATCAAAGTTCATTCTATGGAGCAGTTTATCGAATATCGAGTTCATCAACATATATGAACCCTCAGGTATTTTATGGGGCAATACTGAAGCATTAGACATAGTCCGTCAATGTATCATTAGTGAGATCACTTCTCAATTGAAATTATCCCCCAATGAGAAGAGTTTAAGGAATCTTGTTCCTATAATTCAACTAATTGATATAAATCTGGGAATCGAATTGGAGATTAATATAAATGAATCAAAATGTACTCAAGGTGTGCAACATGCAAGTAGTCAGCTGTTTACTGACCATTTGATGGAACATCCCTTTGAAACTGACGGCACAGGTCCGACAGAGGAAGTGGTGATTGAGAATGATGAACAGGATTGGATAGATGACGTACGTATTAGGAAATTCAAAGTTTACTTCAGTGATAAGAATATCCAGGATTTAAGAAATTTACCAATTTTCTCAGAATTGATTCTCATCCCCTCGAGTGATGATTTGAAACTTTTAGGTTTCATTACGTCCATGGAGCATAATGAGACTGTTCTTTATTCTACAGAGAACAAATTTGATTTCAAAACCTTTGTAAAAGGTTTACATTATTTTGCTAACTCAATCGCGAACAAAAAATAATTATGTTTAGGTGTAGTAGACTAGTTAGGTTAAATAGGTTCAATAAAAGGTGGATAAATTACAGTAGCATAATACGAAATGACCTAAAAGCCATCAATAATCCTAATAATAACATAACCCCACCCAAAACCCCGTCTCCAACAATAAATTTGAACGATGCACAAGATAAGGGGAACAAAGATACGAAGACCAATCTACAAGAAAGAGATGAAAAGATTAAGACGGGAGAAATAACAGAATCACTATTAAACTTGAGTGATGGTGAAGTGGATAAAGATGATTATCTAACTACGATTTTCGAACAAATGGAACCTTATATGGATACTTATGAAGTATTCAAACAATTAAAAAATGCTGGATTTACAGAGAAGCAAAGCAATGAAATAATCAATCTTTTGATAGTACAATTGAATTCTAAGTTAAGTAAGTTATCTACCAAATACTCCCAACTATTTGAATTGGAGAATGAAAGGTATTTATTCGAAAGTGCCCAACAAGAATTAAGAGTTGATATAACAAGATCTAGAGAATCTCACATAAACGAATTGATAAATTTGATTAATATTTTGGAAAGAGATTTCAGAGGTATAAGTGATGAGTTGAATAATGACTTCCTTCAATTGAAGAATAATAATGAAGTTACAATTAATGATCAAAAACAGGAGAATACTTTAAGTTCTAAAAAAATCATGTTGAAGATTCAAGAAACTAACCACAAAATAACCACGGAATTAAATAGTGAAATGAGGTCAGAAATTGAAAGTTTGCGTTGGCATTTATCACGTTGGGGAGTCATTTCCATTTTGATATGTATCTTTAGTGGATGTGCCACATTCTTCATTTTTAAGAAGAATGCAGATAAGAGAGAAAGAAAAGACGAGTTTATACCTCTAGTTGTTTACGAACCACTGGAAATCGATGAAGACGATTACCATCACGATATTGATGAATCTGACTTATAATATATAATGATAATGATCTCACTCTCGAAAATTTCCTTGTTGCTATGAGTAAAGTTGAACCTTGTAAAGCAGAAGCTTGTGCAATACAAAACTGTCTTCAAACTAATGGATATAATGAAAGTAAATGTACTAAATTAATAGATAAATTGTACTTGTGTTGTAAAAATTATTACGAAAGTAATGGTGCCGAACAGACAACTTGTTGTCCGAAGATCAATCTTTTACAGTTGAAATTGAAACAACGAGAATTAGGTCAGATAGATGCCGAGCTTATCAATACAGGGAGAAGGTAAGAGAACTATCATTAAGAACAAAAATGTCCTTATCTGACAAATGATCACATGTAAGTAATTTTGTTGAATGTTGATTTAAAACCGCATAGTTAACCATAAGATTAACACGACAAGGAGGCCATATAAACCAAATTAATCTAAGGCTTACCCGAGCACGTACAGTCATAGAATGACTATTGAATATATGTAGGATTCATATAAACCGTGACTCTAATGGGCGCCTACTTAAAGACATTGTATGAAGATTTTTCTCGTTCTCATCGACTATTTAACTGGAGAGCAGAAGGTTACCCGGATCGTTCAATAGTATATATTTTTAATTTCACAAGAGGGATGTCATATCATTTATTCTTTTCTATCATAATCATGAATGTTGGGTAAACGGGTTCTTAATTCAGAGTTTTCATCTAACCATAAGCTTTGACCCGTGGAATTTCTGACGGAATTTTCTAATCTGACATTTTTTTCGAATTCTTTTATTGCTGAATCAATTTTTATAGGATCAATTCCATTGTCTTCTAGTTGTTTTCTTAACAAGGCAATATGTAATGACATTTTGAATGATCTTTTTTCAACATTTCTTCGTTCTAGTATCATTGCTTGATCGATTTTTTTCTTGAAATCATTAATTTTAGCTTGTTGGATTTGTAAAGCTTTCAAATGAATGGAAGTGGTCTCTTTATTGAGTTTCTCTACTTTTATTCGATTGATATAATTATCAATAGCAATATAACCCAACGCAAACATTGCAATCAATGACGTTAATTCTCTCAAAGGTCTTTCACCTGATGAACCATTCTTAGATTCTACGATAGTAGGTTGAGTGGGTGGAGGAGCAGAAGCTTGAGAAACATGTAATTGATCATAGTTTGGAGGAATTGATCCACTTGCAAAGTGGGATGGTGGGGATGCCCTAGATATCGATCTGATTGGTATTCTCATGACTGTGCGATTTTCCTCACACTCGCCATATAATAAGAGGGTTCATCCATGGAGAGATAAAAAGAGTTTTAAGGGAATTATACAATGATACGTGGTGATTAATAGATATACAAGCTTAATGTCTTCTTGATTCAGCAATAACTTTATTCATATCTTCAACTTTCTTTAATGATCTTTTGTGAGTTCCTAATCTCTTTTTAGCTAATTTCTTAGCTCTCTTTTCACCAGCGTTTCTGATTAATTCGATTAATCTTCTTTCGTATGGGGCTAAACCGGAAACTTCCTTAACAATTGATCTGACGAATTCAGTTCTTTTTGATAAAGCACCTTTTCTGTATGAAATTTTTGGTTTAACTTCCTTTGGGGTAACTTTGTAACCTTTGTTGATACCAGCGGCAATTCCTATATTTGTTAGTAAATGTTCAACATTTTATATTACGTGGTGTATTGAGTTTATTGGTATTTCATGGTAACAGATTTGACTTAATATACAATAATGATACCTTCTGATGTGATATAAATATTGGAATTTCTTCAAAGATTTATTTATACTAATACCCAACTACATGGTGGTATTTTATTATGTGGTATTACCTTTATAGGTATTCATCTCATCTCATGAAAAAAATTTATTACTTCTATATCTCTTCATTTGAACTGGGTATATGTTGATATACTGACTTTAATCTATTCAACGATCTTAAACAAACAATATCCACTTGGTTTACATTCATTAAAACATACCTGACTTAACCATTTTATTAACGTTAATTGAAATATTGAAAATTTTTGGTGAGAATATTTTCTTCTATGTGCTCGACTTTGGAAAATTTTTGAAAATGATTATGTGACTGTTTTTTCTGTTAACTGAGAGAAATCACGTGCGCGAACAAATGAAATATTCGATAATAGACTTAGGTTGTATTGATGACATTATTTATTCTATTTACATGTATGCGATTCATTAAGCAGTTTGAGCTTCTAATGATTGTTCTGGTAAGATAAATTTTGTGAAGTCAAAGTTATGTTTCTCCAAACTTTCAATAACTTCATCAATATTCATCCAATTGTATTTTATTAAGAAATCATTAAATGATAACTCCACATAACTATCTGACTTAACGAATTGATATAATTCATTCATTAATTTCTTCTTTCCTACAATGAATTTTCTACCTTCGTTATCGATGTGATAAACAGTGTTTGGTGTATTATTACCTTCGTTCAATTCATTTAATTGTAATTTCTTCATTATATCATATCTGATTCTCCAACCAACTTTACCCATGGTTTTAATTCTGGCAGATTTATCTTTTAATAAATATTTGTCTAAACCACCTTCTTTTGTTATGGTTCTTAAGACTCTTGTGGCTACTTTTAATTGAAATACTTTATCCAAAACTTCTGAATATAATTTTGTTTTGACAATGTTAGGTGAATGAGTTCTTAAATTCTTGTTACCGTATTCTGAACAAGTCTTTGATGATTTCTTTTGTAATCCACCATATAAACCTCTATTTTGTTGTTTAAACATTAATGCTTCGTATGGATATTCAGGATAATGAACTCTTGATTTAGGAACATGGGTATTTCTCGATATGACTTCTCCGGCCTCATAAACTTTGGTATCTATAGGCTTGACGTACTTGGTTACTTTCCAGTACTTATCGTACTTTTGTAATCTACAACTTGATGATAATTGTCTAATGAAGTTCATCGTTGATAAAATTTTCGCACCATTTTTCTCATAGTTAAGTTAGAGATTAAAAGTAGAAAGTAGAAAGAGCCTTCACGTTCACCAGGCAATTAGCATGCCAGATACTTCTAATAATTGTTGAGCTTGAATAGCAAATTACCCAAAATTCATCACTCTAGGGACGTGAAATAACGTTTTTCAAATCACATTTATGATAATTCACTCAAAGTCCGGGAATTCTAATTCAAGATTTTTGCATACAATGATTTACTTAGTGGATAGACCAGAAGCTAACCTGTAAAATAAAGCTGACAGGAAATGTTCAAATCGGGTAGCTCCCGTTCGTAGTGTCCTTACCACAGACCTATATGTATCTACATGTTTGTTCTTTGTTGTTCTAAAGAAGTAAACCATGACATAGAATCCTCATGATCATCGAGTGACATCGATTGGTCCTATTTCTTTAACCTCATCCGATGCGAGCACGACAGCTTTTACTCGGGTTTACAGTTTATTATGTAATCCGGCATATACCTAAAGTTAATCTTTTACAGGTTAGGAGGAAGTATTCAGGAGATTAACCAATTAAGTAGTTACCATAAGTAATGGTAATATTGAACATTTAGTGAAGATCAGAGATTTCCGTTATTACGTCGTATTGAGGTATTTTGGCAAATTTTTGCAATCCCAAGCTATTTACGACTTAAGCATTTAAATCATAGAATAAGCAATGTCTACCCTATCTCCATATTCAGTCAACATTTACAAAAAATTCTTGCTTCAAATATGGAATCCTCTCTTGAAAAACCTATCTGTCTTACTCCGAACCAATTTCTTCATAATTCCATGTCATCAATTACACATTGTTCCTGTTAATGGGAGTTCGCTTAATCAAAAAATCTTCAGTGAGAAAAAGAAAAAATACTCACAGTTTATCCCTAAATTATAGACATTTTATTAATTCAATCAATTTTAATTAGGATTTTATTATAGATTAATTAATACACCCCAAGGATTAATTACCCGAAGAAATTGGACTTATTGAAGATTATCGAAATATTTAATTAAATTTTAACAAATTTATTCATTGAAGACATTCATTTTTAAAATTGTCGATAACCAAAATAATTTCAATTTTTAGCATTTTAAAAGATTTCATTTCATAGTTTAATGTATTATTATTAAACTTAACATTTATTTATACATTTAATATTATAGTTAACGAGCCATTAAAAAAATTGATTAAATGGCTGATTTTGCAAAGACAATATTTGGATTTAGTTCATTAAAGAAGGATGATGAACAATCCAAGATTTTCCCAAAGAATTTGGCCAATACTACACCAACAACAGCTATAACTGATAATTCCTTAGTATATGGTACAACATCCAATAATAATGAAGAATTTACCAAAACTTTCAAACAACAAAATAATTTCCAATTAAATTCTAATTTCAACCAAAATAATGAAAATCACAATCATCTTCATAATGTTCCAACTTTTCAAAGTACTATCACATCACCGGATGGGGATCCCGTGATCATTACCACTGATGAAACTGGTCAAACAATGAATCAATCAAATCCCGCACCTAAAGGGAAATTAAAAGTTACCATATTAGAAGCCAATAATTTACTTATTCATTCTCCAAATAGTCAACCTTATGTTGTTTGTACATTTGAAAGTTCAGAATTTGTTACCAATGCTCCAGGATCATTTTCAAAAAGTCCAATGGTCAAGAATAATCTTCATTCTAACCATACAAATTCTAATCCTCGAAATTTATATCAAAGACAATCATCATCAAATCATTTAACAATGTCAGATTATTCTGTAGGTGTAACAAATCCTATTTGGAATCATGAAGCAATGTTTGATGTAGTAGGAAATAAATCTGAAATTGACATTTCTATTTATGATGCTGCTACTGATGATTCTTTCTTGGGCCATGTAAGAATACAACCTTTCAATTATTCTAATAGATCAGGCAATTGGTTCAATTTATCATCTAGAGTCATTGGTGAAAGAGTAAGTGGATCAATCAAAATCAAATGGGAATACACCAGTATTATTGCTAAAACTTATGGACCTGAAGATTTCGAAATCTTAAGATTGTTAGGTAAAGGTACCTTTGGAAGAGTTTATCAAGTTAAGAAAAAGGACAATAATAGAATTTATGCCATGAAAGTTTTGAGTAAGAAAGTGATCGTTAAAAAGAAAGAAATTGCCCATACCATCGGAGAACGTAATATTTTAGTTAGAACTTCAGCTGCTCAATCACCTTTCATCGTTGGATTAAAATTTTCATTCCAAACTCCAACAGATTTATATTTAGTCACAGATTATATGAGTGGAGGTGAATTATTTTGGCATTTACAAAAAGAAGGTAGATTTCCTGAAGACAGAGCTAAATTTTATATTGCTGAATTAGTTTTGGCTTTAGAACATTTACATGACAACGATATAGTTTATAGAGACTTGAAACCGGAAAATATCTTGTTGGATGCCAATGGTCATATTGTATTATGTGATTTCGGATTATCAAAAGCAAATTTAAATAATGATGGTACGACTAACACATTTTGTGGTACAACTGAATATTTGGCTCCAGAAGTATTATTGGATGAATCAGGTTATACTAAAATGGTTGATTTCTGGTCTTTAGGTGTATTAATCTTTGAAATGTGTTGTGGTTGGTCACCATTCTATGCTGAAAATACTCAACAAATGTATAAAAATATCGCTTTTGGGAAAGTCAGATTTCCAAAAGAAATCTTAAGTCCTGAAGGTAGATCTTTCGTTAAAGGATTATTAAACAGAAATCCAAAACACAGATTAGGTTCCATTAATGATGCTAGAGAATTAAAAGCTCACCCATTCTTTAATGACATTGATTGGGAATTATTAAAGATAAAATCCATCCCCCCACCTTTTAAACCTCATTTATCATCAGAAACTGATACTTCAAATTTCGATCCGGAATTTACTAATGAATCAACTTCAGTATTGAAAAAACAAATGGAATTGGCTTCAACTCCTTTGAGTCCTGGAATTCAAGCTAATTTCAAAGGTTTTACTTATGTTGATGCATCAGCAATGGATGACCATTTCGGTAAATCTCACAGAATGAACACTTTCAAGAATCCTGGTTCATTTATACCTGGTAATCCTAATTTACCACCAGATGAAGATGTTATCGATGATGATCAAATTGATGAAGAGGATGAAGATGAAATGGAAATTGAAGAAGATGAAGAATTTATCAACGGGAGATTTGATTTGTAATTTAATGTATACTGAGTTTTGTACTTGACCTCCAGTCTCTTCCGAATTCTATAACTCCAACTTGAGTCAATGTGAGGCTCTTTTCTCCATATTAATTTGACAGCCTCACAATTTTCGCACAATTTTGAAAACAACAATATGGGACATCCAGGAAGACCAAGACGTCGGAATAAAGTACCTGTGATTCAGAATCATATCCGTCAGCCGCCACCACCACAACAGCATGTCAAACAACCAGTGAAGGAAGAACCAACCAATTCATTGCATGATGAATCTGATTTAATATCGTTCAGAAACGATGCGTTATCAAAGTTAATTCAAAACCAAGAGTTGTTGGAAATTGTAACATCTAAATATATTCATACATCTAAGATTAAACCACCATCATCATTCCCAGAACATGCCAAACGACCACAAGAATTAAATGATCAAGAATTAACAGCTTATTTGAAAACCTTAGGTCCAGAAGGTACATATTTTGGAGATTATGAAGTAATGAAATTCGTTACTAAGAAATTGACACAGGAAAGCGAAAACCAACAAGAAGTCAAAGTAGAGTTTTCCGATGAATACACTTTCCAAAAGAATGCTGTTGAAAGAATTGCAAAATTAACTGAAGATTTGAATGATGAAGATTCATTGAATAAATTAGAAGACGAATATAATCAGATTCTCAAAGAATATAAAGAGAAACACAACAAAACCTTGCTTAATATACTGGGATACAAAACATATTCAGTTAAAAATCCCAATGTCCAAGAAGCTCCTAAAGATTATAATCCCAGATCGATAAACTCCATGATTAATATAAACCAAAACCAACCACAAAATAATATGAATAATATGAATACCAACATGAACACAGAATTCGATAATAACTTTATGTTTCAAAATAATAAGAATTTAGATGATATAAATAACTTATTTCAAAGACAATCGAATGATAATATGGTGGATGATATGGGAGATTTAATAAATTTTCAAGGAGATGAAGGAGATATCATTGAAGGTGGAGCTTTTGATGAAGATTTCTTAAGTCAAATAGATCATAGTATGGAATAAATGTATTATAGGAGTTATGTTCTCTAATCTACTGTTTACCATGAGGCTCCTACACGACATGCGCGGATTCGATAAAATCAAAACGATAGTCCCGATCAAATTAATGGCTAAACGATGCAGGTAGAAGCTAGGACGAGAATAAGACAACAAAAGCTAAGGATAACATTCTTTGGCTACATATTTGTATTGATTTTCTTTGCTATTCTACAAGTAATATCAATTGTTTTCTTCAAACAGGGATTTCTTTTATCAAGAGATGTTTCATCAACCATATCATATTGTAATGATACGATTGATCCATGTATACAACCAACCATAGAGAAAACGATCTTTTTAGTTATTGATGCTTTAAGATTTGATTTTGTAATACCCGTTGAAGGATCTGATAAACATTATCATAATAACTTTCCCATTTTATATGATTTGGCTCAAACTAATCCAAAGAAATCCACATTATTGAAATTTATTGCTGATCCCCCAACAACAACATTACAAAGATTAAAAGGTTTGACCACAGGTTCATTGCCAACTTTTATAGATGCTGGTTCAAATTTTGATGGTGATGAAATCGATGAAGATAATTGGTTATTGCAATTATATAATCATAACAAATCAATAGCCTTCATGGGTGATGATACTTGGGAGGCTTTATTTAAGAAGTACATTAATCCAAAATATAATTTCCCATATCCATCATTGAATGTTTGGGATATAGATACTGTTGATAATGGGGTTTTAGAACACATTTATCCAATAATGGAACAAAACGATTGGGATATGATTATTGGTCATTTCTTAGGTGTGGATCATATTGGTCATAGATATGGACCAAACCATCATTCAATGAAAGATAAATTGAATCAAATGAATGATGAGATCTCTAAAATCATTGATAAAATGGATGATAAAACTTTGTTGGTGGTAATTGGTGATCATGGAATGGATTATACGGGGAATCATGGAGGTGATTCAAAAGATGAATTAGAAACTACCTTCTTCGCCTATACAAAAAACAAGAAATTCAACATGAGTCCCAAAGGAAAAGAAAAATATGATATTTCCAACTTAGGAAGTAACTATAGATCAGTTAACCAAGTTGATTTAGTACCAACTTTATCTTTATTACTAGGAATTCCAATCCCCCATAATAATTTGGGATTCCCTATAGATGAAATGTTCAAAGATTTAAAGATTCCTTCAGTAAAGACCATCGAACAGATTAATAGATTCAGACAATCGTCACCAATTTTGAAAGATACTTTGGGAATGCCCGAAACATTCACCATTGAATCATCTAAAAGTTATCAATACCAATCATTAGAACATTGTAAAACCTTATGGGCCAGATTTGATATGAAATTCATTGTTTTGGGGGTAATACTTTTATTTTTCTCCTTTGTATTTATATTAGCTTATTCAAGATCAATACCCTCAGTAAGAGTTTCTACCATGTCATTCGAATTTATTGGGTCTGTTATAGCAATGTCTCTATTGGGGATAGTATTAAGTTTTTCAGTTTACATAGTATTGATGCCTCAAAATTTGACATTGAAAAATTGTATTGGTAGCGGAGTTGCAATCGGGATGGTAATTGGATTTTGGGCACCTATAATGGACAGATTCAGTATTTTGTGGTTACTTCATCAAATAGTAGATTTCTTTGTCTACAGTTTTAATACTTGGTCATTTATGGGTCTTGCTTTCATAGTTTTACATTGTTTGATCTTTGCATCAAATTCGTATGTGATCTGGGAAGATAAAATGATTCATTTTTTTATCATGACCTTCGGTGTGGGTACATTTGTCTCCATATTAAAGAATCCAACAATTTCAACCAACGAGAAAATTTTGGGATTGAATCATTCTTTCACATTCTTATTCGTTTCAAGATTAGTCTCAATGATTAATTTGTGTAGAGAAGAACAAGGTGGATTATGTAAGCCTACATTCGAAACAACTTGGTGGTCAATTGTTTTATTACATGTGGTATCATTTTTATTACCATTAATGATCAAATCGTTCTTCAAATTATCAAATTCCTTCCATTCAGCAGGACCTTTATGGATAAATGGTATGAAATTTTTGTTAATGTTAAATGCATTTTACTGGACATTTGAATATGTTGATAATTTGAATTATTTCCAGATTCCTTCAACTGTTTTTAAATCATTTAAATTATCTATTGCTAGAATTGTTTTGGTTATATCATTAATTTTGGCTAATTATTCCTGGTCAAGAGGGCCATTATGTGTTAAAATCGACTTATCAAGACCTGCACCACCTGAACAAACAATCCCAGCATCTCCTGATGAAGATGCCCCAGAATTGAAACCAAAAGCTACCATTTTAGGTTATGGTAACATTTATGGATCGTCATACTTCTTATTAGTGATCAATTTTTCCATTGCAGTTATGTTAGTTTCCAAACCTTTAGGAGCTGTTGCTATTGCTGGATTGTTAATTCAAATCTTATCATTCTTAGAAATCATTGATTTATTAAATCTAAGAAGAAATCTTGTTAGTCCTATAATATTCGGATTATTAGGTTATCAACATTTCTTCAGTTCAGGTCATCAAGCTACTATCCCTTCAATTCATTGGGATGTTGGATTCATGACTACTGAGAACATCATATTCCCTATAACCCACTTGAACATTTTCCTCAACACTTTCGGCTCATTCATAATCATTTGTTTAAGTTTACCTTTAATCACCTTGTGGAAAATACCTCCAACAAATAAACCAATCACTGCATTATCTCAAATAATAACCGTCATCACTTCCTTGATAACTTATCAAACATTAATCAGTTTATCAAGTTTCATTTTTACTGCCCATTTTAGAAGACATTTAATGGTATGGAAGATTTTTGCACCCAGATTTATGCTCAATGGATTATTATTGGTGGTGATCAATGTGATTTTAATATTCCTTTCATTATGGTTCGGTACAGGAAAGGTTCTTACTCAAGTTAATAGAATATTCGGAAAATAGATATTTATTTATTGTATTAGGCTCTCAAGACATCTCTTTGTACATCAAAGGTGCATAAGGTTAAAAGTGAAAAAGTTACGCACCGCGCAAACTAGATCAGAATCTCATGAACTTACTATGGATATGGTTGGTTTCCATAGTGGTGGGGTTTAACTCATCTTTCACTCCTGACCATCTCCGGTATTTGAAAGATGAAACCAAACTTCTTTTTGATCATGCCTGGAACTCGTATATGGAATTTGGATTCCCCTTTGATGAGGTGACACCTATGAGTTGTCAACCTTATGGTCCTGATTTTAAAGATAAGAACAATATTGTAAGGAATGACGTTATGGGTAATGTTTCATCTACTTTATTAGATAATCTTGATAGTTTAATAATCATGGAAAAGTGGCAAGATTTGGAGAGATCTTTAGATTACTTGAAAGGTGAAAAGTCAACTTTCTTCAATAAGAACGTGATTATTCAAGTGTTTGAAATGACAATTAGATCATTGGGAGGCTTGTTATCAACTCATACCATTTTAAGTGATTCTAGTATCATCAAAAATGAAGAATTTCAAAGGATTTCTGAAAATTATGATGGGTTTCTTTTAGAAATGGCAAATGATTTAGGTCTTCGTTTGTTACCAGCATTCAAAACTTCCACTGGTATTCCCGTTCCACGTATTAACCTTTCTAAAGGAGTGAAGAGTGTACCTTATAAGTTACAAATGGAAACCTGTACTTCAGGGGTCACCACCCCAGTTTTAGAATTTACTTTATTATCGAGGTTAACAGGGAATCCTGACTTTGAGTATTATACCAAGAAAACATTCGAAAAAGTATGGGCAGCTAGACTGGATTTAGATTTATTACCTATGACTTTGTCACCTATTGATGGCGAATGGAAAGACGCCATATCAGGCATTGGTGCTTCGATTGATTCATTTTATGAATACGCATTGAAGCTGTCGATAGTATTCAACGATAATCATATGTGGAACATATTCAAGAAATCGTATAAAGCATTGATGACACACCTGGTTAAAGGGTCAATTGAAGATATGAATTATATGATGTTTGCCAATGTTGGAGTCAATGATGGATTGGATGCTACAGTGTGGATCGATCTGTTGAGTGCATTTTGGACTGGAGTCCAAGTTTTATCAGGAAGACTTAAAGATGCTATTGGATCTCATATGACGTTTATGAAATTATGGGATCATTTTGATCTGATTCCAGAAAGATGGAATTGTTTAATACCGAAAGATAAGCTTGGTTCTAATGAGTTGATAGGTTTAGAATGGTACCCTTTGAGACCAGAATTCATAGAATCAACTTATTATTTATACAGAGCAACCAGGGACCCCATGTATTTGAATATCGGTGAGAGGATACTCAACTTATTCAAGACAAGATTTAAAAGTGAATGTGGGTTCAAAGGAATTCAAAATATCCGAACAGGAGAATTTCAAGATAGAATGGAATCCTTTGTTCTAAGCGAGACTTTGAAGTACCTTTACCTCTTGTTTGATGAACAAGAAGAAGTTTTCTTACATTCCAAAGATATGACAAGAAAAAACTGGATTTTTTCAACTGAAGGACATCCTTTATGGTATGATTATTCAAACTCAACCCAATATATAGAACCTGATGTGCACAGTCATTTCGAACAAGAATTAGAAAAATGTGAATTAAATCCTTTCACCAGGGGGCCCAAAGATTTTCTTAAATCTAATTATTATGATATGAACTTATTTAAATTTGATTATGATTATCAAGATTATTTGAAACGTCCACAATATCTTGAAAATGATGGATACATGGAATTGAACAACGATTTCTTCAACAAGTTTACATTATTCGATACTGAATTGATGTCTCCGGTATCTTCAACTACTAGTAAATTTGAATTGTTCTTGGGTAATTCTAGTGGGATCTCAAATTCCACGATAATTAAAGAAGGCTCATTCTATTACATTGAAGATTTCAGGGATTTAAGGTTGTCCCTTGAATTCTTAGGCGAAGGGAAGGTTGACACATCTTATAACCTAGTCACTAAAGAAATGATACGTCAAATAAACAAACCTATCAGTCAAGAGATGATCGTTCATGATATTGTTGGCAGAGTTTTGAAAGTCAACGGTGTATTCATCAAACCAAATGAAAGGATATTCATCAATAGATTTGAATTAGGAAAGAACAATTTAGGCATCCTAAATAGTAAGTTATTAATCAATGGGTTTTTAATAGAGAATATAGATATTATATAGGAAGAAATGAAAGAATTTGCAGCCCAAACTTGCGGATAAAGTAACCTGCAAATATACGAATCTGCAGACATAATAATGTGCAAGTTTGGGTACCAAGAATAATCTGCAAATACAATCTGCAAAAGGAACCTGCAAAAAAACTTAGCAGCAGAAAAAGTGGAAAGTTATAGAGAATATACGACATCTCCAGATGTGGTAATTCCGCCTCTTGAAATCCCATCAACTCTTTTATCAACCTATTCATCCCTTTAAAACCTGGTAATCAACTTCAAACAGATGACTAATGCACTCTCCCGGTTCAGGAGTTTCATTTACTTGTTATCAAAGTTAAACTAAGTGTTATGACTCTGTGATGGAAAAATCCATCAGTAACCGAGAATTCTCAAAAAAAAAAACTGTTCGCCAACTGAGTCATAAAGATCGGTTTATATTGAGACATAAATCTTGAAAATTTTTTTAGATATAAATAGAAAATAAAAGAAAAATGTTTAAGAAATTAGCATTTACACAAAGAAGATTTTTGAACATGTCATTAGATAGTTCAAAATTAGTTATAAATAAGACCACCACACCAAAAACTAAGTTACCAAATGATGAATTAGTATTTGGTAAGTCATTCACTGATCATATTTTAGAAGTTGAATGGACTGCTCAAGAAGGTTGGGGTACTCCAAAGATTAGTCCTTATCACAATTTATCATTAGATCCAAGTGCTGTTGTTTTCCATTACTCTTTTGAATTATTTGAAGGTTTAAAAGCTTATAAAGACGATAATGGTGATGCTAGATTATTCAGAATTAATAAAAATATGGAAAGAATGTCTAAATCAGCCAACGCCATTGATTTACCAGCTTTCGACAAGGAAGAATTAGCCAAATTAATTGGTAAGTATGTTGAAGTTGAAAAAGATTTCATTCCTAAAGGTAATGGATATTCATTATATTTAAGACCAACTATGATTGGTACTACTCCAAGTTTAGGTGTTGCTACCCCAGATAAAGCTTTGATTTTCGTCATTGCTTCACCTGTTGGTCCATATTATAAAACTGGTTTCAAAGCTGTTTCATTACAAGCTACTGAAGATCATGTTAGAGCATGGCCAGGTGGAAGTGGTGATAAAAAATTAGGTGCTAATTATGCTCCAACTATTAAACCACAAAGATTAGCTGCTGAAAAGGGACATCAACAAATTTTATGGTTATTTGGTGAAGAAGGTTACGTTACTGAAGTTGGTACTATGAATGTTTTCTTCGCTTTCCAAAAACCAAATGGTAAAAAAGAATTAGTTACTGCTCCATTAGACGGTACTATTTTAGAAGGTATTACTAGAGATTCTATTTTAGAATTATGTAGAGAAAAATTAGGTGATGAATGGGAAGTTTCTGAAAGAAACTATACTATTCATGATGTTAAAAAAGCTGCTGATGAAGGTACTTTAATCGAAGCTTTTGGTTCAGGTACTGCTGCTATTGTTTCACCAGTTAACAACATTGAATTCAGAGGTGAAAACATCAAAGTTCCAACTTCTGAAGGTGAAACTGGTGAAGTTACTAAAAAAGTTTTACAATGGATCAATGAAATTCAATACGGTAAATCCCAATTCAAAAATTGGTCAACTTTGACTAAAGATTTATAAAAAAGGTAGATAATAGAGTTTAGAATTAAATAGTTATGAATAATAATAATAATAATGCATGTTCTCTCTATAATCTTTCGATATCAGGTAATTTTTTAATTTCATTTAAAATGTAATCCTTTTCATCGATGGAATTTGAATCGTTGAAACTTGATAAATCGAATTTTTCAAAAAATTCAATGAAGTTATCTTTATTCTTTATTAGAATATCTAAAATCTTCTGGGATTTTTTTGGTTTAGCAATGAAAAATTTGAATATATGAAATCCTTCAATTTGTAGATTTTTCAGTTTATCACTTAATAACATCATAATCAATTTTAAGTTAATAGTATCGTCAAAATACTTATTCAAGAAGAATTGGTTTGATCTTGTCAATACTATTTCACTTAACAATCTTATGCTTTGTCTTTTAGTAACATAATTCTTCAGTTGAATTAATTTATTTATGTTCTTAGTAAAATAATCGTAATTATCTGCTAAAAATTCTGATACCAATTTCTTATGAATGGTCAATAAGTCATGTAATGTTGTAAATGAATCGGTGGCTATTTCAAAGATTTCATTTTGTACATAATTGAAATAATTCCAGAAGTATTTATTATTCAAAATGAAATCATTTATGATTTCGAATTTTATACAATCTCTTAATATTGAACCACAAATTAATCCAATTTCTTGCACTTCTTGATTTTTCATTAACAAGATCAAAATTTCATTCTTTGAAATCAAATAATCAACTGTTGGTGATTTATTGCTTATTTTCCTTCTTAACAATGTCAGGAATAAAATTGCTACATCTTTTCTACTATCAAAATCAAGATTGGATAAATATTTGGTTAAATAATATAGACAATCTGTTTGATATATCTCTTGTGCCAATAATGTTATCTGATCAGGTTGAGGTTCAATTTCATCATCACCGTGTAGTATAATTTTGATTTGTTTTAAATATTTAGAACATTCATCTTGATATTTTCTGTGGTTATCATTGGATAAATCAATTTTTTCGATGGATTCATTCAAATTCTTGATTAACTCTTGGGGAGTTCTTGGATTCCTTTTGAATAGAAATGACATATTATTTGTACTTTTAGTTTACAAGAAGAAAAAACTGTGAGATCTAAAGATAATCGGTTCGCGATAATGGGTATTAAGATATGGCATAAGGTAAATGTCAATAGGAGTAATAGACCTATACTACGAGATAATGAGGAGATACTATACGTTAGAGATAATGTTGGTTTATATCAAGGTAAAGTTAAAATAACTAATCGTCAATTCGGTAGACTTTACTTAACTAATGTTCGAATAATTTATATCGATAATATAGTGGAGAACTCATTATTCCTTGAAATTAGTGGTATCACTCGAACAGAAACAATAGATGGATTCTTGAAGAGGTCACCAAAAGTGAAAATATATTTTGTAGAAGATTTACAACAAGATTCGTCATTAGATTGGGTGTGTAAAATATGTTCATATAATAATCATCTACCTAAAGTAGATATGAATTCATTGCCACCATGTGTTTCATGTGGTATTCCACCAACAAGGAAATACATTGAAACCCTTATGGAGACTCTGGAAGTTTCTGAAGGTAGAGATGATCAATGTTCCAAGTGTACTTTCATAAATCATCCATCATTGAAATATTGTGAAATGTGTGGATCAGAATTGAAATCGAAATTGTCTAAAGCTTTGACCGATAAAATCCAGGAGAATCCTTTGAAAATAGAGTTGGAAGATGAAGAAGCATATTCAGGTGATGATAAATACATCAAAATTAGTTTTAGAATGGGTGGTGAAACAAAATTCAATAATTTATTGGTTGAAATTCTTGAAACAAACAAATGGGATAAATTAATTCAATCAGGTAATGTCAATAAGGATTCCATCAAAGTCGAAGACAAAGTTGATACCGTCAAAGGAAGTGGGATATATAGACTCGAACTCCTTAGTGAACAAACAAGAAAGAATAATGAAATCACTTTAAGCAATTCCCTTGAAGATGTTGAACAATTGATGTTTAAATATCAAGATTTAATCAAATTGTCCAATTCTTTCAACAAACTCATCAAGCCTATCAAAACATACCCAAAGATCAAATTCAATATCGACAAAAATTCAAAGGTTTATTATGAAGAGTTATCGAAATTCTTAAGTGAATATCTTACCTCCTATAAATTAATCAAAAGTTCATCCATGATCACTTTACAAGATTTGTTTGCAGACTTCAATAAGTTCTTGATTCTAAATCAAGGGATAGGTATTGAATTGATATCTTCGAATGATTTCATGAAATCTATTGAATATTTCGACAAATTGGGATTACCCATCATTTACCAAACGTATGAATCAACGGGTTTAAGGATTCTAAAGCCCAAATTCAATGAAAATGTAAGTCAGTTGATTTTAAAGTTTTTAAAGACTTGTGAAATTGAATTCTTTTATCAAAAGTATAAGCTAATATATCAAATCGATAAAGATAATTATCTTAAAGATAATTTCAAGTTTTTCAAAGGTAACACTATCAGTGAAATCAGTGAAGAATTCAATTGGTCTAACAATATTACCATTGAAGAACTAGATAAGTTAGTCAATGAAGGATTGGTGGTGATTGATAACAGTATAATGGGGACATTCTACTTTTTAAACAAATTCATTGATTATGAAGAAATTGATACCACAGGTTTTGAAGAAAGATTACAACAAGAACAAGTTGAAAGGTTACAATTAGAAGCTCAACAGTTAAAGATTGCAACCGATAAATTTGGTAGCAAAGCCTTATTTGATTTGAAAGGCATTAATTTCTGATTATAATTAAAAATGAGGGCCTCAAATGGCTTTAGGCCCGAAGTCGAAGGAAAAAAAATTCCTGGTTCAAGATACCGGACAAATAATCAACCATCTCTCGCGTAAACATACGTGGCCCGATACATGAACTTTCATAATGTAAAAGATAGATAACGCCGTTATGAATCTCTTGACTACTGGAACCATCTTCTCCTCTATTGTGAGTAAATTTTATTTGGATAGAGAGGAGTAATTGAATCTCTTTGGTTCAACGGTTGAAACGTTGAAACAATAAACAAAGGTAGTTTTTTTGCTTGGTGGGCCATTTACCCGATTCAGCAACTAGCAGTTTTTTGCGTTTTATCTCCTGAAAATCAAACGGGCCACATGAAAAATGTCGTGAAATTTCTCATGAAGAATCTACTTATCTAATCAGTGATTGTTTTAAATCAACATTTTTCTTAGGTTTTAAGGTATTTATCAATAAGAGGACACAAGATTTCTAATGGATAATTGAACTAGAACCTTCACTTTTTCAATTGAAACTTTAAAAGTAATTTTACCTCTGTTGTTACTGTTTTAGACTATCTACGTCAAAGGGTCAACGAGAGAAGAAAAATAGAAAATATCAAAGATAGTTCCACGACATTTTCATTCCTGACAGCGAAGTGAAAATTTCGTTTCTTATCTTCTTAAACTTATCAATCGATGCAACCTGACTCAGACGAGTATAAAATAGAAAAGATTTCTTGAAATTATTCATCGAACAATTTAAATCAATCTTCTCCATTAATTTACAAAGTCAATTGATCTTAAGATGTCAGAAGCTACTGTTAGATATGTTCCATTAAACCAAGGTGCTGGTTATGGTGTTCTTGTAGGATTAGGTTTATTTTTTTCAGCAGGTATGATGTTACTTACTTGGATGTTAAGAAGATATAAGAAAGAAGTTATTACTGCTGAAACTTTCTCCACTGCAGCTAAATCTTGTAAGAAGTTTTTAATTGCCTCGGGGGTTGTTAGTAGTTGGACTTGGGCTGCCACTTTACTTACTTCATCTTCAAAAACTTATGTCAATGGTGTCTTTGGTGCTTATGGTTATGCTGCAGGTGCCACTGTTCAAATTATTATGTTCAGTTGTTTGGCTATCAGAGCTAAACAAATTTGTCCTAATGCCCATAGTTATTTAGAAATTGTCCACGCTCGTTATGGTAAAGCTGCCCATATCACTTTCATTACTTGGGGTTTGATTGTTAATATCTTAGTCACTGCTATGTTATTAGCTGGTGGTTCTGCTGTTATTAAAGATTTAACTGGTGTTCACGTTATTGCTGGTTGTCTTTTATTACCATTAGGTGTCATCTTATATACCATGTTTGGAGGTTTGAAAGCTACTTTGATTACTGATTATGTTCATGGTACAATGGTTCTTATCATTGCTTTTGTCTTTGGTTTTGCTGCCTTTGCCACTAGTAGTGCTTTAGGATCTCCAGGTAAAATGTGGGAATTATTGAATGAAGCTGCTATTTCTGACCCAAGAGAAGGTAACGCCGAAGGTAGTTACTTAACCATGAGTTCTAAGTCAGCTGGTATTTTCTTCATTGTCAATATCATTTCAAATTTCAATCCTTTCATTGATAATGCTTATTTCTCCAAAGCTTTTGCTGCTTCTCCAACTGCTACCATGCCATCATACGTTTTAGGTGGTCTTTCTTGGTTTGCTATCCCATTCTTTGTTGCTACCACCATGGGTTTAACCGCTAGAGCTTTACAAAGTTCTGATGTTTGGCCAACTTACCCTCAAAGTTTAACTGATTATGAAGTCAACTCTGGTTTGGTTTTACCAAACGCTGCTGTTGCTTTATTAGGTAAAGGAGGAGCCGTTGCTTCATTATTAGTTGTTTTCACTGCTGTTACTTCAGCAATGAGTTCTGAATTAGTTTCAGTTTCCACTGTTGTTACTTTTGATATTTACAGAAGTTACATTAATCCAGAAGCTAGTGGTAAAAGATTAATCTTCATCTCCCATGCTACCGTTTTACTTTTCGGTTACGTAATGGCCGCTTTTGCCATTGGTTTATACTACGCTGGGGTTTCAATGGGTTACTTATATGAATTAATGGGTGTTTTGATTGGAGGTGCTGTCATTCCTCTTTGTTTAACTTTATTCAACAAAAGTCAAAATGCCTGGGCTGCTGCTTTGAGTCCTCCAATTGCTACTGTTTTAGCCATTATCTCTTGGATTGCTTGTTCAAAAGGTGTCTTTGGAGCTGTTGATGTTAATACCACTTTCGAAGATTATTCAATGTTGACTGGTAATTTAGTTGCCTTAATGTCCCCTTGTTTCTTGATTCCAATCTTTACTTACGCTTTTAAACCTCAAAACTTTGATTGGGAAATCTTAAAGAACGTTAGAAGAGTTGATGAAGAGGAAGAATTATTAGCAGCTGAAGGTGTCAAGATTGATGAAGAAAATTCCGATAAATTGGTTCCTTTGACTTCTAGAGTAACTCAAATTGCTTCAAACCTTGCTGACCTCCATAAAAATGATTTAGCCGAACAAGAAACCATTTTGAAGAAACATTTCAAAGTTTCCCTTGCTTTGTGTATCTTCTTGACATTTGCCTTCCTTTTATTATGGCCAATCCCAATGTATGGTTCTAAATACGTTTTCAGTAAGAAATTCTTTACTGGTTGGGTTGTTGTTGGATTTATCTGGTTATTCTTCTGTGCCGCTGTTGTTGTCGTTGGTCCATTGTATGAAAGTAGGGAATCACTTGTTCTTGTTCTGAAATCCATCTATTGGGATTTAACTGGCCAAAGTTACAAGTTCAAACAATGGCAAGATGAAAATCCTGAAAAATTGACTGCCGTCAAATCACAAATCTCCCAACAGTTGTCTCAAAGAGCTCAAATTGTGGAAGCTAAGAACATCGATGAATATTTGGTCAATGAAGATCTGGATAAAAAGTCCGGTTAAAATTTAGGTTATAGAGTAACCTTTTAGTGAGTATAATATATGTGTTTTAATTGAGATAACTGGTAATATTCTTTTCAAACTCTATGGTGGAAGATTAAAAAGACTGATCTGCAAAAATTGCAAATAAAAAACATTGAGCGTTCTGTATTTTGATCTGAAAAAAGTCAATTTCTACCCGATTGATTAGCAGTAAACTGGTTAACGTAAACAATGTGTTACACGTATTGTGGATCTTAAAATTGAAACAAAAATCGTTTTAAATTGACATTTTTTACGATTAATTAAAATGCGGTATCAAATTTGAAGTGATGTATCACAATTGAAGTAAATCTATAGATAAGAAAATTATCGTGGGGCTTTTTTGATCTATAAATTATCCTCAATTCCCCCCTTGTTGTTACAGAAAGAAATGGCACCAATTGACGAGTCGAACATTGATCAAGAAGTTCACGAAGAAGTAAACTCTGAAACAGTTATTGAGGATGTTCCTTATGAAACCAGAGGTGAAGCTGTCGAAGATGGAGACGAGGAGCCCCTTTCTATTCCAGCTGATAACAATCCAGTCCAAAGTAAATCAAAAGAAGGTACCAACTTCTTTGTATCAATCTTATCCAAGTTTGAAAAGGTTTTGAAAAAAGAGAAACCACCACCAAAAATAACTGTTGATGAAATCAGTGAAGTTCCTAATGAACCTGAAAACCAAGACAAACCTGATGAAGCCTTGCAAAAAGAAACAGATATGGGGGAATTAGAAGTCAAACCAATTAAACCTAAGAAGAAAATATTCAAAAAGTTTTGGAATTGATGTTGCATATATTGAATCACATGACACACATGATGGATTGAATATGATAATAGTTAGATAAGCGGAATTATTTAAAGAAAACCTAATGCAAATCTGTAACGTCCTGTCTAGTTTATCGCACCACATCTCATCTCATCTCTTAATCTCAAAGGCCCATCCGTTTTGAAAAGGGCCCTATATCGGGTCCAGATAACGCAGACTGATAAGGAACGGATAAATGTCCTGGTATAACAGGTAAAATTTTCTGAAAATTGTGAGAATTTCCACTGAGTGAGAATATCTCCAGCCAATGAAAATTGAGAATCTAAAGGTTATATCAATCTCCTAGAGGATTAATAGTTACTATGTAAATGTATTGATGTCACTGAAAAGTGGGTGAAGATGAAGAATATTACGGATGTACAAGTCACCTGTGTAATTGTAACTCCTTTAAAGTCTTAACTTGTGAATTTTATTAAGATTTTGCCCATGTAATGTAAAGTTTTACACATTAGATTATAATTGAGGTTAACTTTAAACATGCATTTATTTGGCTGCAAAAACATTGTTATTATCCGGAGTTGTTGCAAACTTCATGTACTCTTTCGAGAACACCTCTGGTCCCAACTAAAGTCCGGAAATTGGAATTTTAACGGCCCCGACACCATGGCCCATAGGAATTTTTTTCGATCTTCTACTAGTTTCCCCAAACAACCATCTACTGATTGGGTTCGCGCACGCAGGTTTCGGGATAATCCATAAGTAAAAACTGGACAAGATTTATATATTATAGATAATCCTAATCTTTTACATTATTGATTTTTAGATCTTTTAATTTGGTATCTTTGTAGTGAATTGGAATTTTTAAATTGAAAGAATCTTTTAATCATGTCATATATTGGGTGGACCGTTAGTGAATGGAAGAAATTCCATTTTGATGCTACACCAAATGAATCATTTAAATTGTTATTACAATTAGTTAATGATCAAGACGAAAATGATCCAGCTTGGATTAAAATTGTTTCTGAAGACAATTTAAGACATCAATGGGATTTCTTACAAAGTAACAGTAACAAAAAAGACTTACCACTTTATGGGGTACCTGTAGCTATTAAAGATAATATTGATGTGAAACATTTACCAACAACTGCTGCTTGTCCAAGTTTTGAATATGATCCTAAAGAAGATGCTACAGTAGTTAAATTGTTAAGAGACAAAGGTGCCATAGTTATTGGTAAAACTAATTTAGATCAATTTGCAACTGGTTTAGTTGGTACTAGATCTCCATACGGTATAACACCATGTACTTTTAATGACAAATACGTCAGTGGTGGTTCTTCTGCTGGTAGTGCTTCTGTTGTTGCTAGAGGTATTGTACCTGTTTCTTTAGGTACTGATACTGCTGGTAGTGGAAGAGTTCCTGCTCATTTAAATAATTTAATTGGTTTGAAACCAACTAAAGGTGTATTTTCATGTAAAGGGGTTGTTCCAGCTTGTAAATCTTTAGATTGTGTTTCTATCTTTGCTTTAAATTTACAAGATGCTCAATTATTATTCGAAATCATGGCTAAACCTGATGTTGAACATGATGAATATTCAAGACCTTTACCTCCAAATCCTTTATTATCATTTTATAAACCAAAAATTGGTATTCCAACCAATTTGTTATGGTTTGGTGAAACTGAAAATCCAAAGGTTTATAATAAAGCTGTTGATGTATTCAAGAGTATGAATTACGAAATGCCACCAGTTAATATCGATCCTTTTGTTGAATTAGCTAAATTATTGTATGAAGGTCCTTGGGTTACTGAAAGATATGTTGCAACCAAAGATTTTTTCGCAACCAATCCTCCAGCTAAAGATCTTGATCCAACAGTTAAAAAGATTATCGAAGGTGGAGAATCTTATACCGGAGCTAATTGTTTCAAATATGAATATAAGAGACAAGCATTATTACAAAAAATCAATGAAATCATGTCTAATGTTGATGTCATTGTTTTCCCAACAGCTCCATTAAATCCTTCAATCAAACAAGTTCAAGAAGAACCAATTAAATGGAATAGTTATCAAGGTACTTATACTAATTTCGTTAATTTAGCTGATTTAACAGCCTTAGCTATCCCTGCTGGTTTCAGATCCGATAATTTACCATTTGGTATCACTTTAATATCACAAAAATTCAATGATTATGCATTATTGGAATTAGCTAATCAATTCTTAAAGAAATTTAATTCAAACAGATTCGTTGGTTGCTTAAAGGATACTTTGGTTGGAACTGGTGATGAATTATTACCAATTCCTCAACCAAACCCTTCAACTTCAGTCGAATTAGCTGTTGTTGGTGCTCATTTAAAAGGTTTTGAATTACATTGGCAATTACAAAAATGTAACGCTACATTTGTCAAACAAGCTAAAACTTCAAAAAATTATAAATTATATTGTTTACCAAAATCAGGTCCAATTTTGAAACCAGGTTTAAGAAAAATCAATCCTGATGAAGAAACTGGTGGTGACAATATTACCATTGAAATTTATTCTCTTCCAATTGAAAAATTCGGTGAATTCGTTTCTATGGTTCCTCAACCTTTAGGTATTGGTTCAGTTGAATTAGATGATGGTAAAGTTATCAAATCTTTCATTTGTGAAGAATTTGGTTACAAGTCTAAATCTACTGTCGAAATTACCAAATATGGTGGATGGAAGAATTTCATCGAAGCTGAAAAGGCTAACAAAAACAAAAAACCTTTCGACTCAGTATTGGTAGCTAACAGAGGTGAAATTGCTGTAAGAATCATCAAAACTTTGAAAAAATTGGGAATTAAATCTATTGCTATTTACTCAGACTTAGATAAATACGCCAAACATGTTTTAGAAGCTGATGAAGCTATTCCTTTACATGGTAGATCAGCTGCTGAAACTTATATTTCCATTGATAAAGTTATCGCGGCTGCAAAAAAATCTGGTGCTGAAGCTATTATTCCAGGTTATGGTTTCCTTTCAGAAAACGCTGATTTCTCCGATAGATGTGGTAAAGAAGGAATCGTTTTCGTTGGTCCAAGTGGAGATGCTATCAGAAAATTAGGTTTGAAACATAGTGCTAGGGAAATTGCCAAAACTGCTGGTGTTCCATTAGTACCAGGTTCAGATTTAATCAAATCTCCTAAAGAAGCCAGAGAAGTTGCCAATAAATTAGAATATCCTGTTATGGTTAAATCTACTGCTGGTGGAGGTGGTATTGGTTTACAAAAATGTGACTCTGAAAATGAAATTGAAAGAATTTTCGAAACTGTCCAACATCAAGGTAAATCATATTTCGGTGATGATGGAGTTTTCTTAGAAAGATTTGTTGAAAACTCTAGACACGTTGAAATTCAAATTTTAGGTGATGGTTTCGGTAAAGCTAAAGCCTTAGGTGAAAGAGATTGTTCTTTACAAAGAAGAAATCAAAAGGTTATTGAAGAAACCCCAGCTCCTAACTTACCTGAAACTACTAGAGCTAAAATGAGAAAAGCTGCTGAATCCTTAGCTTCAGTATTACATTACAAATGTGCTGGTACTGTTGAATTCATCTATGATGAAAAACGTGACGAATTCTACTTCTTGGAAGTTAATGCTAGATTACAAGTTGAACATCCTATTACTGAAATGGTAACAGGATTCGATTTAGTTGAATGGATGTTATTAATTGCTGCTGATATGGCACCAAATTTGGAAGAACAAGTCATCACTGTCACCGGTGCTTCAATGGAAGCTAGATTATACGCTGAAAACCCAGTTAAAGATTTTATGCCATCTCCAGGTCAATTAACCGAAGTCAAATTCCCTGAATGGGCAAGAATCGATGGTTGGGTTGAAAAAGGTACTGTTGTTTCTGCTGAATACGATCCTACTTTAGCTAAAATCATTGTTCACGGTAAAGATAGAAATGATGCTTTAATGAAATTGAGAAAAGCTTTGAATGAAACCGTGGTTTATGGATGTATTACTAATGTCGATTATTTGAGATCAATTGCCAACTCCAAGATGTTTGAAGATTGTAAGATGCATACTAAAATTTTGGATTCATTCAAATATCAACCAACTGCTTTTGAAGTCTTAAACCCTGGTGCTTACACTACTGTTCAAGATTATCCAGGTAGAAAAGGATATTGGCACATCGGTGTTCCTCCATCAGGTTGTATGGATGAATACGCTTTTAGAATTGGTAATAGAATTGTTGGTAATGATAAAAAAGCACCTGGTATTGAAATCACCTTAAACGGTCCTAAATTCTTATTCCATCACGATACCGTTATCGCTGTTACCGGTGGTAAAGTTAAGGTAGAAGTTAACGACAAAGAAGTTAACCAATGGGAACCAATTGAAATTAAAGCCGGAGACAAAGTCAATGTTGGTAAATTAATTGAAGGTTGTAGAGCTTATTTGACTATTAGAGGAGGTATCGATGTCACTGAATACTTGGGCTCTAGATCCACTTTTGCTTTAGGTAACTTAGGTGGTTACAATGGTAGAGTATTAAAATTAGGTGATGTTTTATTTTTAGGTCAACCAGAATTACCAAGTTGTACCTTACCATCACCAGTTTCTAAACCTACTAAAGTTCCAAGCCAATTAATTCCATCATACGATTTCAATGCTAAGAAATCATGGAAAGTCGGTGTCACCTGTGGTCCTCATGGATCTCCAGATTTCTTCAAGAAAGAAAGTGTTGAAGAATTCTTCCAATCTGAATGGAAAGTTCACTACAATTCCAACAGATTCGGAGTAAGATTAATTGGTCCTAAACCTCAATGGGCCAGACCTGATGGTGGAGAAGCTGGTTTACATCCTTCTAATGCTCATGATTATGTTTATTCATTAGGTGCTATCAATTTCACTGGAGATGAACCTGTTATTTTAACTTGTGACGGTCCTTCTTTGGGTGGTTTCGTTTGTGAAGCTGTTGTCGCTGAAGCTGAAATGTGGAAAATTGGTCAAGTTAAACCAGGTGATTTGATTCAATTCATTCCTTTAGATTGGGAAACTGCTAAAGGTTTGAAAACTCAACAAGATAAAATCATTGAATCTTTCGAAGGTGAATTACCATCTTTCGAAAGTAAGATCTTATCATCACCAAATGATCCAGTCTTAGCTGTCATTGATAAGAGTAACAGTTCTCCTAAAGTGGTTTATAGACAAGCTGGTGATAGATATATCTTGATTGAATACGGAGATAATGTTATGGACTTAAACTTGAGTTATAGAATCCATAAATTGATTGAAATCATTAGTGAAAGAAAAACTCATGGTATTGTTGAAATGTCAAGAGGTGTTAGATCAGTTTTGATTGAATTTGATGAAATCTCTCAAAAAGATTTATTGAAGATTTTGATTTCAATTGAAAAGGAAATTGTTTTCATTAACAAATGGAAGATTCCTTCAAGAATTATCAAATTACCAATGGCCTTCGAAGATAAAAAGACTATGGACGCCGTTAAAAGATATAGTGAAACTATTAGAAGTGAAGCTCCTTGGTTACCAAATAATGTTGACTTCATTGCTTCTATTAATGGTATAGAAAGATCTGATGTTAAAGATATGTTATACACTGCTAGATTCTTAGTCTTAGGATTAGGTGATGTTTTCCTTGGTGCTCCATGTGCTGTTCCATTAGATCCCAGACAAAGATTCTTAGGTACCAAATATAATCCTTCAAGAACTTTCACACCAAACGGTACTGTTGGTATTGGAGGTAGTTATATGTGTATCTACACCATGGAATCTCCAGGTGGTTATCAATTAGTTGGTAGAACTGTTCCAATTTGGGATAAATTAACCTTAGGTTTACATTCAGTTGATCACCCATGGTTATTATCACCATTCGATCAAGTTGAATTTTACCCTGTCAGTGAAGAAGTTATTGATAATTACAGTGATGAAATGAATGCAGGTAAGTTCAAGGTTGATATCATTGATACTGTTTTCGATCATGGTAAATACTTAGAATGGATTCAAGAAAATTCTGAGTCAATTGAAGAATTCCAAAAGAACCAAGGTGGTGATAAATTAGAAGAATTTAACAGATTAATTCAAATTTCTAATGCTGAGTTAGCTAAAAGTTCTCAACCAGTTAACACTGAAGAGGACAAATTCAGTGAAGATGCTGAAATGGTTTATTCTGAATTCAGTGGTAGATTCTGGAAACCTTTGGTTGAAGTTGGTCAAGAGATCAAAAAAGGGGATGGCTTGATTGTTGTTGAAGCTATGAAGACCGAAATGATTGTTAATGCCACAAAAGACGGTAAAGTTGTAAAGATCTTCCATAAAAATGGAGATATGGTTGAAGCTGGAGATTTAGTAGTAGTTACTGAGTAAATTACTAGTTATTGTTTAATGTAAGATAATGTGAATAACCTCTCTGGAACTAATTCTCTATTCAGTTTATTCTGAAAATTGAAAAGTTCTTCTCCTTGTTGAAAATGGCAGACTCTTCTCTTTGACAATTAACATCGAACTTCTGGTCTTAAGTATGGTGAAAAACTTGCGCGAATTGAAATCAACGCGTTATGGCAGACTTATTGAAACCTGAAGTATGGACATCTTCATCCAATGAGTGTTTGAAGTTATTCATCACTACTGACGGTGCAGCAATAAACTTTCAACCAAGTTTCACATACCCTATTTTTGGAGATAGCGAATCAATCTTTGGATTTAAAAATTTAGTTATATTTTTATGTTTCGATCATTATACTTTCTATCCATTTTTGAATGTCAAATACGATGAAAAATTAGATGACGATACTATCAAAGACCCCAAAGAAACAATGATGAAATTCTTACCTGAATCAACGGTATTTAAAGATGAAGTTAAATGGGTTGATGAAATAAACAAAGAATATGAAACTTATAACATACCTGGGGAAATGATATCCCAATTTGAAACCTATAAAATCTATAAAATCAACTTGAAAGACTTGGATGGGATTGAATTACAAAAAAGATTACAAATCTTAGTACTTTTATTTATTGAAGCGGGATCTTTCATTGATTATAAAGATGAATTATGGGACTTATATGTAATCTATGAAGAATCTGAAACATCCAAACCCTCAATTGTTGGTTTCACCACTGTGTATAATTATTGGAAATACCCTGGAAGTACAGACTTCGATAATGGGGTTGAACAAATAAGAAAGAAAATCAGTCAGTTTGTGATATTACCTAATTATCAAGGTAAATCAATTGGTTCTAAATTTTATACCCATTTATACGAATTTTGGTTGAAAGATCCTAAAATTATTGAAATAGTTGTTGAAGACCCCAATGAAAGCTTCGATGATATGAGAGATAAGGCAGATTTGACTCGATTGAAATCAGTGCTTGATTTAAAATCAATAAATTTTGAAAAATTAAGTAAAGAGTGGATTGAAAATTTCAGAAGTGAACAAAAATTGGAAAAAAGACAATTCAATAGGTTGATTGAAATGATTTTATTAAACAATTACAAAACTTTCAACAATTTGAGTTTGAAACAGATAAGATTATTCATTAAAAAGAGATTATATGAAAAGAATAAAGAAGCACTCTTAACCTTAGACAAACCAACCAGATTTGATAAATTACAAACAGCTTATCAATCTTTAGAAGAAGATTATTACAGAATTTTAGGAGGTGTAAAATTGTATACTAGAGAAGGTGAAACAATTGAGAGTAGTAATAATAAAAGAGCTAAATTAAGTGTATAAATATAAATGGTTTTGATACTTCTCACGTGACTTTGTAGATAACCACTGCCGCAGATTGCGGGCCACTATCAAAAGTTTCTCTTACTCGTCTAACTGAGGCGGATTGAACCCTAAGGCTATGACATCCAAAAAGCTCAAATAAATCTGGGACTATTGTTCTCAATTGATCCCATCTAACGCCAAGTGCTAATAATAACGATTACATAGTTTTTCATCTTTCCTTACGTAGTTCTTACAACCGGCTAAATTTAAATTTTTTTCAGATTACGTCATCCATGATCATGAGTTTTCTACATACTTCTTTTTTTGCAATTTGGAGATTCAAATTTGCAACCAATGCAGGACTTATGTACATTCACGGAAAGGCAGGTTAGACGAGAAGTAAATGCTTCGCCATTGATTTGTATACTCTTCAATTGACTTTTCAATCATTAGTTATAAAATTGAGAGTAATTAAACCAATTAGGTTAACAAATTTCTCACCTCACTCCACAACTATCTTAAATACACCGTCATCTATCCTTACTCATCTAACTAACTAACTACCTATCTAACGATCAACTTCATCAACTAACTACCAAAACCAATGACTTTATCCATTGTGGTTGAGTTGCTAAAATTAAATTTAAACCCTAGGAAAATGACTGGGTGTCTCCTGTATATAAATTACAGCAAGTAAAGTGTTTTCTCTCGAGAAATTTCAGGGATTCGTTGAACCATAAAAGGGGATTGAATTTCCGATTAAAAAATCTCAAGAATTTTCTATTAATTAAAAATGCATAGAACATATTCATTAAGATCACAAAAAGCACCAACTGCTTCTCAAATACAAAGTCCACCACCTCCACCATCATCAACCAAATCCAAATTCTTTGGTAAAGGTGGTATTGCTTCAACTTTCAGAAAAACTGTTGCTGGTTCAACTGGTCCAGAATTATCAAGAAAGTTAAGTCAATACATTAAGATGGAAAAAAATGTTATGAGAGCTTTAGAATTGACTGCTAGAGAAAGAAGAGATGTTGCTAAACAATTATCTGCTTGGGGTGAAGAAAATGATGATGATGTTTCTGACGTTACTGATAAATTAGGTGTTTTAATCTATGAAATTGGTGAATTAGAAGATCAATACATTGATAAATACGATCAATACAGAATCACTTTAAAAACCATCAGAAACATTGAAGGTTCAGTTCAACCATCAAGAGACAGAAAACAAAAAATTACTGATGAAATTGCTCATTTAAAATATAAGGATCCTCAAAGTCCAAAAATTTCTGTTTTAGAACAAGAATTAGTTAGAGCTGAAGCTGAAAGTTTAGTTGCTGAAGCCCAATTATCTAACATTACCAGAGAACAATTAAAAGCTGCTTTCAACTATCAATTCGATGCTACCAGAGAATTAGCTGAAAAATACGCTTTAATTGCTGGTTACGGTAAAGCTTTATTAGAATTATTAGATGATTCTGCTGTTACTCCAGGTGAAACCAGACCAGCTTATGATGGATATGAAGCTTCTAAACAAATTATTATTGATGCTGAAAATGCTTTAGCTTCATGGACTTTAGATGCTGCTGCCGTCAAACCAACTTTATCTTTACACCAATCTGAATATGATGAAGAACCAGAAGAAGGTCAATTAGCTGAAGCTGAAGAAGAATTCGCTAAACACGATAAATAAATTTAATTGTACTATTAATCCAATTAGTTTTGTCGGTTTTGCCTTATTAAGTAAATAGTAATATTTGAATAGTATAAAAAAAGTTAATCTTCGATCACTTGTTGGTATTTAGTTTGTGAATGTATTATTATAATTTATTTCTACGAACCTCTAAAACATTATTCTGATGTTGTGGGATTCCATCAATTCAGTTTCATTTGATTCATCTACATTAAGATGAATGGAGTTATTGGTAGATAACTCTAAAACGGACATAAATGATTTACAAACCAAAGTTTTTGTACATCTAGGGGGACAAACTTCAGAAAACTTAAGAAGAGACGATTGGAAATTTTTCAAATAATTGAAAAATCTATTACTCTCTTCAATGGTTTGGTCAATCCCTGAAATTGGACCGTAAATAGAATTTGACCTCGAAGTAGATCTGGATAATGAATTGGTCCTAACTCCCGAGAGGTCTAATTCGGGAAATGAAAGCTCAAACCTTGCATCATCATCGACACTTTGCTCATAATCAAAAATTCCTTCTTCACTTTCCATATCATACCTGATCTCTTCAACTAACTTTCTTCCGATTTCAATATCTCTATCAAACGGATGCTTGCCTTTGAATTGTTTTTTTAATCTTTGAATTTCCATGATAATTTCATAATTATTTTTAAAATCATCAAATTCGGAGGTGGATAATCTAAGCTCTTCGTCAATTATCAACTTGAACTTTCTTTTGTTCGAGTTAACATCTACCTTAGTTGCCACGGGCAATTCGTTAATTTTTTGAAGGTTTTTGATACCACTTGAAGAAGAATTCAAATCTAAATCTAAATTCAAATCGAAATCCAAATCGAAATTATCTAACATAGGTTCACTGAACATGGTACTCCTATTAGTCAAGTTGAGTTCCATATCATAATCATCATTGATGTTCTCATATCCTGGTAAGTTGATCTGAAAAGGAAATTCTTGAAAACCATGGATATCATTTTGAAATCCTCTTCTTCCTAATTCGATATCATCAGGGTGGAATCGAGGAACCAAATCTTCAATCACGAAGCTCTTGTCATCCTTCAAGAAATTGTTGAGTGCTTTGACTTTATGATCAGTTAAGTCGGTAGAAACTTTGAAAGGAGACGTGATAAATTGAGTTTTCAAGAAGGTTAAATCGTTGTAGAAGAAGTTGGTCTTCAATTTGTAAAGTACTGACAACCCATACATCAAGTTGGATGACAATCTTAAATTAATTGAATCATCAATTTGTTCCACAATTTTAGGAATTGATACATTGACCAAGTTAACTTTATTTACCTTCCTATAAGACTTTTCATTTCCTATAGTGGACAAATACCACACGATTTTGATTTCATCTTCATTAAATAAAGACATTTTCAGAGTAAACCTTTTTGTGTATTGAAATCCATAAACTATTCGAAAAAGGTTGCAAAAATGCTGCCTTTGTGATATATCCACACCCGTAAACCAAAATAAATTTGATATCTTTAAACCCATTGAAATTTTTAAACTCACGACATCTTTTTGACCAAGTTCTCGTACACGTGATAGATTTTAACTAGATGGTGAACCGTTTTTTCGAAATCTCCTTGTTTAGTTGAATGAATAACATCATACAATAAACTGTCATCAATTTCATCATTGATGTGGGGCAAGTTATAAAGTAAGTGACTGAACCATCCTTCTTTCTTCAAGTATTTATCCAAATTCAACAATTTGTAGTTGGTGACTTTGAATTGAGCCCAAACCTTCAACTTCTTAAACGCCTGGAACCATGGATAATCTTGGATTAGCCCTTCTTGTACTTCCTTGTTATACTTATCAAAAGTTATGGATTGACTTAACAATGTTTGGCTCAACTTTTTGAATTCATTGACGAATTTCCCAAAATCATCGAAATCTTCAAGCTTTTTCGATTCCCAACTTTTAAGAGTATCTTCATTGTCGAGAAGGTACTTCTCGAACTTCTTGTTGACAACATTGCAATATTGATGAGTTCTGAAATTTATTACCTCATGTTCACTGAGACTAATAATGAACAAACCCAAAAATCTGGTCAAAGTTCTATGTAACTCAAAATGAGGATCTATCTTACCTACCCATTTACGATCATGATATGCTGAATTGGGGAAATAATCTGGAGATCCCGTGAACTTCATGTTCAAAACTGGAGTATTTCTATGGTATTGGAAGATTAAACTATCAGAATTAGCTAAGGATTTACCTAACTCGTTGTCGAAAGTATGGTTGTCTTGAATTTTCCAATACTTGAACAATGTCTTACCTTCATTATCACCTTCATCACCATCATCGTCATCATCTCCAGTTTCATCAACATCGTTCCCTACCAAGTGGTCGTTCTCGTCAAAAAAGCTGTCAGGAACCGGTATCAATTTAGTAACTCTCTTAATGAGATGATTCAATAACGGATTGGATGAGACTTTTAAAATATCACCAGTGATTATGTCATCGTCCAAATTTATGAAAGCAACCACATTTCGGCTATAGTTGTTAAGAAATTCTTGTGAACCAACAAGTCCGTTTTTGGATTGATCAAAAGAGATAAACTTTAAATTTCTCAACGGTTTCCAACCTAACTTGATCAACTTTGAATAATGTCTCAAGATTTCAAGCATGATCACATTATTAGACGAAGGATTTGAAGCGGTAAATGAATCTCTTGAAGCTCCTATGATGATATCACCATCCTTGATTATACCACTCAAAGATCCAATGATATTCTTCGCAGTGGTAGCTTTGGTGGTGAATCTACTTTTGAATCTTAGTTTCAATGTTGCTGAGTCTGGAGATACTTTATTGACACCAATTGAATTTAGGATAGGGGTGACCGTTTTCACATCAACGGGTATGACTGGTATACCAACAGTGCTCAAATTGCCATAGTTATACGAAAGTGTATCTCTGATGATAGCTTTTTTGTTCGGTATATCATAGTAATGAACTATACCTTTTACTCCAAATCTTTCCCCTATTAACGCCTTTTCCACTATTGTTCTCTCACAAGGAAATGTAGAATTTATGACAACGATCTTGTCAGCCACATCAAAACCATCCTCAATCAACCTTTCGTAGTCTTTTTCCGACCCATTTTGGACCAACATGAAATCTCCTTCAACGTCAGCATTTTTACCAAACCCATAATACCCCGGAATTTCTCCTTCCTTGATTTCTTGCAGGTATGCAACCCCATTATCGTCGAACACTTCGATGAATGTATCGATTGGTAGCGTCAAGTTACTGCCATATTCATCAACCTCCGTCGTTAAACCGTATTTTTTGAAATGGGCTTCAATATAAGTTCCCAATCGATCATTGGTTTCGTCGTTTAAGTTGACTGAGTGTTCACCATTAATTGACAGTAAATTCCCTAAGGTCCAGCCAATGTACTGCTCATTGGTGAAAGTCTCAAACTTATTATCCCCACTATATAGCAAATAGTTTCTTTTGACGTCGGTTTTAGTTAAACGTATATCATGCCATCTCCTATAATCTCTACTCAATGAAGTCCGAGGTAAGAAAGTTAAATGGAATATTATTATGGCAATTACACCAAACCCACAGAACCACCAGAACCTCCTTTTACTGAATTTGACTATCTCATCTTTAATTGATTGCATACTGATTTCACTGGCACTTCTTGCTCTTCTATATAAGGTACTGTTATTAGTGCTGGTATAATCATTTGATTGGGCAAATTGTGTGTTCATTAATGGTTGAGTTTCATTATCATTGGATGGTCCTAACAGTCTTCCTGGTACAGTAGGACCATTCATTATGATGGGATTGTTACTAGCCGACCGTCTAGGTCTTGTAGGTGTAGTCATTATTATTTATTATTCCCGCGCACGCCATGATGATGGCTGCAAATGCGGGTAGATAAATTTTGAGAGAGATGCGGCAGGAGTCTATAGTACATTAATCTTTTTGTTGAGGAGGAGGTGGCGGTTTCTTCGTGGTTGTAGATGGCGGTGGTGGTGGCTGTGGAGGTTTGATTTGGTCTGGGCGAGGTGGTGGTGGTTTGACTGCTGGTGGTGCTGGTGGTGCAGGAATATTCGAAGCACGAGGGGCAGGAATGTTTGATGGTGGTGGTGGAATGCTTGGAGGTGGAGCTGGAATTCCTGGTGGAGTTGGGACAACATTTGGTGGAGGTAAATTTGCGGAAGGTGGAGGAACCAATCCAGGTGGTGGTCCTGATAATCCAGGAGGGGGGGCCGGTATTCCCATGGCCATTGGTGGTGCCACTGGAGCTGATGGAGGAGGAGGGGTGCCACTAGAAGCAGTATTATCTGCCCAAGGTGGTAAAACGTCACCGGTTCTGGGTTTTTTCCAAGCTGGGGTGTCTTCAACATCTTCGGTGTTTTGGTTAAAACCTTCTTCGTTTTTAAATTTACAATCTCTTGCAAGATGACCTACGTTTCCACAAATCTTACAAACAATCTTAGTGATATCAAATTGAGGACGAGACAGTTTTCCGTTGTATTTGGTTGGGTCAAATGGTTTGGTCTCTCTCAATGTACCGTTATAGATTGCTAATTGTTTCAACTGGTTCCTCTTTAATTCATTTTGACCAAACGGCGATGAAACTAAGGTCTCAATGATCTCATTGGTCAATTGAATACCTTTGGCTAGTTTCTGTTGAGAATCCGCTGTAATTATGACATGTAAATCTTCTTCTGCAGATTCATCTCCATTTGATGATTGTGAATTGGTTGATCTACCGTCTTTTACCGAACCTTTACCTCGAATTGCAAGTCTGGCTCCACTATCTTCTTCAATCTTCCTCAATGTGGTTCCTCTAGGACCCAATAAAAATCCAACAAAATTGATGTCGGGATAATCTTTGATAGGAATATATAATTTTTCAGTAGTTTTGATAGGTTTTTGGTAATCATATGGTGGGTTGTACAGTTTGATACCTCTTACCGCTGATTCTATCAATGCCCCCCTTTCTTTTTCTAATGCCTCTTTAGTCCTAATCTCCCTGGTGTTAACCCTATTACCTTGATTGTCATATTTTGGTGGAGGTGATGGATCTCTTCTTAAGTTGGGGTTAGTCTTTGAGTCACCGGATGGTAGTAACTGAACTATACTCCGATTATTGGATCTTCTCAATAGATCTGAAACTTCTTCGATCCTAAAATACTGTTGATAGGCATCTATTTGTTCACTTGTGAGATGACCAACTATAATGGCATCGAGTTGTTGATCTTGTACCTTCTTATACCTCGAAGGTTCTCCTGACCAATATGTCTGTTTACCTATCGGTACTGCCTCTTTCATAGATACTGGGTTCGGACTCGAATAGTTATCATACCGATTCTCCTGCCTACCTCTCGTACCTTGTCTATCCAAGTTCCTTCTACTGTACATGGTATTGAGATGAAAAAATGCGATTTTTTATTCCCCATACTTAAAGAGGAGAACCCCCATAATTGAGTGCAACATGCCATATTTGTCTGAAAAGCTGCCATTGATGGAGAAGTACGCTTCTCAAGGTGATGAACATTTATATTCAAGTAATTCATGTTTTGATGTGTTTCGCTGTTGGAATATAAACCAAGTCAAATCAATTTTGCAACCTAAAAAAGGAGTACCCGCAATTAATGATGCACGAGATTTACCAGATATACCCTATACTTCCAAAGTATGGACAGAATTGACACCCAAAGTTAAGTTGTACCGTTTGAGGAAACTCATGGCAAAACATAAAATCGGAGTTTACATAATCCCCAGTGAAGATGAACATCATTCTGAGAGAACTATGCAGGCTGATAAGAGAGTAGAATTCATATCTGGATTCACTGGAGGTACCGGAATATGTGTAGTGACTTTGGATAAGGAAGAATCTTTGGAAGGAAAAGCAGTTTTGTCCACGGATGGCCGATTTTTTTTACAAGCAGATGATGAATTGGATCCTGATTATTGGAAACTTTTAAAGCAGAAAACTCAAGGGTATCCATCCTGGCAAGAATATGTCATACAAGAGAGTGCTAATAATTCATTCAGTAAGGTCATTTCTTGTGACCCGAAGTTAATAAGTGCTTCTATCGGGAAATCTCTTGAAAAACTGGGATCTTTCAAACCGTTGAAACATAATCTAGTGGATATCGTATGGGCTCCAGAAAGACCCAAATATCCACTTAATGAAGTTTATGAATTGGATATCAAATATAGTGGAGAATTCAGTGACTCAAAGTTGGATAAAATCCGAGAGATGCTTATAACTACCAATAACGATTATTTGATTGTTAGTGCATTGGATGATATTTCATGGCTACTTAACTTGAGGTGTGATGGTGACTTCGAATTTGCTCCTTTCTTTAAATGCTATGCCCTTGTTACGGTTGACAAATTGATTTTGTATATGGATGAAAGTAAAATACTTAGTAAGGATATGGAGTTTTTCTTGATTAAGCCATATGACAATTTCTTCGGTGATATGAAGAAACTCGACTTTTCTGCCAGAATAATAGTTTCGGAGTATTCCAGTTATGCATTGATAAAATCTTTAAAGAGTAACAATATCACCTATAAGTCTGTCATTTCATACTTGAAAATCTACAAGAATAAGACTGAACTTTTTAACGCTAAAATAGCTCAACACAAAGATTCTTTGGCTTTCATAATATTATTGAGCTGGCTAGAGGATCAATTGTTGAATAAGAAATCAATCGTCAATGAATATGAAGCTGTAAAGAAAATATACTCTGTGAGGTCCAGATTTCCCAATTTCAAAGGGCATGCCAATGCTGCTATATCATCAAGTGGAAGAAACACATCGGTGATTCATTATGCACCTACCAAAGAGATCAACTGGTTGATAAATCCTGATGATATCTATCTTTTGGATTCAGGAGCTCAGTATTTGGAGGGTACTACCGATATCACCCGTACGTATAAATTCGGGTATAAGAACATTACTCTGGAAGACACTAAGTATTACACTTTAGTTTTGAAGGGGCATTTGGCGGTGTCTATGGCTAAGTTTCCAGGCACTTCCCAGACAGGTACTCTATTGGATGGGTTTAGTAGACAGCCATTGTGGGATTTGGGTTTGGATTTCAACCATGGATCAGGACATGGTATAGGATCTTTTGGCCAAATACACGAAGGTCCTTTGTTTATCCTGACCACCTCTGCAGGTCCAAATAAAGAAGATTTATTCAGACCTGGTGGTCTACTCACGATCGAGCCTGGTTACTACATTGATGGCATCAAAGGATATAGGATCGAAAGTGAGATAGAAATTATTGAAACGGAATTGAAAAGTAGAACGGGTGACTTCTTACTCGGGTTCAATTACTTGACCAAAGTTCCATTTTGTAGGAAACTTATTGACACTCGATACTTAACTATCAATGAAATTGAGTGGATAAACGAATACTACAAGGCTATCAGAGATGAATGCGGGCCATCTTTGTTGAACATGGATGAAGAGGTTGCTTATAATTGGTTAATGAAGGAGACCGAACCTTTATGAACTATTTACATGATTATCTATAAAATTTCAAAATACTCAAGACTTCCCAACCGGCTTTTCTACTTATTACTACATCTACTTTCCATCCTCTTGATTCCATTATTTTCTGAACTTCTAAAGGTTTGTTTCTAGCACAAAACAATATATATGCAATACCTTTTTCACTTAGTGTAGTATCTAAATCGTTTAATAATTCCCATGTGACCACCATACCATCGGAGCCTCCTAACAACGCCAAATCTAACCATGTGTCTGACCTCTCAGAGTCAGGTATCTCAGGAACATCTTCAGCTGGAACATAAGGAGGGTTGAACACCAATATATCTACTAATCCCTTTCTTACACCTGTGGTTAAACTCATCTGTAACGCATCAAAACAACCAGAAAATTGGGAGTTATTATATTCAACGGTCTTTCTACAAGTGGTTATAGCATGAGGATTAACATCTGTAGTCAAAAATATCGATTCAGGTAAGATATTTGACATAATGAAACTGGTTACTATACCTGATCCCGTCCCAACTTCTATTATAATTGGAGATTTCTGTTGGAAATATGACTTTAGAAACTTAATCTCCTGTTCAAAACAGTCCAATAGTAGAAACGAATCCTCTGATGGTTCATACACATTGAAATCTAAATCTTTTATATCTGGAGTAGGAAGCATTTCGCAGTTAAAAAAAAACCCAGCTGGTCGCACTAAATTTTTGTTAGATCTCGTACTATCAAAAGTCATGCAAATTAAAGTCAAAACCTTGACAGGTAGAGAGATCCCTGTGGATGTTGAACCAACTGACAAGATTTATAATATCAAAGAAATGATGGAAGAAAAGGAAGGTATTTTCCCTGCACAACAAAGATTGATTTTCCAAGGATCTCAATTGAATGATGAAACTACAATTGCAGAATCTGGTATTCAACCTGGAGCTTCATTACATTTGGTTTTAACTTTAAGAGGTGGTAATTAATTGGATGAGAGACGTTTCATAGTTTCCACGTGATTCTTCATAAAATTTAATATACATGTCCTAAGATTTTGCTGCTGCCCATTTTTTTGCATTTTGCAAGAACTTGTTGATATCTGGTTTCTCCTCAGGGAAGACGTATTCGAGGTATTCTTTAGTGATATTGTCTTCTGTCTTGGTTCTCTTGGCGATTGTAGGAAATTTCTTTTCTACTTTTGAGAGAGATTCGTTATCTCCAAGGTCCATCTCATAACTCTTCCAAGCTTGAAGAATGATTAGTCTTTCTTCATTTTTATTTTCAGTTTTGAAATGGTTCAATGCTCTTTCAAAAACTTTTCTTGACTTCTCCTTTTGAGTTTCTTCAATTTCCACCTCCAATTCGGTTTGAGTGTTTGAATTGAAATCCATCAATTGACTTTCATTCGGAATAGACGATTCGAAATTTGCAAATGAGATCCATACCTTCACGTCATCGTTTTCTGATATCAATTGTTCATAAAGTGATCTAGCCTTATCGTATTCGAAATTTTCCTTATAGTAGTTGATAAAAGAAGTATAAAGCAAATCATAAGGAGTTAACTTTTCTCCTGTGATGGAATTATCTACCAACTTCAAACCTAGGAGAAATAAATTTTCACATCTATCCAATTCGCCTAATTCTTTTTCAAAGTCCACATAGGTCAATAATACCTTTATAGCTGATGAGCTCTTGATTAAACTCAATTCGAACCATTTCTCGAAAATTTTCCTTATTCTATCCCATTCGCCTAATTTCTTCTCTAAAGCGATATAATATTTGAATACTTTATCCTTGGGTTTAATCATAGACCCAATGGCCCTTCCCATAATTTTTCTTGCTTGGGCGAGATCATTTTGTCTGATCTCGAAATCAGCATAATTAGTCCAAATCTTAGCAAATGAAAAAGATTTTCCACTCAACATTTCGACACATTTAATCCACGTCTCCCTAGCTTTCTCGATATTCTTGACACTGAATTCGTAATAAAATGCTAACTTTATCCACAAAAATATATATCTTTTCCACACCAAAGTCTTTTCTTGTTCTGGTGGACTTGTAGATACGGATTTCTCTAAATTAGTTAAAGTCTCATTACCCTGGCTTAGACTTATCAATGTCCACCACGAGTCTATATCATTTGGATTACTCTCTACATTAGAAATGTATTTGAGTTTTCGTTTGAAGGCAACATCGTCGGAAAATCGATAGTTTCTTTCGAACTCATAATAATTAGTTGAAAATTTCATATGTTGATTTTCTGTGAACCTGAACTTTGATTTATCAAGGATCAATTTAAAGATTTCATTGGCCCTTTCAGTTTCCTGTTGCTTATATTCCCAAATGGAGAACTGTAGCACAATGTCAGGAAGTGCTTCGTCTTCCCTGTTCGATTTCAATAAAGTATCGACAGATAACTCAAAAACATTCCTTATAATTTCGATATTTCCCAATTCCATTTCAAAATTTATCCATTTCATCCACACCTCTCCTCTGCTTACTTCTGTGACGTACTTCCTGAAAATATCACGTACATTGTCAACCTCATCGTACCGTTTCTCGAAATTTATCCATGAATCCCAAACTCCTGTAGAAGGTCTCCAATCAATCCAATTTCGGAACAACGTCCTTACTTTGGTATAATCCTGTAATGCTTCCTCTGCCTGGACATACATGTACCAAAATTTTTCAACATGGGGTAAAGTGGTGATAGCCCTATCGAGAATATTTCTAGCATGATTGATATTGTTATTACTTAATTCGAATTTGATATAATTTATCCAGAAGGGTATGTGCTCTATGTTGACCTGTAGAGCCCTTTCGTAAATTGACCTTGCCCTCTTAAAGTCATGATTGAATTCAACTTCCCATTTGGCATATCGTATCCAAACACCAAAATTGAGTCTATTTAAATTGATCTGTTGTTCGAATTCTCTACGCTTCTTGAGTTGAAAAGACCGTAGTTCCTCGATATCTTGAATGGTTTCCTGAGGTTTGTCTAGTTTGACCCTCTGATTATAGGAATCCCGTATAATCTCTTCACTTGTTATTTGGCTCATGTTTGAGATGCCTCACTTTTTGAGACTTAAGATGAGGCTGGAGGATTGAAGTTTTAAGCGAAGTAACTTTGAAATGGCTTCGAATTAGAGTTTGTGGCGCTCATATATTCCGGAGATGAATTACAAAAGCCTTGTTCCTTAGAAGTCTCTTATCAACAATAATGCATTTTTTTTGCAACTTTCACTGATTGCAAAAAATTCTTGTACATAAGTAACAAAAACTAGTTAGACGAGAGGAGGGAATCGTTTCGGAAAAACGTATAAGAGCATTGGTATTCAAAAACCTGTCAGACTGCAGGCCATCATAAATTGACAGGTTGGGCAAAACAAACCAGGAACAACTGTCAAAACTCGTTTGCGCTAACAATATTCAATCGGCCAATAATCAAGGGTTTACCTATTGCCGAAGGACCGCTTCAAAATTTATCAAACTTCACGCCAATTAATAATTGAGAAGATAAAGACTGAATACTTGACATTAAGGATTTTCATTCAAAGATGACGATCCAAAGGAATTGTACGATTCAATCAAGGAATTCAAGAATTTGCAGCTGATCTTATAATTATGAAAAAACGCAAAAATGCCATGATTTAATCGAATTTGATAAAAGTGGCGGAATCAAGTGCCTCTTTAAATAAGAAACTTGCGTCATAAAATACCATCGGACGTTGCGTCCAATCAGAATAAAGTTTTCCCACCCGTTATTTTATTGACACATCCTTATCGTTATCGCACCTCAAGATAAGAGCATAGAAATTCCCAAATTGGAATGAACCGCTAAATCTCGTACTAAGGTTCAAAGATTGTCCCTTGTTGTTTAACACTTGATTGGACAATTTTGTATTTTTTTAATAATGCTTCAATATCCTGATTACTGTTATGGGCATACAGGATTAACTAAAAATAAAGATAACAATCTCTTCCCATCTCATTTAAGTATTGTTCCATCCTCATAATTTTTTTATTTAAGTTTAATACCTTGAATTAAAGTTACTATGTCTCACATTAAGTCGGTTACCAGTCATGGATTGGCTAGTGTAAGATCAAGAACAGGTGATCATATTCATCAAATTTTATCTAATAGATCTGAAGTTAGACATGTTGACGCAAAAGATGCAGTTGATGATGCAGATTTATTAAAACAAATTGGTTATAAGCAAGAATTGAATAGACGTTATTCAACTATACAAGTTTTTGGTATTGCCTTTTCAATTATGGGTTTATTGCCTTCAATTGTTTCAACTTTAGCTATTGGTTACGAAGCTGGTCCTGCAGCTTTAGTTTGGGGTTGGCTCATAAGTGGTATATTTATTTTATCTGTGGGTGTTTCAATGTCAATCTTATCATCAGCTATTCCAACATCTGGTGGTTTGTTCTATTGGACTAATTATTTTTGTCCTGATTCTGTCAGAGTTCCATTGAGTTTTATTATTGGTTGTTCCAATACTTTAGCTCTTGCAGGTGGCTTCTGTTCGATTAATTATGGGTTTGCTAGTGAAATCTTAGCTGCTGTCTACATAAATGCTGAAGGTGACTTTGATATTACCAATCCTAAATTATATGGTATTTTCGCTGCTGCTATTGTAAGTCAAGTTATAATTTGTTGTTTAACTACTTCCCATACTGCCAAATTACAAACTTTTTCAATTTTCATTAATTGTTTTATTATTTTATTATTCTTCATCGCTGTGCCAGTTGGTGCTGGTAAAGGTGCTGGATTCAATTCTGCTTCATTTATTTTTACTGAACTCGATAATGAGAGAAGTTGGACAACTGGATGGAGTTTTATGCTTTCATGGCTTCCTCTGGTCTGGACCATTGGTGCTTTTGATTCATGTTTACATTTATCTGAAGAAGCTAAAAATGCTTCCAAATCTATTCCATGGGGTATTTGTGGTTCTATTGTTACTTGTTGGGTCCTTGGTTGGTTTATCTGTATTGTATTTACTGCTTGTATCAAAGATGGTGATGTCGAAGCTGTTTTAAGTTCTGATACTGGATCAGTTGGTGCTCAAATCATCTATGATGCTTTGGGAAAAGACTGGGCTGTTGCTTTCATGGCTCTTATTGCTTTTGCTCAATACTTAATGGGTGCTTCTATTTTGGTCGCCACTTCAAGACAAGCTTGGGCTTTCGCTAGAGATGATGGTCTCCCAGTTGTTCACAACATTGTTAAGAAAGTTAATCCAAAACTCAAAGTTCCTATCAATGCTACAATTTTCTGTGGTTGTTTCAGTTTAATTATTGGTCTATTAATCTTGATTAATGCTACTGCCGCCAATGCTTTATTTTCCCTTGGTATTGCAGGAAACTATTTAGCTTGGGCCATGCCACCTTTCTTGGTTCTTTTACCATTTGGTGCCAGTAAATTTTCTCCAGGTCCTTTCTATTTCGGTAATTTCAAAACTAGAGCCATCCACACTGTAACTTGTGTTTGGGCAGCTTTTATTATCATCTTATGTATGTTCCCAGATAACAAAGAAGTTGAAAAAGATACTATGAATTATACCATTGCCATCAATGGAGGTGTTTGGTTGATCGCTTTCATCTATTACTTTGTTTATGGTTACAAGAAGTATTCTGGTCCAAAATCTAATTTGGATTCAGAAGACGTTGAAAGTTCGGACGACACTGCCGCCGTCAATATAGATGAAGTTTTAGGAGAAAAGGAAAGTTAGTGTATATGTTTTAATTTATAATAGTTATAGAGTAAATTGCAATATCTCTGGTGAATCTAGATAAGTATGGAGGAACAAGAATTAGTCACGTGCCTTTATACCATAATGACATTATGTGTCTTTCTGTTGGTATTGCTTTCAAGAAGTCCGATATAGTGTAACGGCTAGCACGGTTGCCTTTCACGCAGCAAACCCGGGTTCGACTCCCGGTATCGGAATATTTTTTTGCAACCATTTTGTTTTGGAATACACTTAATATAATGAGTTAGTGGTAGGTTAAATGTAATGTAGGAAGCAGGACTATTGTGTATTACTTTCATATTAACATCATATGCATTGAAAATTCATTGCTTGTGAAAATCATTGTATTGATCTTAAACTTCTAGACCATACACATCGGTGGTTGACCTTGCATACATACTTGATTGATTTCTAGGTAGGGTACGTAACATTATGTCGTTTGTCACTTTCAACGATTTCTGGCCCTTCGTAGGCACATTCATTTTCAAGAACACATTGAAAATTTTGAAAAAGTAACCTTTCCCAGCATTTTCTACAGTCCTATGATCCACTCCACCCGATCTTTTAACCCTTGGCGTTGATTTTCTCTTACTTCGCCTACGGTTGATGATGGCTCTTCTATAGAACCTTCTTCTAGCAATAATCATATTTGTGAAAGTTACATCCACAGAGAAGTACGAGAAATATTAATTTACCTTTTTTGTATATATTATCTACTTAAAAAGTTAATTTATGCAAATTATAGTCTTCAAATGTTGTAATGTACATTCAAATTGAATTTTTTCATCTTGTAAAAGTCGTTATGTTAAGGAATAAATACTGATTAATCTTTTTTAATTAAATCTAAATTTTGGTAAGCTGCACCGGCAGATTTATACAAGTCAGAGGCAGTAACACCTTTTTGACTGACTTCGTTATCTTTCAATTGTTGTAACATTAATCTAACTTTTTCTCTTTCTTTATAACCGTGCAAACATTCGAAATAATCTTCAAATTGTGGAACACATTCTTTTGAAGTTGCAGTATCAGCTGAGGTGTAACATGCTACAACAGTTTGGAATTCATAAAAGCACCTTCTGGTACCACCTGATCTGGAATATGGTTGCATTTTGTTATCTATTTATCGATTCAAGGGAATATCTCAATTACCAAATAGTTCAACTTCATTGGTTGTGCGAAAAAATTTTAGGTATATTGAATTTTTGATTTCATGCACGCCTTTTTGTTTTGTAGGAAGATTAGAACTATGAACTATATTACATTCTATACATAAGCTAACATATCACGGATACATTCTTTGATTTGATAATATAAAGGCCCAAATTGACCATGGATGACTATATCACCAGTGTCATCAATATCTCCATTACCGTAAGTGACTTTTCTAACAGAAATCAAATCATTTACAACCAATGTACCTTCACCTTTGAATTCGGCATTTAAATTCTTTTCTTGTAATCTTTTCTTTAATTCTGGTAACCTTACATTACCTATAGCTAATTTAGATCCACCAGCAAGTGATTTTGAAGAATCTAATTGGTCGATATTGAATTTTTTCAAGGTAAATTCTGAAGATTGATTCACTATTTGATTGATCTTACGCTTCTTGGAATATTTAGCACCATCGTCAACTTTATTGCTTTGAACTTCCAATTGACCAATGATTTGTGCAACTCTATAACTCCCATCGATGGTTTGCCATTGTAAATCTTTGGATATGGATTCATCTAATTTTACTTCGAAATCTCCATAGTTTACAGAATCTTCATCACTACCTATCTTTATTTTGTCGTTTGAAATCACCTCTTTAATTTCCAACTTACTGGCTTTATTGGTAAGATTACCTGTTCTTATAGTTTGTATAGATAAATACTGAGCTGATTTTACTAAATGTTCTTTACTATCAACTTCGTTGGCATTGGCTTTTTGTTCCAATAAATCTTTGATTCTCTTGATACCATTATCATCGTCATTAAAACTTGTAGTATCAGGTAATAATAAAAGGTTTGAAGGTTTCAAGGATGAAACAATTAAACTGAACGATCTTAAATCCACTAAACCTGATAAATCCACGTATGATAAGTTACATTTGATAGTTAATTTTAATGGATCAGCTCCCATTATATTGGAGTTAGGAGTAACAGGAATTCTTTTACGTGGTTGGAATAAACTATCGAGATTCTTCTTAATGATTTCATTGTTTAACATCTCTTGAGGGGTCAATTTGCTTTGATTATTCATCATATCCGTATCATCATCTTTGTTGGCTCCCCAATTTCTTCTGTCATCGACTTTTGGTTCCAAACCGAGTTGATTATTAGTTTCATCTTTTCTTTCAAAATCGCTAATATTGATAATTGCCCCATAATCATCGAAATCTTGTTTATCCTTGTTGGAGAAGAACGGAAACATAGCGTTTCTAGCCCTCAATTTACTGGTGATTTTGATATCCAAGGGAAGGTTTTGATCAAAGGAATTCTTAATATTTTCAGCCACAAGTGCTTCTTGAGTAGCAGCATCATCCATTAAATTAACAGTTGCCTTGACTTCTTCGTGTGCTATACCATTTACGGTTGAGTTGTTGTTGGTTTCGTTAGCTGGTTCAGCATCTCCGTTTGTATTTACATCTTCCATAGCCTCACCGTTTTCTTTGGTCTCCCCATTAGCTTCGATACCATCCTCTTCCATATCATCGTCGTCGTCATCATCATCATCCGACGAACTTTCTCCGTCGAAATTTTCACCGGTTAATAAGTTCTTGCTTTGACGGTCTCTCACCTGTTCTAATAATTTTTGTTTCCTTTTGAAATTAACTTTTTCACGATATTCATTTAATTCACCACCAACTAATTCTTCCTCCAAGCTCCATTCTTTGAGGTTTATGACCTTTTCCAAAGACACAGCTACACCATCTTCGACTTTATCATCATTCTTTGATTTGCATAATTCGTACCATTCATTATATAATTGACTGTTAATAGTATCATCGGATCCGAAATGAGCCTTTTCTGTCAAAATGATGGATGTATTTTCATCTTGACATAAATATCTCAAAGCTTCTGAAGATAATTCTCCACTTTTGATATCAACCCCTGAAGTGAACACAACTTTGGGTCCATTCAATTGAGTTAGTTCATAAGTATTACCGACTAAATCTACTTTAGAAGGATCGAAAGGATAATGACTTCTTGAGTTTGAATTTGGATTCATTGAATTAGCACTTTCTAATTCTTTTGATAATTGTGAAGACATCCATTCAAGTAAATTAGTGGCATACCTTAAAACATTAGTACCACTGTAAGATAAAAATAATACTGGTATAGGTGCACTTTTCAAATGACTGTCAATAATGTGTAATAACTCGAGGAATCTTCCACTTATAGAAGTAGGTAATAATACTGTCCCACCGTTGTTTAATGTAGCATCTACTAATTGTAAAAATTTAGCTACTCTTTTTTTATGGGAAATATTTGAACCTAAATCACTACCAGTGATCAAAGCAGTAGGTCTCATCAATTGACTGATGGGATTCCCAGTGGAGGAAGATAAAAATCCAGCACCGTTTAAGAAGGAATCTTTGGAATGGTTCCAACTTGGAGCATAAATGATTTTTTCTAATTTCTTTTGAATCAACCAAAATGTCCCACCTAATGTATGACCAGAATTATACGGCGTTATAACGGATTTCTCCATCACATTTGTGGTTTCATAATATTTCAATCCGTTAATTTTATCGAACCATTCATCAACATCACTTATCTCTAATAATGCATCTTTTAAAGGTCCTATAATACCTAAAGATCTATAAAATTCAACAGTTGAAACCTTACCTAATTGACTTACTGCTGAAGATGAATAGATCTTGATGTCATTCATCAAATGAGGATATTTAATACATAATAACATGAATCCTGATATGAATTCTGGGGTTGAATGGGATAATATTATAACATTGACATCTTCTAAATAAGATTCGAGAAAATTGATATCATTATGATTTTTCCCATTCCAAGTAGGATCAGCCAAAATGGTTAAATCATCAATGGTTAACAATGATGCTTTACATGATTCACTCCCATCAGGAGGAGTCAATAACGTAAATGTAAACATCTTAAGTTAGTGACAAGATTCTCAAAAGCTTTTGAGATTTTTCATATTGTAGGAGTGCGCGGTTCAATTATGGAAGAAATGGTTGCAAAAAAGACAGAGATGTTAATATTAACAAAATCTATATTAAACAAAATATACAATACATGTAAACGAAATACGACTAATGATCAAAGTTAATACTAGTCCGTGTATGGTAACTCAATAAAGTTTCGGCTTGAGTTAATCCAGGTAATTCATGAGTAGTACTAATTCTTGATAAGTTAGTATTACCATTTGATGATAATTCACCATTCTTTAACATTTGAAGTCTTAATTTATTCAAATCAATAGGTTTTTGGAAAGTATTACTAATATCATTATTGATGGTATTCTTTCTTGATCTAGAGATAGTAGTTCTTCTTCTGATACTTTTGAAAGTCTTAGTGAAAGGGTCATTTCTTTCTGAACTTGAAGAAGAATCTGAATCATTGATAAATTCTTGTTCGAATTTAGCTATAGCTTCTGGATCAGCTTGGTATAATTCCTTCAAAAGTCTGTATTTCTCTACATCTTCAGCATTGGTAGGATCATAACCATGAGGATATTCATCATAATCACCTTTAATGAATTTCTCTCTGATAATATCAATATCTCTTGGTTTGAAGTTTTTACGTAAGAAATCATAAAAGAATCTTGGTAATAAACAAACAACAGTTCCAATGAAATAAGTACACCATAATGATAAAGTACCTAAAACTTGAGATCCAGCACCATAAAATTCTCCGGCATAAACTCTTGCACTCCAAACACCCGTCCAGAAGAAAACAATTAAAATCGATAATGCATAAATGATTAAACTGAGCCAATCCCATCTATATTGTTGTAATAACACATAAACATCAGCAGCAGTGACAGAAATCATTACACAAACAGTTCCTTGCCAAAATCTATGATCGACAGCTAACCCTTGAGGGTTTTGGAATGACAAATAATAAGTTAAGTATACAAAGAAGAAAGCAACAACCGATTGATAAAATCCATCAATCATATACCATGAGAACTTGATTTGTGACCATTCTTGTCTCAAAATTCCTGATCTATATAATTGAGGAACAATTAATGATACTGTATCACTAACATCTTGATCAAAAACAGCTAAGAAAATGATTGGTAATGAAGTAAAAGCTAAATTATAAAACATCAAGAAGGTATACTCGTAAAAGTAGGATCCATCAAAATCATTATAAATACCGTACCAGAAACAAGTAAATGTGAATAAGACATTCTTATAGAAGAAACAAGGAACCATTTCAGCTAATCTTTTATAGGACCATCTTCCATGAACTAACAATAATCTGGTTAAGAATCTGAATTGACCAATTCCATAATCTGATGACATAACAGCTTGTCTACCTTCTTCCCCAGCAATACCAACACCAACATCAGCAGCTTGAATCATGGCGACATCATTAGCACCATCTCCAATAGCTAAGGTCATGACTTTCAATTGTTCTTTGACTAATTTGGTAACCTGGGCCTTCTGACTTGGTGAAACTCTACAACAAATAACTGATTTACATTGTTTTCCTAATAACAAGAACTTCTTTCTCAAGTATTGATGTTTTTCATCAATGGATCCATCTAATTCTTGATGAAAAACATGAGTTAAAGCAGCACCATCGATGACTAATCCCAAGTTTGATGTTGGGGTTGAATGATCCTTAATAGCTAATTTGATTAATTCATCAACATTGGCATTTGAAAGATTATCAACTTCGAAGTTCTCTGATAAATAATTTGATATCAAATTATCTAAGTATTCAAAATCATCAGGATTACTTTCATCAGGTCTTACAACCAATAATTTCATATCATTGTTCAAAAGATTACAAGAAAACCCAATATTAATAGCTGTTTCGATTCTATCACCAGTTAAAACCCATAATTTAATACCTGCTTGAGATAAAATGGAAATAGAATCAGGAACCCCTGATTGTAATCTATCTTCAATAGCTGTACCACCAAGTAAAACCAAATCATCTTCAATTTCATCTTCTAAAGTGTTCATTATTTGTTCTCTTGAATCATCAATAGAAGCTTTAGCGTCCATATATTTTTTCAACCATTGATCAAAATAATAAGGATCTAATTCTTTACTGGTAATACATAAAGTTCTTAAACCTTCTTTGGCGTAATCTTCTAAATGTAAAGCAGTTTTGGAAATGGCATTTTGGGAATTATCAGATTTAGATAATTTTTGGAAAATAATATTATCGGCACCTTTACAATATAAAACAACTTTTCCTTCGGGAGTCTTAATAATGGATGACATTCTTTTTCTAGCAGATGTGAATTGAATGGTTTCCAATAATTCATAAACTCTTTCTTCACCATAAAAGTCTAAAAAGATTCTATTTCTCTGTCTTTCCTTGAAAGTTATACCAACATCTCTTGCAACAGAAACCAAAGCAGCTTCATCGGGAGATTCAGCTTTGAAATCTCTTAATTTCTCATCCAAATTGTTAGCTTCCGTCATAACTGTGTGACATAAAGCTAAAGCCAACATAAATTCTTCATTAGCTTCCTTTTGTACAGCATCTTTGATATCAGGATTCAAGGTATCTTTAGTATAAGCTCCAGAAACAAAAGTTAAATTACTTTCTCTGAATTGATCATTATTAGCATACTGATAAATATCATTCATCATAGATTCTTTGTCTTGTTGAATTTTAGTTCTCCAAAGTTCTTGCTGTTTAATAACATCAACACCATTTCTTTTATCCAACCCTTGTTTGGCTTCAGTATAAGCAAGTCCATAACTGACACCATTGATAGTACATTTCTTAAATTCCATAACATTTTGAGTCAAAGTACCGGTTTTATCACTAAAAACGTATTCAATTTGTCCCAAATCATCAGAAATATTCCAAGATTTTGGTGTACAAGGGAAATCTAACTTATCATAATACATTTTAATATCAGAAAAGATGAAAAATGCTTGACAAGTTTTGATAATTTCCACCGAAACATATAAAGAAATTGGGACCAAAGATTGATAAATAATCAAAACCACAAAGAAACAAATCACGGCATTAATTGCTGGAGTTGAACCATAAGCTTCGAATTCATAAAATACTCTTGAAGTATCAGGTTTATCGTAATAAATACCATTGATAACCGCTGAAACAAGACATAATATAAATAATAAAGCGAAATTAATGAAAACTGATAAATTCAATTCTCTTGAAATTCTTGAAGCTTTTGTTGGAGTGATACCTGAATTTAACATAATTTTAGTTTCTCTACCAGTATAAGCAACAACCCCAATAACCCATTTAGTGTTTCTCAAAGTTGACCCTCTCAATAATACACTGTCATTGGTGATACTTTCTTTTTCATCCTTATTAACTAAAGCACCTGATTCATCATAATTTTCATAATGAATTGTACCTTTGAATGAATATAAATGAGGATTAGGACTATCACATTCAATCCAGAATTTACTATTAGCTAAATCATGAGCACGTCTAATGTGTTGAACACCTCCACAAGTTAAAGCTTTCTTCATTTTCAAATTGGTTTCCCCATCTAAATTCTTGGTTTCAATAAAACAATTACCTTCGGCATCACTGGTGGAGATGATAATCATATCAGCAGGAACTTCCTCATTTGATCTGACTCTGATAAAGTCTCCTACACAAACATCTTTCCAACGTTTGTTTCTGAAAGTCACTCCTGAAGTATCGGGATTAGAATGGACAATTTCTGTATTAACAATAGAATTAGCAATGTTTTCTGGTCTGGTTCTTTGACTTTGATGTGATTTTCTTCTATTACTTTGGAAACTTGGTCTATATGAAGCCATTTCTTCCTCGGAAATAACAGTGGAAGTTCTACGCAAAGCGTTTTCCGTTTCAACTTGATTTCTAATAAAATCTTGTTTGACTTTTTTCTTTCCAAACATCATTATTGCTGCTTTCTTCATTCCACCTGCAACCTTGTTAGTGGTTCTAGTCAGAAACTTTTTGAATTTTCTCCAATTACTAACGTAATCTTTCATAACATTCTTATTGTCAAGACCTTGAATCAAATGTATAGGAGAATTATTCAAAGCTGAATCAGATGAACCTCTTCTGTAATCTTCAAAAGCATCTCTCAAAGCCGTAATGGCAACAATAACAATTAAAGGCACAGCAGCTAATCCCGGACTTGAAACCCCAAAAATTTGAAATGCCCCTAAGATGACTAATATCAAGAAATAAGCATTAGCGGCATTTCTGAATTGAAATGCTAAATTTTTAGGTATAAATGTTAATGGAGTGTACTTAGTGGTTCTAATTTTGTTCTTAGCATAAGAAAATGCAGGATGACCAGTTTTATCTTTCATAGAATCGGGTATATCTTGATTGACATAAATAGTTCTGGGGATTTTCAAATAGATTTCTTTCATATATAATGGCATTGACCCCAACCCTTTATTATATAACAAAGTTTGAACCTTTTGTTGAAAATTTGGTGCTTTAGCTGTTGTTAAATCTCTTAAAGTATATCTTTGTTTTTCATTACTTTTAATCTTTTCAGAATCTTCTTGTCCAACATATTCTTTCTTGAGCTTTTCGACATCATCAGAAGCAGATTCTGAAGGTTGTTGGTACTTTTCATTCAAATTATCAAAATTATCACCATTTGAATGTTGTGAATAAGTAGACGATGACTGTTGAATATCATCGTTAGTATTCATTTCGTCGATATCCGAAGACTCTATCACTTTCTTGACCTTCTTCAACTTGAAATTATTCTATTCAATACAAGTAATCACTTAAATTCAATTAAAAAAACTATTCGGATTTATTATGATAAGCTTTTATAAATAAATATGCTTATAAATAAAATACTAAAATCTCAGGTTTTGAATTATTAAAAACTCAATAGTCACTGTCGATTATAGTAAGTCTCCTAAATAATAGAAATATCAATGCAAAGTTGGAAATTGAATAACCAATTTATATTAAAGGCTGTAATAATAAGTTCCTTGAATGAGGCCTGTTAATAATTTCTCATTTTTCGGGTCAGATGGATTTAAATCTGTTCCGTCTGAGGTGGCAGAGCCAGGCACTCGGCATGGAACTTTTTTTAATCTCTAATTCGAACGGCTAACAAAGTAATCTTGTCATTAGAGATTTAGAATATAGCTGTTGATATTTAGGATTGTTGTAAGTCTTATGAGTAGCTATAAACCCTCAACATATAGGTTATAATCAGCTGCGAAATTACAACCAGTTTACGATAATCATGGGTGTGTTTGACGGGTCGGATAAACAAAATCTAGGACTTGATCTGAGGCTTTTCCATACTACATGATGATTTCAACCTGTTTATAGGGCAGTGATGGGGGCTTTGGTCTGTATTACCTAGAGCCCATTTCAGAAAGTATTGACAATATCAAGAAGCATTGTACGACATCGATTGAATACTGTAGTAGTAGGGCCAAATGAACCCCGACCAACTCTTACTAATTATGACATGAGACCGACTGTCCCCGACAAAGTACAACCAACGACAAACCACAACGACAAACGTCTCACTTTGAAAAAATGTCGCGGTCAACTGAAAAATTTTTGAGTCGTCGAAAAGTGAAAAATTTAATTATCTAAATCACAATTAACAATGTCAATTGAAGAAATCCCACAAGGTGCTGAAGTCCAAGTTATCTCCAAGAACGAAAAGAAAGCTAGAGACTTAATCAAAAAATTAGGTTTAAAACAAGTTAAAGGTATCAGTAGAGTTACTTTCAAACAAAGACCTAATGTTATCTACGCTATTGATCAACCAGATGTCTACAAATCCCCAGCTGGTACTTACGTTGTCTTTGGTGAAGCTAAAGTCGATGACATCAACCAAAGATATGCTGAACAAGCTGCTGCCGCTGCTGCTGAAGGTCATGACCATGACCACGATCATGAAGGTCACGACCATTCTCATGAAGATAAATCACCAGAAGCTATTACTGCTGATTTAGAAAAAGCTTCATTAGCTTCCCCAGCTGAAGAAGAAGAAGAAGGTGATGTTGATGAAACTGGTTTAGATCCAAAAGATATTGATATCATTATTGAACAAACTCAAGTTTCAAGAGCTAAAGCTGTTAGAGCTTTAAAGAAACACAATGGTGATATGGTTAATGCTATTATGGAAATTTCTTAGATAGTTATATACATTTCTCGTTATCATTTCTCTGAGTTCTCTTGTAACTCTGGTGTTTTTTGAATAGGCTTTAAATTTTCTTTGACAATGTCTGAATCAGATTCGGTGGTTTCTGGTTCAATTGCTGATTCAGTAGGTTCAGGTTCACTTGTTGATTCAGCTGTTTCGGGCTCAACTACAGATTCAGCAGACTCTGGTTCAATCTTTGGACTCAAATCAACAATTTGCTCTTTTTCCGTCTTAATGATATCTTTACCATCATCTCCATTCATAAACTTACAATATGGGCAAATAAATTTCACAAATGGTTCGTTCGGAGGTGATAATCCACAATGGTTGAAACACTTTTTACATATCAAAGCATATTTATCGGAATCATCAGCCCCAATAATCATGTCTAATAACCTATCTTGGAAAGATTTTGGTCCTGGAGGTGTTGGTAAAGGTGGTGGTGTTGGAGCAGACTTTATTGGTGGGGGTTGATTAGCAGGAACATTGACAGTTTTAGGTAAAGGTTTGGATTGAGGAGGTTGATTCTTCATTGGCGGAGCCTTTTTCGATTTTGGTTCTGTGGTCTTAGGTACTGATTTTGGTTTAGTTTCATCATACTTGCTCAATAATTCATTGGTAGTATTATAATTGGTGAGTTTCTTCAACTCTTCAACCTTTTGTTTCTGTTTCTTCTTCAATCCTTTGATAATATTCTCTCTGCTTTGAATCAACCAATTCAAAATATATCTTATACTAATGATTATCAAATAAATTGCTACGGGAATACCAAATATGTAATATAAGGTCAATCTCAGTTGATTCACGAAGAAGAATTTCAACTGATTCATCCCAACATTATTGTTGGGTAGCTGAATAATTGTATAACCTAAAATTATAACATATATTGAAGCCGAATAAGTAAGAAGGGACTTTGTAATTGAGGTCTTTGCTTTCCTCAATTTGATGATTTGCTGTTGGAACTTATTTATTGATAAATTATATTGATTCAAATCTTTTTCAAATGTTTGGATATCGACGTTCCCCGATTTGAACAATCCAAATATAGCCATCTTTAGTGGTTGGTAATAATTCAAAGGTAAGAAAGAAAAAAGTGATTTCAAGCAAATAAGACCTGCGCGAAAGAAAGGAGTAATCACCAGACCCAGGTCGTTTAAGGGGAAGAAGGTAAAGGCGATTTAAATTGAAATCGGAGTTGGAATAACCTTAATAAGAGAGATTTCATATCACTAAAGATACCATATCATGACTTACTCCATAGCGGGACATGAAATCAGGCTAGATAAGGTTATCAACCACGATGACGAAGAGATGATACTAAGGTACAAAGAAATCTTCAAAATATGTTTGAATGATTCCAACCTTAAATTATTAATAAGTGTCAAGAAATTGGTTCATCTATATAGTGACATTATCATGATTTATAGTACACTTTTGAATAAAATACCCAATTATGAAGACATTAGGCTTATGACTTTAAATGTAAAGAAGGATTCAATATTAGTGGAAAATAAGTTCAATGAAATCTTCAGTAAATCTATTAATGAAGTTGACATTTTTTCCAAGAAGATGAGTTGGCAAACCAAGAAATACGAAAGTATTATCAAACCATTGACTAAGCAATTGTTAGAATTAACTTTGACATTCTTTGAAAAATTTTTTAAAACTTTAACTTGCATTCAATTATTTTTCGAAAGTTTCAATAATTTGAAGAAACTTTTAATACCATTCTTAGTTGATCAAACTCATAGGGTAATTGATTCACTCAAAAAATCAATATTTTTTGTTAATTTCCCTACCATAACAGATAATTTAGATTCCATTACGGAGTTAACTCCTACAATCTTGAAACAACTCAAAAAGATAGAGAAAATAACCAAAGGAATTGGGAAAGAGACTACTATCTTGAACGAAGCTTTCAAAAGATTCGAACCTACATTACAACAATACACTCAAATATTATTAGGGAAAGCCATTTTGAAAAGAAGTATAAGTGATGAGGATTGTAAAATTATTAATAGAAGAGACATATGTTATCAAGCTGCTGAACATGTTGTATCAATACCTTTAACTGAAGAACAAAAATTCCAATTCTTCTCTAAGTACATTATAATAGTAATTTTGGTTCTCATGTTATTGGTAGTAACAACAATATTCAGGTTTTTTAGAGTTGTCTTTTAATGTATTATTTCATACTGAATAATCTCTCTTAATAAAGTCGTTGAAATTGTCGCTCTTCGGATTCGAAGTGCTCGATACCAGCTGTCAGTACATGAAATGGTGCGAAACTATTGTTCATCCCTCACAAAATTTCATAAAGGAAAAGGATTGTTTATCATAGCATTTTATCATTGACAAATAAATAATTGAACTTTATAATTGTCAATAGGGTGGTAAGTTGAATAACAAATTAATTTTAAATAAGTGTTTGAAGTAATTGAATTAGAAATTTTCTCATAAAATATATTTATCTCGATATCAACATAGTATCGTTCAACGGTCATTTTAAATAGACAACCAGAATGAGTAGTAAACAAATTTATTCTGCTACTTATTCGAATATCCCGGTATTTGAGTTTGTTACCGAAGAAGGTCCAATTATGAGAAGGAAATTGGATTCTTGGATTAATGCCACTCATATTTTGAAAATAGCTAAATTTCCTAAAGCGAAAAGAACAAGAATATTAGAAAAGGATGTGCAAACGGGAGTTCATGAAAAGGTTCAAGGAGGTTATGGGAAATATCAAGGAACTTACGTACCTTTGAATTCAGGTATACAATTAGCTAAAAATTTCGGAGTTTATGAAATTCTACAACCCATATTTGAATTTCAATATATTGAAGGAAAATCTGCCACACCTCCTCCAGCACCTAAACATAACCATGCATCAGCATCTAATGTGGCACAAAGAATGAATTCATCAAATGGGAGTCGAGAAGATCTAGTATTAGCCAGAAAATCCAAATCTACCAATTCAATCAATGAACCTCCAAGGAAAAGAGGTAGACCTAAAAGAGTACCATTAGGTAATAATCAACAAACTCCTAATTTGAAATATAGTGATACAACACAAATAAATCCAGTTACCAGACAAAATACTGAACAAGATGCTTTGAATATAATGGCAAACATGACATCAGTTAAGAATGAAGATTTAGAAATGGTTGGAAGTAGTGAGAATGAAGATATCAATAATGAAGAAGTTGACTTCATAAGTGGAAAAGAGTTATTTGGAACACCAAGAAATTCATTCGATAGAATGGTTTATAATCGTATGACTCCCCATCAAACACCATATCAATTTAATAATCAACATGGTCCTCCAAGTGGTAATCATTTATTACCATATAATAATGGAATAAATTATTCTCAAGTATCACATTCTAGAACTCATTCCCAAAATGATCCTTATAGTTTACAGCAATACCATCATCCTAATCAAAATAATAACTTGTTAAGTTTTAAAGATGAAGGTAAATATAGTGAATATTTCCATAATTTGTTGAACTTTTTCCTTGAAGATACCAATCAAGCTAGTAGTAAAAATGACCAAAAACGAAAGGATAACCCTATACCAGAAAATCTTTTACACCCACCTGAACCAATACTGAAAATCAATATCAATCAACCAATTGATAATGAAGGTAATTCAATATTTCATTGGGCTTGTTCTATGGGGAATTCTACAAATATTGAATTTTTAATCAATAATTTCCCTAACATCATAAATTCCAATTTGAAGAATAATAATGGTGAAACTCCATTGATGTTTTTGATTAAATTCAATAATTCGTATCAGTTAAAGAATTTCCCTAATTTATTGGAATTATTGTTTGATTCCATTTTAACAGTTGATAATTTCAACAAAACTGTTTTACATCATTTAGCTTTGACAGTTCAACCTCCACCTACTAATGTGGTATCACAAGGAGAAAGCTTTAACGGATTTTCAAATGATGAGAATCAAATCAATAATTACCTTAAGAATAAAGAAAGAATTGCAAGATATTATATTGAAAGTTTGTTCATTAAAATAATAGAATATCAAACTATCAATAACATTGAACATGATGAATTAATAAAAAAATTCATAAATCATCAAGATTCTGATGGTAATACAGCTTTCCATTTAGTCAGTTATAATTTGAATAAGAAATTAATCAAGATTTTCATTGATTATCATAAATTTATCAATTTTAATATCAAAAATCTTGTTAATTACACAGCTGAGCAATACTTGGCATCACATAATTATATTTTGAAGTTGGAAAATGATGAAAACAATGATCAAGATTCTAGATTAGATATAAGTTCAATGACTGGATCAGGACCTATATCACAAGAAAAATCATTGAATAATAACTCCTCGTCTTCTTCAATCAATGAAAAGGATAAACCAATTGCTTTGAATGAATTAACTAAATCCTTCACTTTACAAAGTTTTGAAAGTCAATTATATTATAGTAAAATGACAGTCAATTTAACAAATTCGAAAAATAATATCATAACTGAAAAATTAAACGAATTACAATATTTGATTGACAAAGAATTGAACAAGAAAGATGAAAAATTATTAAAATTGATTAAAGTCAACAGTAAATTCAATAATCTTAAAGTAACGGAACAAAAAGTTATTTTGAAGATGTTCAAGTTAGATAATTTAATTCAAGATAACAATGAAGAAATTGATTCACAAATCGATCTCAAAAGAGATAAAATAATTCAAGATGAAATCAACAGATTCTTGAATGATTTGACATTTCAAGTATTACAAAAAGATGAAAAACTCAATATTAAATTGAAAGAATTCAAAATGAATTATTTGAAGAACTTCAAACAAAAACTTGTCAAAGTTGCTAATGAAATTCAAGAATCATCAAAATCAGATTCAAGTAATGATGATGAAAAATTTAAATTATCGATTGATTTACAAAATGAAATCATCAAGTCAAACAATCTATTATCAAAATTATTCAAATTGTCATCAAAAGTACCAAATTTAAATAAAGATGATTTTAAAGAGAACAAATCATCTTCAATAATTTCAAATTATCCATCAGATGATAAATTAAATAAATATTGTAAATTAATTTCATTATGTTGTGATATGAATATTAATGATGTTGAACATTCAATTAATTCCATAGAACAATCATTAATGAGTTCAATTATTCAAAAGGATAAAACCACCTAAAATTACCTAAAAAGGTTTGTATAATAATGTAAGAATTCTATAGATATTATGTTTGGTGATATGGCCCTCCGTCCGTCTCTCTGCACAATCCTGTGGGTCTGTCTAAAATACATTTCTAGACTGCGGATTCGTTGCATACTTCCATTTTTGGACGTGTTGTGCCTAAAAAATATTCCGTCCAAAATCGCCCGATTGAGACCAAGATCTATTTTTGACAGCATGTTGTTCAGCCTCCTTTTAGCTTATCCAAAGTTCTATACATGGATGCAGGTACCAATGGACTAAATAAGCTTTCCATAGCCATAGAACATCTCACAAGATCTCTATCTTACTAAATCTTAACCTAAACTCCAGGTGAATCTCTTGGTACGAATTATCATAAAAATAATCTTAGGTAATAATAGTTGCTGCAAATCCCTCAAATATATGGCTGAGCCTACAATTTCAGGAGACTATTTTTTTTTCTATAAATCAAACATTCATATCAAATGAAGGGAAAGGCATTGGTAAAGAATAGATTTTTTGTGGGATTATTTCTCTTAGTGGTATTTCTAGTGGTGAATCTGTTGATATTGATAAAAAAAGAAAATTTCAATGATTTGCAATTTGTTGATAAGATAGGATTGAAAGGTTTTTTAACATTTGGGAAAACATCCAAAGATATTACAAAATTACCTTTCCCCTTATCACAGTCATTGGTCAATAGTAATTTGTTTCATAAATTCAGATTCAAATCTTTTAAACAATATTCAAAAAAAGATTTGACTTATGATTTGTCTTTTGATGACAAATATTGTGAAGAAATGGTGTCAGACCGTGAATTATCCATCTCTAGAGATAAGTTATTACCTGTAGATTTTGAAATATTGCAAAGGAACATTTACAGTAACACTTTTTATAAGAAATTATTGGAAGAAGCTGTTCATAAACATAAATCCAAGATTCCTATCAAAAAACAATGGCTAAGGTTTGGTGGTTCATCAGTTTGGCTTCATGATTTACAAGTTCATTATATGGTTAGCAGGTTGATATTCTCTCCTTCGGGAGTCCCAAATAAAGGAATATTCAGTTTCCTTTATGTTCAAATTTTTGACGAAAATTGGAATGAATTATTTCAAACGTTGAAAGTCCCTGAAATTGTTAGAATCAAACAAGAAGGATATACCAATGATGGATTTAATGATGACGTTCTTTTGAAAACGAAATTATCTTCACAAAATTTACAATTCCCAATGATTTTACCAATTCAATTCGAATATGTTTTGGATTCTCCATATTGGGGCCCAGAAGATCCAAGAATTGTTAAGAGGAATAACCCAATTTTTGGCTTTGAAGAACCAGTCATTGTTTTCAATATGAAAGGTATTAAATTACCTAATAGAGTGATGTATATTTATACACCTTATTCCCATGATATTAAACCTTTAGTTAAAAAAGATCATTCATATGCCTCAACTGAAAAGAACTGGACTCCTTTCTTCAGTAATCAGTACTTAAACGCTGATGGTAAAGGAACTTCCAAACTTAATTTCTTGTATTCTTTGAAACCTTTAGAGGTTTTAACTTGTGATATAGATACAGCCATTTGTGAATTTGTTCAAAAAGTAGAAAAGGACAATATTAATCATTTCGGATCTTTAAGAGGTGGTACACAATTAGAGAGTCTTCCATTAAATGACATATTACCTGAAAATTTAAGAATTAAATTTCCTTTGGGTCGTCAAGTTTATGTGGGTTTTGCGAGAACTCATTTGAATAGATGCGGCTGTGGTGAGTCCATGTATAGACCAAATTTATTCCTTTTGATTGAGGATATCGATGAGGGTACTGGGAAATCTTTCTTCAAAATTGGGGAAGTTTCTGATTTCCTTGATTTTGATGTTCAATTACCACCATGGCCAAAACCTGAATTAGATGATAACGGGAAATTAATCGAAACAAAACTTTCAGTTTGTGATGATAAGTACAGATCTGTTTTGATTCCTAACTCAATTGCATACTGGGATATAAACTCCATCAAATACAAAGGTATAAATTATCCAAGAGACCAATTCAAACAACTTTCAGAATCTGTTGACAGTATAGATGATGTTGAATTCGATGATTACTTGGGAGTCACTTTATCAGCCGCTGATAGTGATGTGAGAATTGTTCATGTCAAAGGTTTGTTGAACTACATTATGAACGAACCCACTTTATTCGACAAAAAGGATGTAGTTCAATATGACTTTTTGTTAAAATTGAGTACGGATTTCAACGAAAGATGTAGTGAGATGGCATCAAAGGAATACTGTGTAGCATATGGTAAAGCCAATCCACCTATTATTTCTGAGGAAGAGAAGAAAAAGCAAGAAGAAGAGAAGCAAAAGCAAAAGGATGAAAAAGAGAAAGAGGAGAAAGAGCAAAAAGAGAAGGAACAGAAAGAAAAGGATGAAAAGGAGCAAAAGGAGAAGGAGCAAAAGGAGAAAGAACAAAAGGAAAAAGAAGAAAAAGAAAAAGCAAAACAGGAGGGAAGCAAGGATCAAGGAAAAGAAGGTCATGACGAGCTGAAAGGTCAAAGTAAAGATGATTCTAAAGATCAGGTTAAAGAAGAATCCAAAGACAAGCCTGAAAATAAAGACAATCAAGATTCTAACCACAAAAACAACCCAGAAAACTAATTTATAAAATCGAAGTGATTCTGGCAATCCACCAATCCATATTATAGAAATTCAAAACATTATTTGACTCCTCTATTATTTAAACTCTATTCCCATCATCTCACTAAACAAATCGCCAAAGTTTTGTGCGGCGCGCAGGCCGTCCTTCAATAACCGAACTCTAGTCAATTTTGCATAGTGAGATCTGCATTTAGCAGCAAATCGGTTTTTTTGCAACTGAAAATTTTTGGCAGTACAAATACTTTAAATATTTTGTAATTTGCTGTTTAATCAACACAATAAAGGTATTATGTCTGATAGTGAAAGTAACATTGAAAAAGAGTCACAGATGATATCTGCCTCAACTTCAGCTTCGGATTCTTATCCTGTAGCTTTCGAAGGTACAGGAAACTTTGCAGGAGAAGAAAATATTAATGAAGATAGGTCAAGAAGAGCATCAGTGAACTCATTTCAAAGATCTCTTGAGATAATACGGAGGTCTATGACTGGACAATCGATTCATTCGGTTAGATCCCAATTTTCAGTCAAAGATATCTTTGGTGATTTGGATAGTGAAGAGATTGCAAAAGAGCGTTTAAAAGCCAGAAATGATGTTTTGAGTGAGTTGAAACAAGATATAGAGAATCAGCAAGTAGAATTTGAACCATTTACAGTTCCTGAAAGTGGTTTACCTATTGAGAATAACGGTGAAAAGTTTGGTGATATTGACCCTGAGTTAATTACTTGGGAAGGCTACAGTGATCCTGAAGATCCAAGAAATTGGTCACCATCAAAGAAAATATATCTTTTGATGTTTGTATCTTTGTATACTTTAATAAGTCCAATGACCTCATCGATTTTATCACCTGCTGTGTCTGAAATTTCAAAAGAATTTGGTATCACCAATCCAACCATCAGCTCAATGTTGGTGTCAATCCAGATTTTAGCTTGGGCTGTGGGTCCCTTGTTGATTGCTCCTTTAAGTGAATTCGATTATATCGGTAGGAAACCCATTTTGGATGCATCAATTTGGTTATCTTTCTTCTTCAATTTGGGTTGTGGTTTAAGTCAAAATACCACTCAAATGATGATCTTTAGATTCATCGGTGGATTATTTGGATCTTCGCCCATAAATGTAGGCGCTGGAGTAATTTCTGATTTATTTGATGCTAAATCTAGAAATGTGGCCTTAGCTGGTTTCACCTTAGCTCCATTATTAGGTCCTATCATCTCACCTGTTATGGCGGGATATATAGTTGAACATACTCAATGGAGATGGGTGTTCCATGTTTTATCAGCATTCAATGGAGCAATTGCATTGGTTGGTACATTTTTCTATAAAGAAACCTTTGCACCCAAGCTCTTGAAATTAAAAGCCAAGAGCTTAAGGAAAGCCACCAGTAATGAGAATTTACATACCATCTATGAAATAACAGATCAAACATTTGCTTCCAGAATGTTTTTGGTGATGACGAGGCCGATCAAGCTTTTATTTACTCACCCAATGATCATTGGATTGGGCTCATTCTTGGCCTTTGTTTATGGGTTCATGTACTTATTGATTGTCACGTTCCCTACCGTTTTCGGAAAGACTTATGGATTCGATAAAGGTACAGTAGGATTGATGTATATTCCGATGGGCATTGGTTTCATCTTGGGAATCTTCTTCTGGACCTATTTTATTGGTAGAACTTATGAAACATTAGTTGAAAGAAATAATGGTGTTCCTAAGCCTGAATTCAGATTACCTTGTTTGTTCGTTGTAGGATTCATCATCCCTATCGGGCTTGTTTGGTATGGATGGTCAGCAGAGAAGAAGTTGCATTGGATTATGCCAGGTATTGGTTCAGCAATATTTTCTTTCGGGTTTGTTTGCGCATTCCAGTGTTGTCAAAGTTATTTGATCGATATGAATCCAAGATTTGCAGCCTCGTCAGTTTCTGCCGCCGCATTATTTAGGTCCTTATTTGGATTTTCATTTCCATTGTTTGCCAACCAAATGTATGATAAATTAGGATATGGTTGGGGAAATACCTTGAGTGCTTTCATTGCATTATTATTAGGTGTACCATTCCCCTTATACTGTTATTTCAATGGTGAAAAAATACGTGAAATTTTCAACAAACGATTTGATAAAGATCAAATTGATCAAGATACAAATATCTTGAATCAATTAAATTAGCATCTAGTTACGACTTATGAATATACATATATGATTTAGGAAATAATTATCCGAATGGACTGAATTTCCCCATTCGACTCAATCTTTTATGTGAGACCCCCTCTATGCATTTTATACCGGAAAAATCAAATCTGGGGAAGTGAGGAAAAAGGTAATAATAGTCTATTCTTGACCGATTGGGAAACCCTTTTGTTATAACGGTCCAATTCACGGTGATTAGTTAAAAGCTTATATTTCAAGCATGTCCCACTCCAAATTCAAACCTCTATAGAGAATGAATACTGAGAAAATCTACAAGTCTTTCATCAAAGCAGTTGATGAGGATGATAATATCCCCACTGTTGCGAAACCTCTTAGCAAGAATTATTTTGAAAGGTTCTTATTAACAAACAAGGTATCGGTGATAACTGGTGGTTTAGGAGGTATTGCTAAATGTATTGCTAAAGGTTACGCTGAAGCTGGTTCTCATATCGTTTTATTAGATTATGTTACTGATGATAAAGGGTTCTGTGAACAGTTATCTAAAGATCACAATGTGAAGTGCAAATTTTACCAATTAGATGTCACAAAAGATGAAAACGTTAAGGAAGTGGTCGAAAAGATCGTTGAAGACTTTGGTAGAATTGACGTATTTGTTGCAAATGCTGGGATTACTTGGTATAAAGGAAGATTAATCGATTGTGATAATGAAGATTGGCATAAGTTAATGGATGTTAACTTGAACGGGGTATTTTATTGCGCTAAATATGTTGGTAAAGTATTTGAGAAACAAGGTAGTGGTAGTTTTATTATAACTGCTTCCATGTCTGCTCATATAGTGAATGTCCCTCATTATAAGTCTGCTTATAATGCCAGTAAAGCTGCTGTTAAACATTTAGCAAAATCATTGGCTGTAGAATGGGCAGGGTTTGCTCGTTGTAACAGTGTTAGTCCTGGATACACTTCTACAGCTTTAATGGATTTAGTTCCGGATGATGAAAGAGCCAAATTTTGGGGTATGACACCACTGGGAAGAGAAGTTCATCCTGACGAATTAGTGGGCGCTTATATCTACTTGGCTTCTGACGCCAGTAGTGCCACTATGGGAGCCGATATTATTGTAGATGGTGGATTTACTTTGATTTAAACATTCCCAATGTATACACTGATAGATACAACTCTCCCTCTCTCACAATTTTTTTGGTGCGACAAACTGAAAATTTTTCAATTATGTTTAGAAGATTAATATCTATACCTACAAATATAACTCCCATAAGTTATAGTAGGGCGTTCCATATAACACCTGCCCTTTTAAAAACTAATAAATCAACGAGGACCAAAGAAAACGTTCACGACTTACAAACATTTTTGACTTTAATAGGTAGAAATACCATAGAACATGCAGAAAGTTTTGAGAATGATTTAAGCAAATTCTTAGAAACAGGTTCTGATGAAATGAAGAACATGGGTATTGACACCAGAACCAGAAGATACTTGTTGAGATGGAAATACAAATTCATAAATGATTTAGAACCATTAAGAGAACACAAACGAGGTAAGAAGAAGAATGGAGGTGAAAGAAAAGCAAAGACTGTTGTCGCAAAAAGAAAAGCATTAGAGAGATTAGAAGAAAAGGAAAGAGCTAAGAGTGAAGAAGCTGATGCCGAAGCTAAAGGAGAAAGAGAATTTTAATCATGTAAATAGAAATAGACAATCTCGATGACTTGTTTTGAGTACAAATTATTTGATTTATGATACCAATTTCCGTTCCTTGTGAAGCTTGGTTGTCTCTACCTGAAGACCTGAAAACCATCCTTTTTGAACGATCTCCGGTCTCTCATGGATCAGCCTTTATAAATCTCGCACCTCACAAATTCGTTGAACAGCTCACTCTATGATGAAGATCTTATCAATTTTAGTTTTATCCATCGTATTTTTATTCGGATTTGTCCAATCCAAGGTGTTATCTGAAGACCCAGCTATTACTGATAAAGTTTACTGGGATATTGAAGAAGATGGTAAACCAATTGGTCGTATTGTTTTTGGTCTTTTTGGTGGTGTAACTCCAAAGACTGCTGAAAATTTCAGAGAATTAACCTTATCTGAAGATCCAGCTATGGGTTATATTGAATCAGGATTCCATCGTATCATCAAAAAATTTATGATTCAAGGTGGTGATTTCACTAGAGGTGATGGTACTGGTGGTAAATCAATTTATGGTAATAAATTTGCCGACGAAAATTTCATTATTAAACATGACAGACCTTACAGACTTTCTATGGCCAATGCTGGTAGAAATACTAATGGATCTCAATTTTTCATTACCACTGTTGTTACCAGTTGGTTAGATGGTAAACACGTCGTTTTTGGTAAAGTCTTAGAAGGTTTCGATGTTGTTGATTACATGGAAAAAGTTAAGACCTCATACGGTGATAGACCAGTCAAACCGATTAAAATTGTTGCTACTGGTAAAATTGATTTAACTCCTGAAGAGTTAGCTAAATTAGATGTCAAAGATGAATTGTAATAGTTATCTATTTTACATTAAATACATTTATTTAGTATAATATCTAAATCATCTCTAGGTTTTCTCTGAACTACGGGCTTTTCATCATTGGAATTAAGTTGATTTAACAAATTGATGGAATTTTTTATGGATAACGTACTGTTGAGTAATCTTGAACTTAACAAATCATATATTTTAGGTGACTGATAGATATTCGCTCCAATTATATAATAATCATTCAATATTTGGACATTCTCTTTATTCAATCGATTTTGTTTCCGTATTATCCAGAAGTCAGGTTCTCTGACGTATGCTATGATAAATTCTATACCTACCATCTCTATTAATTTATTTTCGAAATATTTGGTGAATTCTAATGGAGTTTGAATATTTGGAGGTGGTGGTTGAAATTGAAATTGCATCTTGATAACTTGATTGTTAGAAGTTCTATCATAAAATGGGGATTCACTGAAATAGTCTAGAACATTTCCGGTATGTAAACCGAATTGATTGATCCATTCAGGGATCTTCCATTGAATTTCATCTAATGGTTGGTCCATGGTTATTGTGCGATTTTGAATTTCTCAAATTGTGAAGCTAAATATTGAGCTTCTTTTTCCATTTCTTCCATTGATCTGTTGATTCTTTCGTCGTCACTCTTGAACTTTTGTGGGTGTAATTTATGTTGGGTCCTTCTTTGTTCGAACTCTTTCAAGTATTGGTCCAAATCTAAATTCTCTAGATTTTGGTGAACTGAATCTCCCTTTAAATTATCGATTTTATATCTTGGGATTAAGTGTGTATGTAAGTGAGGGATACTTTGGCCACTCTCTGGACCATCTTGAATGGCAATATTCAATGAGTCTGCTTTGAATTCCCAAGTCAAAAATTTAGTTAAAGTTTGTAAACTATTCATATAATCGATAGATTCTTCTTGATTTAATTGACTAAATCTAGCTATCTTTGGATTATATGGGACTAACAAAACATGACCGTCGATCAATGGTTTCAAGTTTACAAGTGCATAGCAATGCTTGGATCTGTAGAATACCTGTTTGTTCACTAAGTATTTATAAAAGTAGATATCGTTCATTGAGACCTAAGTTAATGAGATTCGCAACTTTATCTAATGATAAGGGATGATCCCTTCACATCACTGGTGGTGTATTAAGAGTATGTTACTGTGGTTTTTCTGTATTTGTCTTTCAATTGATGGTCAACTAAATCAATTGGAAGGAAGGAAAATAAAAAAATTAAGAAAATCATCCTCGGATATATTTACCTAATTCGTCCAAATGTCAACTGATTCTGATCCACCTTGTGAAGCATCCAGCTATGTAAACATTCAATCAAGAGACTTATAAGAAACGAGAGAACAGAAGTGCTCTTTAAAGAAAATAATTAATAAGATGTACATTATATTTAATCTTTGTTAACTTTTTCGAAATATTCTTTTGAAGCTTCTGGTTTGATGGTTTCAGCACCTGGTTGCCAGTTAGCTGGACAAACTTCACCGTATTTTTCAGTGAATTGGAAAGCATCAACTAATCTTAATGATTCTTCAACTGATCTACCAACTGGTAAATCATTGATGGTAATTTGTCTTAAAGTACCTTTTGGATCAATTAAGAAAATACCTCTTAAAGCGATACCTTCTTCTTCGATTAAGACACCGTAATCTCTTGATAATGAGTGGTTAGTATCGGCTAATAATGGAATGTTAATTTTACCTAAACCACCATCTTTTCTAGCAACATTAGTCCAAGCTAATAATGAGTATTCGGAATCAGTTGAAGCAAATAAAACTTCAGCATCTTTGTCAGTGAACTTCTTAACGGCATCTGAGTAAGCAATAATTTCGGTTGGACAAACGAAGGTGAAAGCCAATGGGATGAAAGCTAATAAAACCCATTTACCTTTGTATTGTTCTAAAGAAATTTCTTCGAAAGTACCATCAACGACAGCGGTTTTTTTGAAAGTTGGAGCAGGTTTTTGAATGACAGCAACCATTGTTAATCTATTAATCTATATGTATGTAAATTGAAATTTAAAATTTAATTTAAAGTAAGAAAAAATGTGGAATTGAGGACTAATTTATATTTTTCCACTGCATCTAGAATGTGATTTTGGTTTGTAATAGGCGACCGCGGTACACCTTAATTTTGATAACATTATTAATAAGAGTAATTCTGGTAATCTGTAGCTATAATTGAATACGGAATAAAAAAGCGGATGTTACTTGATGCCTAGTCAGGTTTCGTCCAGTTTGAAGGTCAATTGGGTAAGATTTATAAGAGTTCATTTTCATCGATGAGATCTGAGATAAGACAAATTAATCCCGAGCCTTATCAGAGAATGATTTTACCATCAAAGTAATCATCGATTTGTAAGTCAGATGTATATCTATTAGTATACGAGGTACTTCAATTGGCCAATTCGACCCTCTGGAATACATAATCGATAAATATAAGAGTTATTCGTTGACCGTCGTTTAGATGGGGACGTGTCCGTCAATTGGACGATTTTTCGACGCCACAGTCGGCTTTTGCAGGAATTTTGTTGAATTAGGAAACTAATAGAACCACGAAGAATCTCAACTACCCCTGGAGTTACCGAGTGTTAATTTGTTGATTATGGATCCTGGGCCTCAATTCACAGATAGCAAGTATCACAAGTCATTGGATGGAAAAAAATCATCGGGACTAGAATCGAAATTGATTATTAAGATATGTATTTGAGTATTTATACATAATTTCATGGTTGCTAGGAAAAATAGGTCATGATTGTAAGGTCTGGTCTAACGTGTATGGGTAGAAGGGAAGTCTATGAGATTGATAAGATAAAACGTCTGAACCCCTCTCAAAGGTGGCTCTAAGGTAGTGTCCTTGGGTGTTATTGAATTCTTCGGACTACAGTTCCGAGGTACCAGAGAGTTTTACAAAGGTCGAATGAGTAGCTGGGGGTGAATAAATCACTCTAGTATTCAGATTCTAAGGTGAAATCGCCCAGTTGGGGTTTCAATTTTGTCCCTGATTCAATAACCACTGGGTAAGGCTGTAGTTGGTCCTACTGGAGGCTTCCTGATCGCCAGTTTGGTAAAATTTACATCTCTTCATTCACAACAAACTTGAACATTCATCAATAACATTGGAAGTACCCGTTATTAAGCATAGCTGCTCAAAAACTCTCTCTATCATGCATTTTAGAATTCGTCAGTCTTGATTCTATTAGATTTGGAAAAAAACGCGAAGGCAATCATCATGGAGAAGTTAGGTTTTCATAAAGTATCTAATAACCCAGGAACAATTAATCACAATCAACCTATTGGACCATCAATCCATAAAACCTTGACGGTAGTTAATTGTCCCTCTAATGCCATTGCTTTGTCCAACCAAATAGCTGTGAATCCTCAAGAATTCCCGAATGAGATCACTTATACAAGATTGGATAAGTTATTCGTTTATTCGATTGCAAGAGATCCCAATATTCCTCCTGGATCAGTTGGGTTGTCCGGATCTATAAGACAATGGGGTAAGTGGTCCTTGAATCAAAAGGTTGACGTTAGAACTTTCGGTTTCAACGATTTCAAAACTCCACAGATATACATAAAATCAGTTGAAATCTTAATTGACTTCAGACAGAAATCCAAGAGTCACTCAAATCCAATCAATCATGATGAATTGATTCAACAATTTGTGAATAGTTACAAAAACCAGGTTTTGCATCCAACAGAACCTATTACCATGGATTTTAAAGGCCAATACTATTCCTTGTTGATCAATTCGATCCAAACGATGGACATAAGTGGGAAAAAGTTTGGTGATTTAGGTGATAGAATCGATAATATGGGGTTATTGATAGACCAAAGTGAAGTTAATTTCTACCCATCTAACGATTCACCAATCAATTTAGTTAAAAAAGATAATGCAAGATTGATGGGTAGTTTCAGACCAAGAGAAAACAAAATTATAGATCCTGATTTCAAATTAGATAGTTTAGGTATTGGTGGTTTAGATTCAGAATTCCAGGAAATATTTAGAAGAGCTTTCGCTTCCAGAATTATTAACCCTGATTTAGTTGATAGATTAGGGGTCAGACATTGTAAAGGTATATTATTGTACGGTCCTCCAGGTACTGGTAAAACATTAATTGCTAGAAAAATTGGTAAGATGTTGAACACGAAAGAACCAAAAATCGTTAATGGTCCAGAAATGTTAAGTAAGTTTGTTGGTGAAAGTGAAAGCAACATCAGAAACTTATTCAAAGACGCCGAAGAAGAATACAAAAAGAAGGGAGAAAATTCAGGCTTACACATCATTATCTTTGATGAATTGGATTCAGTTTTCAAACAAAGAGGTAGTGGTAAGAGTGATGGTACCGGGGTTGGTGACAATGTTGTTAATCAATTATTATCGAAAATGGACGGTGTTGATCAATTAAATAACATTTTGATCATCGGTATGACCAATAGATTGGATTTGATTGATAATGCTTTATTAAGACCTGGTAGGTTCGAGATTCAAATCGAAATTTCCTTACCTGATGAAAAGGGTAGATATGAAATTTTATTGATTCACACTAAAAAGATGAAAAACAACAATTTGTTAGATAAATCTGTAGATTTCCATCAATTAGCAAAATTGACAAAGAATTTCACAGGGGCTGAATTAGAGGGTTTGATCAATAGTGCAACATCTTTTGCTATAAATAGTTTTACAAAAAACGATTCATTAGCTCAAGTAGACGATGATATTAAAAACATGAAGTTGACTTGGGAACATTTTTTATTAGCATTGAACGAGGTTAGACCAGCTTTTGGTGTGAATGAAGAAAATTTGACCGAGTTGTTACCATATGGCATCATCAATTACAATGAAGCTGTTGACAAGATATTGAATATTGGTGATTCATTTATCAACGAAGTTAGTAATAGTGACAACGAAAGGTTGATCAGTTTATTATTCCATGGTGAACCAAATGTTGGTAAGACTGCTTTAGTCGCTAAGTTGGCATTGAACTCCAAATTCCCTTTCATTAAGGTGTTAAATGGAGACGCTATTGTTGGTATGAATGAACCACAAAAGATAAACTACATTGATCAAACTTTCAGAGATGTTTACAAATCACCTTTGAATGTTTTGATTATTGATAAGATTGAAAGCATAATCAATTATGTTCCGATCGGTCCAAGATTTTCGAATGATATTTTGCAAGTTTTGATGGTTTATTTGAACAAAAAACCTCCAAATGGTAGAAGATTATTAATTTTGTCTACCACCTCACAATATTCAATTTTAAAATCAATGAATTTGGTTGATATATTCACTAAAACCATCAATGTCAACTCTGTCAAGACTTTAGATGAATTAAATGTCGTTATGAATGAAATTGATTTTATGGATGACCGTTCAAGGATTGAAATTTGTAATCAATTACAAAGATTGGCAAATGGTAACGAAGTTATCAATTTAGGTATCAAAAAATTATTACAAGTGTTGGGTAATGCTAAATTCTCCAATGCCTCAGTTAATGAAGTAGTTGAAAATATTTTAGAGTCTCACACTTAGAGGTTGAAGAGTTTATGTAGATAATAAACTTCCATACATTAATCATTTTCCGTAATTATTTTTATTTTTGCATTGATGTTTCAGTGACTAGTCTGATTCTCCTAATTCAACAGAAGGAATATTAACATCAGTAGAACTAAATTTTCTAGCGGCAACTCTTCTATCGAATAAAATATCTAATTCTTCGAAAGTTCTATCTTTAGTTTCAGGTAATCTAAAGAATGCCCAGATCAATGTTGGTAAAGCGGTACCAAACCAAACAAAACCTGTTTTACCTCTTAAGTTGGCTTCAGTTGGGTTAATCAAATATGGTTCAACAACATTTGAGATTAAAGAACATAAATTATAAGCATTTCTTGCTAAAGCAATAGATTGGGCTCTTAATCTGGTAGCACTCATCTCAGCTGAAATGGTGAAAGCTAAAGGACCAATAGTTGAAGCATAAGTAGCAACCCAAGCAATTGTAACACCACTTTGGACCCATTTCAAAGCACCGACTTGTTTTGGACTTGCCAAGATACCGATTACCAATAATAATGTTGTTAAAATGGCATATCCTGTGACATAAATTCTTCTTCTACCAAATCTATTCAATAAGAACCAAGAGACAACACAACCACTAAATGAAATACCAGTAACACCTAAATTTAAAGCATAAACTTGGTCAGGGTTTAAACCGGCTTGACTGAAGAAATATGATGGGGAATAAGCGAAAGTTGAACCAGATAAAACTTGACCAGCTAAAGCAACACAAGCAATTTCGGTTCTTCTCAAATTAGTACCCTTGAAACATTGAAGATAACCTCTCCAACCTTTTTCTTCGTCACTTCTAGCATTATGTTGAGCTTGTTCCAAAGCATTAGTGTGAATCATTAAACTGACTTGTTGTGGAATTTTGTGGTGAGCTTCCTTGGACATCAATCTTTTCAAAGCTTTAGCAGCATCTTCATGTCTACCTCTTCTAACTAACCACCAAGGAGAATCTGGGGCTAAGTAAGTTAAGATGAATAAAGGAACAGGCCAGACCCATTGGATAGCAAAAGGAACTCTATATGACCATTCAGTAGTATTATTGACTAAAGCTTTTAAGACACCGGCTGCGATGAATTGACCAATAGCCCAACACATATTGGTATAAGCAGTCATATAACCTCTTAATTTTAATGGCATGACTTCAGAACTGTAAGTAGGTCCCATAACAGCGAAAACACCCCATGGTAAACCACATAAAACTTGACCAACAACTAAAGTTTCGACGTTTTGGGCAAAGAAAGGAATGAAAATAAAAGCTGACATAACAATTAATGAAACTAAGATCACATGTCTATGACCAAAAGTTTCAACCAAATAACCATTAGCAAAAACACCAAAAATAGTACCGACCGATGAAGTGGTACCTAAAGCAACTTGCCAAGGACCAGTTAATTGGTATTCACCTGGAGCAATTTCAACACCATATTTCTTTTGGAAACTTGGATAACCGAAGAAAGAAGTCATCAAGATATTATCGTAACCTTCCATAATAATAGTGGCAGCTAAAACCATGGCCCAAAAAATTGCTTTCTTGTGGAAATTTAAAGCTTGACTCAAAGTTAACTCATGTTCAGCTTCAGTTGCATCTTTAGCTTCGTCAAGCACGAAAGCAGTTTTGCCTAAATCTTGTTTGAAAGATGACTTATCTGACCCCACCAAATCTTCCAAATGATCAATTTCTACCTTTTTATTAGTATCTTCCATTTTACCTATCTATCTTTTTCTTTGAAATACTATACCTGATAATATTACTTAATATGACTAGGATATCAAAAGATAATATAAAAGATAAGATAATAGAGATGTAAATAATGGGAATATACTTTGTATTTATAGTAATACCATAACCTACCCCAAATTTTCGCTCTTTGAGCAAAACCTAACCTGCAAAATTTGTCTCGCATTATTAAAATTTCTTAAAAGGAGGGGTGGAGGGGTTTGTGACAGACAAAATTCAGATGGCATAGGAAGGCTTACGGCGGTATCACTATACTGGTGATCTCTATAGAGTTATGTCGAATTTTTAGTTTTAACGTGCTTTAAGTGGATGACATGTCTCTTCTGTCTCGCGAACGGGTTTCACCTTGGCAAACGGCTCTCAGGGTTAGTCAAATTGATTGTTCGAGTTGAACACGAGTTTTACTCGAATTTTTGTTCACAAGTCAAATCCCATGATGAGGTGAAAGGCAGTGAATGAAATTTTACATTTTAGGCGTAAAAAATACAGCTAAAGTGTAAAATGTTTGTATCGATCGCATTACCCCAGATTTTTCAACCCCCACCTTTCGTAAATCTCACTAATTTGCAGAAAATGTCATACAAAATCGCACCAAAAAATTCAAAATGCGATAAATTTTGCGGTGCAATTCAATTTTAATCTTTCCATTCGAAGGTTTGGCATCACCGATTTTTTTTGCATTCAATCAATCGGAGGTGAAAAGGATTTGGGAATAAAATATTTGCCAAAGGATGATACGGAATTCTAAAATTCCACACTTCTTTAGCGAGAATTACAATAGGGCCTAATTGGGGTTTTCGATTATATCAATCATGGGGTTACTTCTTTGTATTCAATCTCTCTTTAAATACCGTAAATGCTTATCAGTGGATTTTTCTTTTCCTATCTACTCCACAAGTAAACTGTAAATTTGGACCATCAAAAATTCTGCAGCTGATCTTCTAGAAATAAGCTGAATTCACTAAATTTCGAAGGATCTGATGGATACAGAGCAGGGAGGAATTTCGTGGGTGTCCTACAATAAGTATAGTTGCATAGCCGGCTGCTTTGGTAGATATTTCCACCAGAGTTAACGAGGACGATGGGCACTTTTTCTTTTTTGGTCATTTCCTAATTAGTACATGTGGGTATTATCTTATGATCATATCAATTGTATCCCACTTAAAATTTCGATAGTTCACCATGAAGCCCGCCAGCTCATGGTGAATTCTAGCAAGCATTCCAACTATATTGCCCCTAAAAGACAACTTTGGGCTGCAAGTATATCGGATTTTTGTACTAGCACCTTTCGCTTGCTTTGGAAGAAGTTTTGTTTATCCTTTACTTTCAAACTTTGCAGATATTGTCAGAGCTGGCAGTTCCATGTAAGTACACTCAAAAGAGCTTTGGCTGACATGGCTCTAGTCCTCCTTGAGTCAATCTGGTTTGAGTTCTGTCCTGGTTGGAACAAGAGCCGGTAATAGTGTGGAAAATTTATCGCTGGTAGGGAAAGTAATGAAAAAATGTTCAAAAATCGTTTGGAGGGTCCTTAGTAGCTCGAATTCAAGAGCAGAGCCTTCAGTGGTGTTTTATCTCCAAACCATTATATTGTCAGGGGTTTTTTCTGGCTGTTTCAAAGGAACCCAATCCCAATGAAGTGACTGAGGTTAAGTCGGACTTGAGCGGAAACTTCAAAAACCTGGAACTTTCAAAATTACATTAATAACTTGGCCCCTTCGCCAAGTTTAAGTATATGAGAGACAGTCCCAACCCTCCGTTGTCCAAATTTGAGGAGAGAATAAAACATGTGAGATCAAGCGCCCTTACACTTCTCATTTTCAGTAATTTAAACTTATGGCCCATTACAAACAAAAAGTTCTAGTTTCACCTGAACGATCCCGGAACGGGCCCAACCGTATACTTCATTTGACCTAGGGGTCACCTTGGGCACATTCATACACTGCAATTCCCCCTGATCGCGTAAACTAAAAAATATTTTTTCGATTTATACAGGAAGGCACAATTTTTAGAATATGTATTTCTACCTACAAGAATGCAAAACTCACTATAAAGATTGGGAACAAAACTCACCGAAATAGAAAAAAACTCACCGAAACAAGGAAAAAAAGGGGATAGAAAAATGGCAGAATTTCGAAACTAGTTAATCAACTCAACTATTGTAAAACTTCTCTCGAGCTTTAACAAATTATTCAAATTAGAAACTGGTAGAGTTATACCCAACAGTTGGATTCAAAGTCATTGAAGGAAGAACTGATGTGGTGTTTGAATAACCTGTTGGTAAAGCACTGGTACTTTGGTAAGTTGATGTGGTTGTGATTTCAACAAAAGTTGTCAAAGTAGTAGTCAAATCAGAATAAGTTAATTCTGCAGTGACGGGATAAGAAGTAGTCAATGTTGAAGTTAAATAAAGGGTTGAATAAGTAGTCTCTTCTTCAGCGGATGAAGTAATTCCTCCAAAAGTTTCGGTGATAGTTTCGGTTTCGGTTTCGGTTTCAGTTTTAGTAACAGTAATGGCTTGACAACCAGAACTTTCAGTTTCCATTGGATTGATATCAGTTTTAGCAACGACATATTCAGAACTCAAGGTAACTGGCTGGGTGACAACAGAATTGTCAGATGTTAAAGTTTCATAACTTGTAACATAAGTAGTGACAGTACTCATACCTTCTTTTTCCATCCAATCTGATAAGATGGATAACTGACTAGTTGCACTAGCTGGAACAACTAAAGTAGTAGATGGTAATTGAATGGTAGTAAATTGAGTCACAGTTGTTGTACTGGTAGAATTAAAAGGATCGAAATCAGCAGTAGTAGCATTTTCATATCTCTTAAAAGGTACAGCAGCAATTGCAGGAATTAATGCAAATAAAGTGAATTTCATTATTGATGTTAACTAAGCTTGAAGGGTATTAGGAAAGGAATGGACGCGATTAGATACGCTATTATTCAATACTAGTTAAGTGATTTGGATATAAGGGGGAAAGAGTTATTTAAATAGTGCTAAATCATATTTAAGAAAAATGTTTCAGAATCAAATTGAGAACGCCATTTTGGGCAAAAATGTTAAGCGAATTACTTTTGTCAAGAATGACAATGGGAATGACGTTAAGGGGAAAAAATCCGAGAATACCATTCAGTTTAGAATTCTAGAATATTAATGGTTATTCATCGTCTGATTTATAGGAGAATTGAGAATGAAGAATTGATAAGGATTTATTTATGGATCGTTTTGAGGATCATTGCTTAAAATTCTCATTCGGAAGAAAAACACCGAAAGGAGATTATTGACGGTAGAGATGGCATAAACCCAAACGTATATATAAATAAATAAGTCGTACATTCATTAATCTTGATATTTTAAATTTTCATAATAATTCAAATCATTATTAATTAATTTCTCTTGTAAAAAATCATTAATTAAATTATATTTGTCTTGTTTTAAAATATCAAATTGATTGTTCAAATTTGAAAAATCAGTCTTTTCATCAGAAAAATTTGGTAATTCAAAGAAATTTGATTTAAGTGGTCCATTCAATCCATTAGATAATGAGAATCCTAAATTTGAAGAACTATTACCCTTTGAATCAATAATTGAATTTGAAATTGATGAGATAGTGGTGGATCTAGTTAATGATAACATTAATGAATTATTATCATCATCTAATGGTGATGAAGTTCTTGATAATAAAGGACTGTCCATATCATCATCGATCTCTTCATCTTCGATTTCTCTATCATCAATAAAATCAAATATTTCATCCTTATTGAAATTAAGTGGTTCATCTTCTTTGATAATTTTCAAATCTTCATTGTTTAATTGTTGGAAACTTCTTTTTTTATCTTCTTTTTCTCTAATACTATTGGGGAATTCATTATTTATAACCATTGATTTTAATACTTTATATTCATTGATTAAATTTAATAATTTATACTTTAAATCATTATTTTCACTTTCAATTAATTGAATATTTTGATTTATTTGTTTTATTTGTGTCATTATATCATAATTTTATTATAGAATTTTAAACTTAGTTAAAAGCTTTGAAGAAAAGAGTATTTGAATATTTGAATATTTGAATATATGAAATTTGTTGTTTATAATAAATGGATTTTCAATTGTTTTATAAAAAATTTTCTCAACTCTTTGGAATTCTAAATCCGAGTACACATCGGAATTTTTAGGATAATCAAGCCAATAATGAAAATCTCATTTCAAATATTTTTTATGGAGTTTCAAAATACGGGGTTTAACAATTTATATGAATATGAGTATTAAATAATCAGTTCCAATAGTATGATATAGGTAATATTGAGAGTAATATCAGAGAGTATTAGTTAAAAAAATTCAATTTTTTGAAATTGACAGCAACTTCGTAACATGTCTCACTTTATCCGTAACATACGTGGGTGCGATTCCTAAAACGGTGCCCTTTTCACCCTTACAATAATCACTTAAAATTCTCTCTCAATTGGCCTTCCATTACTTCCATATAGTTATGTAGGAACGATCTGAGATTATCCACAATATCCATTACATCCATGTATTCCAAAGAATGATGTACTATTAAAGTAAGCCTTTCGGCCAAAAAGTTATTTTTCACCTTCCGCACTATGATTCGATCGAGTAAATTTCGGTTACTTCTAATAGCCGATGTCAATTGTTCTCATACGTTTGATTCTCAACGTCTTTATTGTGAAAAGAATGACCCGATAGGTATTAGAGGTTGAAGTTTATTTGGTTACATGTGAATAAATAGTATAAAGTTTGTTTAAAACCCACTTAAATTTCTAGTATTTCAGGATAAATGGATACGAACTTAAAATCGCTCCACGGATTCCTCCATGGTTTTCGGCCCTACCGCTTTTCGGAAGGTCTTGTGACTTTGAGCGATTGCTTGCAATTAACGGGTCAATTAGAAAGGTTATTTGGTAAATCGAAATTGTAGATCGATTATGATCATATTTGGACTCCCTTAGCTCATCCGTAGATGGGTGGCTTTAAACATTTTATGTTCGTTCATCTTATGAAATGACCCGAAGATCTGATGCGATGACTTTGAGTCACAGGATTCTTTTCGCGTTACCCTTGGATATTCAATGGCGTTTCCTCCTGCTTATTCGAGTAATCAAATTCAAGTTTCAAATTTCCCTTTAGGTATAAATAGTTTTGTCACACGACCAGCTTGGAAAAGTTTTTCCTCTTCTCTCGTAACTATTCTTATTACCCCAGTCTTAACTCCAGATTGGCTCATTTTTGCACCACTTTTTTCTTTCATCGCTAATACCGAACCTTAAAGGGTCCGGGTTGGTGAAAGAGACCCGTTCAACCCAGGTAAAACTTAATCTCCGGAACTGTCAACCATTGCTTGATATGGTCGCCACTCAAGTTCGACTCACATAAGTTCAAACTATTTTAGTGCGTCTTATATCAGTTCGAATAAAGTTCAAATCACATGAGTTTAGATATTGCATTTTTGTGATAGGAACTCATTCCCTTATCCTGGTTTCTTACTGAATTACCTGACATGATTTTGGGTAAGATGTTTCCTCTTTTTCATGGATGAGTTAATTACTTTCTTTTTAGGTTATTTTTTGTGAATTTTGCAACTTTATTTCATTTAACATATCTTCACTTTTTGATGGAAAAAAAAAGAATTTAAAAAAGAATTTTCTTTCAGATAACGTACCAAACTGAAGATGTCGATAAACAGTACCTGTAAGAGATCGATTAATTTGAAGAAAATTGAATTCTGGCCAAATACACCTAAATGGCTAAATGTCTGAAGGTAATCCTTTGGGCCACCTTTTTGAGCATTGGTGGACGCTGCTTTCTTATTTGATGTTTTGTTCATACCACTGAACTTATTTTGTTGATTGTTAGATGATGATTTTCCCCTGTTTTTATAGTTTTGGCGATTCTGACCGGCATTTGTTAGATGAGTGAGCGATTGATAAACTTTCGTGGCTACTTCAGTAGTAACACCTCCTGGAAAGGAACCTTCCACGTATTCTGGGAAATTCAAGCCGGAATTTAATTGTTCCATGCTTTTATCATGTTGATTAACCCATTCATCAGCTTTATTGAGATGTGTTTTTAATTCATCATCATCCAGTCCTTCTTCCACATCCAGCTCATCCTCCATGCTGTCCAGAATATCATCTTCATCGTCACTATCATCTCCCGGCAAGTTTTGATCACTTTCATCATCGATTGTGACTGTTTCTTGAGCCGAGGAACCTTCTTTGTTCTTGTTGAAAATTGACAGCTGTGAGGTACTGGGTTTGTAACCGGGAACGCCTTTAACGTCTCCAAACTCCATATACTCTCTATCCATCTCTTCTTGAGACTTTCTACTATAGGTTGGTACCTTTGGTTCATATACAATGAACTTTGGTAGGGGTTTAGCCCTGTTTAAGATAGATTTGAAATTGTTACCTGCGGCTTCAACCTTCGCCTTATCCTCAGGTAAGGGCGTGCCAGCACCCCCTTGAGGCTTCATATCTTTTAAAGTACTCAATCTTTTCTTCCCCATACTT